GGGGGGGGGGGGGGGGGGGGGGGGGGGGGGGGGGGGGGGGGGGGGGGGGGGGGGGGGGGGGGGGGGGGGGGGGGAGATATATGAGGGAGTGGGAGAAAGAGAGGGAGTGATGGAGTTGGGCGATGAGGGAGAGTTAAAAGATGACTAGTCACCCTGCAGGCGTTCGACTGGATTGTGCGAGTACACGAGCACGACGTGTCCGTTGTCGATGCGACTGAGAGCGTGGGTGTTCACGGTGGTTGCTAGCAAGGAGTGGTGGAGCGGATGGGGTTGGGGGGTTGGGGGGTGGAAGGTAGGGCGCGTCGGAGGGCGTCGGGAGTCGTATGTGAGCGTGAGATTGTGTAGGGGAGGGAGGGAGGGATGAGGAGGGAGAGGAGACGACGACGACGACGACGACGACGACGACGAGGAGAGGAGGATGGATGATGATGGAGAGTGGATGAGTGGTGATCATCCAACATGGCCTTGATTGGGGGCTTTCCCTGTTGCCCTTGGCCCCCACCAACCTCGCTTATTAATCCATTAGGAATTCCTAATACATCAATACAATCTCCATCCTCCTCCTCATCCTCCTCCCTCTTTCGAGCAAACATGCATGCTCGTAACGCTGCAAGCCCTCTCCATCACTCCCTCCTCTCCGTCCTCCGCTTATCTCTCGTGCTCCCATCTTCCGTCGCCATCACAGATCGCAGCTCCATCGCCCAACTTGTGGCACGCATGGCGTGTTCCCACCGTCCCACCGGCGCCTTTGCCGGCACGCCGGGGCTTGACGACGCTTTGTTCAAGGTACGGGGGTGGGATCAGGTGGGCTCTGGGCTGCGTTCGCTCTCCACGTACTCGTCTTGCTCCTCTTACTCCGCCTCTGGACTCTGACTAGCACTCCCGACGCGCCGAACCCTATTCGCATCAGCGCCGGGCCACTCCCAAGGAACCGTTTCAGACGCGCTCAACGCGACACGCACCAGCTGCAAAGTGCGGCCTGGCCTGCTCCCGCCCTCCCGCACCCTCGCGGCGTGCCCGCTGGGTATCTCGAGTCAAGGCGAGGAGACCCATCTTGTTGCGAGCACTTTTTCAGGAGCATGCCGTCATCATCCGCCTGCCGCCTGCCGTTTACCACAGCCACGCCACAATGCTACATGTCTAATGTTGGTATCACACACCGCTCAGTACACTAGTGCTCGCGCGTCCAGTCCTGGAACTTGGGCTCGGAGATGCTCAAGCGCCGCCGCAGGCCGCCTTCGTGGTGCAGCAGCTGTGTTTCATCCGCGCCGCCGATGCTCTCGAAGCGGATCATGACGTTCGGCACCGTCCGCCGCCCCGTGAGGTTGAGGAGGATGTCTTGGATCGTGCTCATGTCGTCTGGAGGCGTTAGTGTTTTACACGAGAGCGCTCTGTAGCAACGCACCACGCCGGTCGAGCTCGATTATAAACGGCTCAGGCTCGATGGGATACTCGGACAGAATGTCCTTTGCGCGCATCGAGAAGGGGCAGAACGACTGCCGTCAGCGTCAGCGCCGCGCGCGGATACACTGTACCTTTGAGAACACGGTCACACGCTGGCTCATGTTGGCCTCCTCAGCCCAGTCGTGCAGGAAGAGGTGCTCGTCCGTGCCCTCGACGTCGGCGAGCAGGCCCTCCCACTCCTTCTGGGACATCTTGTCCATCGTGCCGGCCGACGGGATGCGGTAGTCGTCGGGGAAGACGCCGCCGCGCGCGATCCACCACACGAGCGCGCGCAGCTTGTCGCGCTTCTGCTCGGCGCTCTTGTCTTCCGCGACGCGCGCCGCGTCCTCGTCCGCGACGACTTGGGCGGGCGTGCGCGCCTTTGTGTCCTCGAGGCGCTGGACGAAGAGGTCGTCTGTCGCCATCACGTCTTCCTCTGCGACGGGGGCGGCTTCGCGCTCGAACCCGTCCGCCGAGCCGGGCGTGCCGACGCGGCCGGGCGTGTTGTGCTGTGCCTCGGCGAGCGATGTGTCTGGCGCCGGCGAGGAGAGGAAGGAGGTGGCGAAGAAGCAGAAGAGGGCCAGCGCGAGGAGGAGGGGCCAGCGCCGCTTGACGCGCGCGGGGAGGGAGAGGGGGCGCGCACGCTTAGACGCGGACGGGAGGGGGAGCGCGGGAGCCTTTTCGTTCCAGCTCGCGCTGAGGCCGCGGCGGGGCGACATGGTGCCCGAGCTGCTTCCGATCATGGGGGAGGAAAACCAGTGATTTGGAGGAGTGGAGAGAGTGAGAGGTAGGATCGAGGAGATGAGAATGGAACAAGTGGAAGTGGAAGAGTGGCGTTCGAGTCCGTGTTATTGACGTCTGTGCGCACTCGATGCACTTGCCCAGTCACGACGTGTGGGAAGTTCCAGTCGAGCGATTCGAGTCGAGCGGAGCGGGCGGAGCGGGCGGAAGCGGAGTAGTGTCGGAGTGTCGTACAGACGTAGAGACGGAGAATGGACGATGAAGAGTTGAGAGTTGAGAGTTGGAGACGAGCAAAACAGCCCTGATAACGGCACCGCTCCCGCCGGAACCCATCAGCACGCAGAACGCAGGTCCCAGAACGCAGGTCGCAGCACGTCGCCGTTCACATCGCTGGTCGCCAGTCTGACGTTTCGCACTCTGCACGACATACCCTCATCCGAGCCGTTTATCAATGCCGGTGGCGCGTAATCGGAGCTAAAACGTGAGACTGAATTGCGGCAGCGGCAGATGCCCCTATTGTGGTGGGCCAGAAAGAGGAGGGGAGGGAACGCATAAGGCGAGCGTGGCAGAGCATGGCAGAGCATGGCAGAGCGTAGCATACAAGACGGCGCGTTGCTGCTGAGATACTGATGAGAGCTGGGAGCTGGGAAGAGGACGGGTGCGGGATCGCGAGGCCAACGGCGATACGGCGATGGGCAGATGAAACGGCGTTCGGGGCAGGGTGTCTGAATTGACCCAACGTCGATTGCCTGTCGCCCAGCCTCACACGTCCTGCCGCCGAGAGCTCGAGAGCACGCGCTGGGCCGCAACGCAGAGCCTGTGGCAGAGGGCCGTTTTCCAATCCGCTCCATCCCTCCTGTATTCGGTGACTGCCCTCGAGATCTGGTAATCCTCTAGTGCAGGATATCGACAACTGCGCATTATCCCACGATCAAGAGATGGAGACTCGAGAGTGACTCGAGAGTGACTTGGACGGTGTCACCGATCGTCGTGCAATCGTGCTTTCGTAGACTGAATGAGGACGCGCGAGTTACTTAAGGATCTGAGGCATTCACCATCTCGATCAGTCGCGTCGCGTCTTCGATTCAGCTGAACCAAACACTGGCCCAGTTCTCCGAGACGGCCGAGACCCAGCATCTCGCCGCCCGCACCATCACAGGATATGCACATAAAATATACACTACAACTAGCTACACATACAGCTGCATGCCGCCCAGGCCCTCGAGCGGCGCCCAGACATCGTCCACCATCTCGCTCACGTGCGTGAACCCACACCCTTTGACGGGGCACGCCCACTGGTGCTGCACCTTGCCTGCGCGTGCGCGCGTCGTGCGCCCCGACCGCCGGCGCTTGGCCGGCGGTGCATCCAACACGGGGATGGGAGGCGCGCCCGCGGGCTCCGAGAAGAGCTTGTAGCACCGCTGGTCGAGGACGTGTCCGCAGCGCAGCGCCCACACCCTGTCGTCCGGGGAGCGGTTCGCACTCCCGACGCGCAGCGGCTCGGGGCACGCGCAGCAGGCAAGGTAGACTTGTCCGCGCTGCTTGCGTTTGTCGGGCACAATGCGGCCGCGCTCGTCGAGCTCGACGACTACGGCGCGCTTCTCCTTCTCCTCGACTTCTTTCGCAAGGTCCTCGGGGTCCCAAGTGTGCGTGAAGCCGTCGGCGGAGGCGGCTGGCGTCTCGGCCTTGACGGTCTCGAGGATGGCTTTCGCATCCAGCTGCAGAGCGGGCCCGGCTCCGCCGAGGTAGAAGGCGCCGGTCAGCAGGTTGCGGATGATCGCAGGGTTGCGGCGCATACCCCCAAACAGCCGATCGAGTCCAGGAGGCAAGGGAAGAGCTCCCTCCTCATCGCCGCGAGGACGGCCGCCGTCGCGCTCTGGGTAGCGGACCTCGGGTGGTTGGTTGGGACGGAAGATGTACTGGGCGTTGCCCCGGCGGATGGCGGCTCCGCCAAGGCGATTGTGGGCCTCTGCAGGACCCGCCTCGGGTACCGCGGCGCGGACGTCACGGTCGTGGCGTGCAGGAGGGTTCTCGGCCATCCGCCGCGCTAACTCCGCCTGGCGTCGGGTGCGACGTTCGAATCGCGACGCGCGATCCAAAGACCGATCTAATGCTACTGGAGTTAGAATCAACTGTCCCCCACGTCGGTCGTAGACTCACCGTCCATGTGGTTGCGGAACTCGTTGGGTGACATGACGCGGCGACCTCCCGATGGGCCTGCGGCGGCCTGGGCCGCAGGAGGCTCTTCCTCGTCACTGCTGTCCAGGGCGATCGCATTGTGGACGCTCGAGCCCGGGGCATTGCTGCGGGCCTGGTGCAAGCGGCCGGTTGGAGGGCGCAGGGCGAAGGCGGGCTCTCCAGGCCAACGGAAGGGGACTGGAGGTGCTACGTCCGCTCCTGCTGGCCGTGCCGCCGGACGGCTCCCGAGGTAGACGTTAACGCGAGCACGTAGGTGGGCGTCCTCGGGGGGAGTATTGAGGGGGGAGGGATCACGAGGAGAGGGAGCACGCGAGCTGTTGTTGGTCGCTGGAGTGGAGCCAATGAACTGGAAGTCGTCGTCAGAGTCATCTTCCGCGTCCTCCTCATCTATAGAGTCGGTGACAACGTCATCCTCCTCCGACGAGACGTCCTCGTCCTCGTTTTCGTTCTCGTCCGAGGGGTCGTCGTCCAGGAAGCGGACAATGGGGGGCATCTCGAACGAAGTGAACGTGGAATTGGGTGTGGGTGTATCTATGGGTGATGAGGCGGAGGGGTCGGGTTATGTCAGCAGAGCGCCACGCCGCACGCAGATGATGACGAGGGAGAGACGCCTGCGCCGGTGGTAAAGAAATAGACAAGGGGCCTCTGTGCAAGTGTCAACGGTGGCTGGGATGGAGAAGAGTGAGTGAGAAAGAGAGAAAATGAGAAAGATGGAAAGATAGAGCGAGAGAGCATTCACAAGGGTGCCAAGTGGAGGTCTCTGATCCAAATCGAGTGGCGAAATGAAACCAAATATCTCAGACCAACAACATTCAGTCCCATCCAAGCTGCTCGCTGTCACATTATACATCATCCACTAGCTATAATCTACACCGAGGGGGTGAAGCGCGAGCGCGCGCGCAGCTGCGGGCCATACTTCATCAGCACGAGTGGCACGGGGGCGAGCACGAGCGCGATAAAGCCCAGGAGGGAGCTGGCCCACTGCGTGCCGAGCCGCGCATACATCTGCCCCGCGAAGAGGGGGAACCCTGCGCCGAACGCGGACCGCACAACCGTGCAGGCGGAGAGCGCGCTGGCCGCCGACCAGAGGTAGCTGTCGATGATGTGGTTGAAGAGGGAGAGGAACATGCCGAGCGCGGAGACGCCGATGAGGCCGCCGGCGAGCACGGGGCTGATCCAGTGGATGGAGGGGTAGGACGTCCATCCGAACCAGAACATGGCGATGACGAGCAGCCAGCCTGTGACGGCACACATTTCGAGGCGTTTCTCGGGGGGCACGGGGGCGGGCGCGAGGCGGCATGCGACCTTTAGGTACCGCCGCTCGATGACGGTCATGTAGAAGATGGTGGCGAGGACGCCGCCGATGAAGAAACCCAGGAAGGCGAGGCCGTTCTCGCCCGAGTTGAAGCCGTGGTTCCGCACGAAGACGTATGGGTACGCCTCGAAGAGCAGGTACACGATGCCGTACACGAACGACATGTACAGCGTGACGGCCATGAGCATGGGTTCGAGGACTGGCGTAAGCGAAGCCAAGGGAGGGACGTACAGAGCATGATGAAGGGCTTGAGGAGGATCTCGCGGAGACGCGTCTTCATGTCCTGCGGCCGCCGCTCGATCGGCGCGTACCACCTCTCCTCGCCTGTCTCTTTGCGCATCCGCTGCGCCTTCTTCTTGACGATGACGGGCGCATACGTCTCGGGCAGCGTGAAAATGATCACAATCGTACACACCCCCGCAAAGATCGTCGTGACCCAATACACCCAGCGCCAGTCGGCGCCCGCAGTCTGGATGTATCCGCTGACGATGGGGCCGAGGCTTGGGCCCGCGAACGGCGCGAGGCCGAAGAATGCCATCGCGGAGCCGCGCGTGTCCACGTCCCAAATGTCTGCGAGGAGCGCGCCCGAGTTCGTGAGGGGCGCAGCGGCGAATGTGCCGCTGAGGAAGCGGAAGACGAGCATCGACCCCGTGTTCGGCGCAAGCGCACAGCCCACCTGGAAGCCGGTGTACACGATGAACGCGATGACGAAGATGGGGCGGCGGCCATAGCTCTCGCTCAACGGGCCCCACAGGAGTGGGCCGACACAGTATCCCGCCACGAAGAGCGAGATGCAGAGCACAGCGACTTCCTGGCTCACGTGGAAGTGCGCCATCACATCCTGGGTGATGCCGGACGGCGCGGACGACGCAAATGTCGAGTTGAGGACGAGCACGCCGCCAAGGATGGTGAGGTACCACCGGAACGTGCGGCTCCAGTTCTGCCGTCAGTCCCGTTAGAAGGGCGAGGCTGCGGCCGCCCACTTACTTTCGGATCGAGCTTCTCGCCCTGCTCGAGCTTGACGGCCCACGGGTCGGGCCCCTTCTCCTCGCGCGCGAGCTGCCGCTCCATCTCCTCTTCGCGCGAGCGGACGGGCGCGAGGCCTTCGAGCGCATCAATCCCGTCCGGGCTCACGCCGCCGAAGAGGGACACGACTGGCGGCGACACAGTCCGACGCAGGCTGGCCGAACTTGACAGTGTGGGGCGGGCTGGTCGCTCCTTGGTCGCCCTCTCACTCTTCTCGATACGCTCGGTCTTCTCGCGCTCGCCCTTCTCGTCGCTCTTCTCGTTTGAATCACGCGCGACCGCCGTGCTCGCGCCGCTTGCGCGCCGGGGCGAGGGCGGGGAGGAGGGTGCGGGTGCAGACATGGAGAAAGTATGCGGACATCTCTAGCCTCGCGACGGGTTAAGAATGAACGACAACACCGCAGACGTCGGCCTGGGGGAGGTGGGGAGACGCGGCCAATGAATGCGTCAGTAGTGATTAGTAGACACGGGTGAGCGGCGGGGCAGCCAAGACCGAGGCTACGGGCTCGTGAATGGAGAGAATGGGATGCTATCTTGGGCGCGAGCCGAGCGGCGTGTGGTGCGGCATGTGCGGCATGCGGCTCTCGGCCGGGCCGGCCGATCACACTATCCCAGCTGATGCAATTGAATTGATGCATCAACAACAGAAAGACGCCAGAGCACAGTTGGTCGTACCTGGAAAGCTAGCAGGCTGCAGGCTAGAAGTACAGCACGCGCTGGCAGCAGCGGCAGAGGACGGGGCCGTTCTCGGCGTGCTTGATCGGGACGCAGGAGGTCGGCGCGGCCTTGCATGGAGAGCGGGGGGATGCGGGGGCCTGGGGAGCAGGAGAGTGGGCCTGCGCCTGCGCCTGCGCCTGCGCCTGCGCGTGGGGCTGCGGCTGCTCCGCAGGGCCGGGCTTGCGCTGCGCGAACGGCAGACGCGGGCGGTCGTACAGGCGCGGGGGGAGAGTCTGCCCCGCGGGGGCCGGGGGGGAGTCCTGCGTCATTGTAATGCTGGTGAGTGAGTGAAGATGTAGATCGAGCGTTGTTATATACATGGTGATGGTGGCGAGTGGATGCACTCAATGTGCCAGCCTTCGCACTGGCATCAATCACCCCAATTGTGCTTCTGTCCGCACTAGTCGGTGAGCAATGCATACTATAATGAGACAAACGAGGGTCATGCTATGCTAATCGTTCAGAGTTTGTTATACGGCGGCGAGGAGGGCGGCGAGGGTGAGGGCGAGGGCGAGCGTGAGTGCGGCAGGCTTGGCGGACTGCGCACCAGAGGTTTGCAGCGCACCGCCGTTGTCGACGATCGACTGTGTCTGCGTCGCTTGCACCGGCTTGACGCGCGACGTCATCGTCACCACCACTACGTCGTTGGTCGGCTGCCCCGAGCCGCGCGGGAGCGTGCGGGTGAGCACCACTTCGCCGTTCGAGTTCGTCACGGGCGCCGTCAATGTCACCACGACGACGCCGACGCTGTCTGTCGTCTGCACTGTGCCGTCCGGGTTCGTGCGCGTCACTCTGTTCGTCACGACGTCCGTGAATGTCAAGACGGCCGGCTGGAAGGCGGGTGCGGGGGCTGGCTGTTGGCCGCCAGCGTTGCCGCCAGTGTTGCCACCAGTGTTGCCGGTGTTGCCAGTGGTGCCGCCAGTGCCAGTGCCAGGTTGAGGCTGAGGCTGAGGCTGGGGCTGCGGCTGCGGCTGAGGCTGGGGCTGGGGCTGGGGCTGAGTGCCACCAGTGTTACCACCTGGAGTGCCAGCAGTGGTCCCACCAGGTTGGGCGCCTGTATTGCCGCCTGTGCCGGGGCTCGGGGCGACAACGCCCGGGGTTCCGCCACCACCAGCCGTGGTCACCGGAGCAGGGGGGTTTGTGGTCACGGGGCCTGGGTTCGTGATGGGGCCGCTTGGAGGCGGGCCGGTCGTCACTGGGCCAGGGATGCTCGTGACGCCGCCAGACGCGGGGGGCGGCGGGTTGCTCGATGCCGGAGGGACTGGAGTCACCGACGCGGGCGTGGACGGCGGCGGAGCACTCGGGCTGGGATTTGGCGCCGAGCTCTGGCTTGGAGTGGGCGGCTCTGAGGACGGCGGGACGACCGTAGGCGACACTGGGGACGGCACTGTAACGTCAGACGACGGCGGGGCACTCGTGGGCGGGACGCTCGAGGGGGGAGGAGAGGGCGGGGTAGAGGGTGTGGGGGAGGGAGGAGGAGTGGTGGTGGTGGTGGGAGGGACGGGGGTGTTGGGGTCGGGGGAGGCGGTGGGAGAGGGCACTGACGGTTGGCAGCTGCTACGGAGGGGACAACTTACCTGGGGTCGACGGCGGGGGGTCGGAGGTGGCGGGCGTGCTGGGAACAGGTGTGGACGGAAGGGGAGGGGCTGGGCTGCTAGGGTTAATAATCGTGTTTGAGAGGATCGGGGAGGGAGCGGAGGAGGGGCCTGGAGCTGTTGGAAGAGCCGAGGAGGGGTCTGGGGTCGATGGGGGAGGGATAGAGGGGCTGGAGGCGGCGGGAGTGGATGGGGGAGGAGGCGCCACAGAGCTTGGCGGTATCGTTGGACTCGGGGGGCTCGATGGAGGCGGCACCGGGGACTCGCTGGGGTTGCTAGTCGGTGCCGCGCTCGTCGGCGGCGGCTCAGTGGTAGGAGGTACTTGGCTCGTAGGCTGTGGAGACTCGCTTGTGGGCGGTACTGGGCTCGTAGGTGGCGCCTGGCTCGTGGGGGCAGGCCCCTCGCTCGTAGGGGTAGGTTCACCACTCGCAGAAGACGAGGGCGGGTCTGGGGGAGATACTGACGTTGTGGGTATACTGGTAGGCGGAGGCGGGCTGGTGTTTTAGCAGGAGGGTGTACTGCTGGACCTACTCAGACGTAGGCGGAATCGTGGGCGGTTGTTCAGATGTAGGTGGGGGTGATACGCTTGTGGGAGGCGGCGGGGGTTCCGACGTAGAGGGAGGGGGAGGGGGATCCGATGAAGGAGGGGGAGGGGGAGGGTCAGAAGTGGGAGGTGGTGCAGGTGTTGAGGGAGGAGGTTCGGACGTCGGAGGGGGTTGAGGCGTCGTTGGGGAGGGAGACGGCGTAGGAGTAGGTGAGGGATCGGTCGGCGATGGGGTTGCAGGCGGTGTCAACGGGGGTGTTCTGACGGTAAGGCGTGCCCGTGAGGGTACGGTTAGAGGGACTTACGGGTCGCCGGGCGAAGAGAGCTGGCGCTGCTCGAGGAGCACATAACCTCCCCCGAGGTGGTAGGGGAGGGCAGCGGTGACCGCGAGCTGCGCCAGAACGGCGAGGAGGGTGGGGCGCATGGCGCGGGATATACTACTAGACCAGAGAACAAGATACTACTGAGGAGAAAGCTGGGGTTAGAGGAGAGGGCCTATATGGGCTTGCTGTTGCTGGGTAGCTGGGACGCTGGGATCGATGAGACTGGGCTTGAGATCGGGCTCGGCTAGGCGTTGAGGCTTGGCTCGCGGTTCGCGGCTCGTGAATCAGAGTCGCTGGCGTTAGCTGAGCGGGGGGGGTGTTGGGCCGTCGTGTTTCTGACCTGCGGCGAGAGAGGGAGGAAGTCGAGATGAGCGAGGAACAGATGTGATTGCGATGGAGAGGTTGCAACGAGGGACGGGTGGAGAGGAGACAAGAGGATGGCGCGGCTCGGACTAGATTCTGATGAGAGCTTGGCTGCGGAAAGGGAATGTGGCATATTAGCAGGCATGCAGGTAGGCTAGGGCTGGAGAGCTACGCTTGCTGCATGGGCGATGGGCGTCATGGGAGTGGACGGCAGCGTTGACGGCGCGGAGCTCGAGGCGGCCGAGGTAATCAGTGGTCGGTCTGATCAAGCCCACCTCCCACCATTCCCTTAGCGCCTTGTGTTAAACTCGGCACGCGCCGTTCAGCGTCCCGCGCCGTCTGTCTCGTCCGCTGCATCTCCCCGCCCCCCGCGGCTCTGGTATCTCGGCAGCAGCGGCAGCAATGACTATGACGGAGAAATTCCTGAGCCCATCGATATCTGCATGGCGGCAGTGACGTTGTAGAATAGGGCAGGCACGTATATGTAGAGCTCATCCAAACCTTGTCAGTCTCGGTTCCGCGAGCTGCTCGCATCAAGGACAAGAGCAAGAGCAAGAGCAAGAGCAAGAGCAAGAGCGAGAGAGACAGAGACAGAGAGAAAGACAATATCCCTGACAATGCCATGTTCATCAGCTCATCAAATAATTTTTAGGCCTCGCAGCCGAATGTCGACGTCTCTCTCAAAGCTCTCAACCAACGCCCACAATCTGCCCGCCATGCTGTCATCATCTCAGCCAGGAGAACTGCCCTGCAATAACGTTCGCTTACGATCATCTGATCGCCCGCCATGTGAGTGCTCGACGGCCGTGCACTCTCCACCGTGCGCAGCCTCGGCGCCGCCGATCGCCAAGAGCGTCTATTCCTTCCGCAGTCGATCACCACATGCTGCCAGTAGTCGTCTACATGCATTGTCAGCTTGTCAGGCAGCGACCGCATGCACTGTTCTGGATGTCTGGGGAGAGGGGGTCATTGCAAGAAAGCATGCGCATCCCTCGGCCTCGGGTCGCTGCCGAGATGTAGCAGAAGGCACGACCACCGACCCAAGGTTGGCGCATGCCGCGTTCTGCGTGTCCCGCAAACGCCTCAGTATCTAGGCTACCACTTCCGCCAGGCGCCGTCATGCCACCTTGCACTTGTCACGTCATGCGGCGGTGCGCCGTGCCGCTGCTATGCGGCGTCACGGCGATCTGATGAATGTTATCCGTGGCCATGGCCACATGTCAGATCGTGAGTTTGTGAGCCTGGCACTCGACTCGGAGCTTCACACGCCTTACTGTAAGCTTGACGATGGTCTGCATTCAGACCTCTGGAAGCAAAGTGTATTAGCTTGCGTTACCACATGAATGCGTGGGCAATGGGCACAAACGAGTGGCGGCCAGGCGGTAGGAGGCGGTGTTGGTAGTTGGGCGGACGGACGTCAAAAGAAGATATCTATTCCAACTGGATTCCTCGTACCACTTCCCACCCGCCGAGTGTGCCCGCGCCGATGTTACTGATGCACTCGGACTGCTCCAGGCCGCCGCCAAGGCCACGGTCTTGAGCTCACTACCAGCGCAGATGCACCACCCTCACAGCAGGAGATCGCCTACATCCGATCTCGCCCGTGTCGAACGAGTGACGCACCTCCATCCGATGACTTGTTGACGCCTCCACACCCAACCTCATTGACCACCACCCACTCCATCCTCCATCGATATCCATCATGGCAAACCCGTCCTGCACCGACTGTCCTCCTCCCGCCCTCCAGACCGGCGTCTCCCGCCTCTCAAAGGCAGAAGTTACGCCCGCCCTCGCCTCCGCCTCGACCGCGCCGTCCTCCGCCGCCGCCTCCGCCTCCGCCCCTGCCTCCTTCGACCCACCGCGCATGCTGACGCCGCACATCGTAATCGAGTTTTGCGACCGTTGCAGATGGTGCGTCCTATCGGCGTAGCTGTTGTAGCTTTAGCTGTCGTAGCTGACGAGCTGGCATAGCTGACGAGCTGGCATAGCTGACACCAGGGCACCCCGCGCCTCATGGACCCAAACAGAGCTCATGCTCACCTTTCCCCCACCCCTCATCGCGAGCATCACGCTGCAGCCGCACAACACGCCGGAGACGGGCGGCCGGTTCCGCGTCTGGCTGGATAGAGGAGAGGGATTCGAGCTCGTCTGGGACCGCAAGGTGGGTTATGGCGGGGGGGAGTGGAGCTGATACAGACTGAAGGCGGGTTCCCGGAGCTCAAGGTGCTCAAGCAGCGCGTGCGGAATCTCGTGCAGCCAGATATGAGTCTTGGGCACTCGGACAAGGGCGGGAAGCATGGGCAGAGGGCGGAGGGGCATAAGGCGGAGGGGGAGAGGACGGAGGGGCAGACGGAGGGGCAGATGGAGGGACAGAAAGCCGAGGCGGCGGGCGCGCCGGCTGTGCCGCCTCTTGCATGAGGCGGCGAGCGCGGCTGCGAGGGATGCAGCTGTCGCGAGAGTGGCCAGCTTCCTTGCCGCTCGTCGTCACACGAGCTAGATCCATCCACAACACTCCATATCCTCGATGCATTATCCTGCACTACTTGCTGACTGACTCGTCTCTCTCCGGCAGCACCGCCCCGGCAGCACTGTCCTCCCCTTGCCACCTATCCTGCCCCGGAGGCAGACCAAGCCCGCACCCGCGTCAGGCCGAAGCGAGCCCGAGCCATGTCCGGCGGCGACGCTTGCGGCGGGGTAGAAAGCGCTCGAATGCCGATGCCGTGCCGAGCCGAGACGCACACGTTTCCAATTTGCTCCCGCTCCGCTCTCCCCATCCCCATCCAGATATTTCACCTCTTTGCCACCTACCACCCTCTCACCCACTTACTCAACTCACAATGCCTCGCTCTGTAAGTCCTCGTGCCCTCCCGCGTCCCGCGCCGCAGCTAACGCCAGTCCCGTTCGTCCGCGCGCCCCGCCGCGCGCCCCGCCGCGCCTCCCGCCGGCACCCGCCAGGCCTCGACCGCCGCGTACCCCGCCCACCCTCAGCAGCACGCGCCCGTGCAGGCGCCGACGCAGGGCTCGGCCCCCGGCCTGCTCGCGCAGACCGCGTCGACTATGGGCGGCGCCATGGCGGGGTCCGTCATCGGCCACGGCATCTCCAACATGCTTTTCGGCGGGCGTTCCGCCGAGGCACCGCCTCCCCCGTCCGAGCTGCCGGCGCAGCAGAGCCAGCCCGTGAACGCCAGCTGTGATATCCAGGCCAAGGGTGAGTAGTGTGGGGGGGGGGGGCAGCTGGAGGGTGGGTGAGGGGGAAACAGAGGTCGGAGGGAGGCGGTGCGCCCGACGACGGCGCGGCGTCTGGCCCACTTGGTTGTCTCGTTACGTCTCTCAGTCACATGCTCACCCCAGACTTCACCAAGTGCCTCGAGGCCACGAACGGCGACATGACCTCGTGCTCGTACTACCTCGAGGCCCTCAAGGCCTGCCAGGCCGCAGCGCGTCCGTACTAGATGGTCCGTTGGGGTCAGGAGTGAAAGCATGGTTCATTATGCACAGCAGTATCCAATGGCGGGGTGGGGCGATGGGCGGGGTGATGGGTCGAAGCGTGGAGGAGGGTGGGATGGAGTAATCTTTTGTAGGCGTGAGCAAGCTAAGTTGGGTGAACGCGTGAACGAGCGGTGGTGACAGACCTGCGGTCACCACGTGCGTGGCGTGGTGCGCCCCACACTTCGAACTGCATGGCTGCGGTCAAGCGGTCGAGATGCATGAGTAGTTCGTGCACGGCGAGGGGCATTGTCCAGAGTCAGAGAGTCAGGACGATGTCCGTCAGAGTCAGCCCATCGACGCTGCAGCCGCGCGATAGGAGCCGAGCTGTATCGGGCGCCATCTGCTCGCCGCAACGTCCGGGACGGGTTCACGCCCACCAACCTCCGCAGACGATTGGAAACACTATCGTCAACATCGACTGATATACGTACAGCAGACGACGGAGCGCCATGTCTTGGCGCAGCGGAAGATGTACGGACGCGGCGCGTCTCTCCGCATCGGTGCTCCCGTGGAAATGAGGGCGCGCTGCGGCGACGGTGGTTGGCCAGCCGACGCCGGCTGCCATCGGCAAACTTCGGGATTCCTATCGTCCCGACGATGAATCTTGCCCCGCAGCGCAGGAGAGCGAGGAGGAGCAAGGCCAGCATGGAGAGCAAAGAGGGCCGGAGTAGGAAGAGCACAGGCTGACTGAGCGTGTCGTATCATGGAAGCGCGGCGCCACCGGTCGATTAGCCACACTCCGGGCCGGGTGGGCTCGGCATGACGTCCCTCTATATTCTGTCAGGCTGCCCACCCCACTCTCTACTTATCCCTCGACTCTTTCTCATTCATCCCAAAACACCATGGCATCTACCGAGGGCAAGACTATCACCTGCAAGGCCGCCGTTGCGTGGGAGGCTGGTGAGTGCAGTGCCCGCGCCCGCGCCCGGGCTGACAAAAGGCAAGCCGCTCTCGATCGAGGACGTCGAGGTCGCCCCGCCCCGCGCTGGCGAGGTCCGCATCAAGATCCTCTAGTATGTTCCAGCTGCCGCGCCGCGTCCCCGCTCACCCCAGCACCGGCATCTGCCACACCGACGACTACACCCTCTCGGGCAAGGACCCCGAGGGCGTGTTCCCTGTCATCCTGGGCCACGAGGGCGGCGGCGTCGTCGAGAGCGTCGGCGAGGGCGTCGACAACGTCAAGGTCGGCGACCATGTCGTGCCCCTCTACACGGCCGAGTGCAAGGAGTGCAAGATGTGCAAGTCGGGCAAGACCAACCTCTGCTCGGCGGTGCGCGCGACGCAGGGCCAGGGCCTCATGCCGGACGGCACGAAGCGGTTTACGTGCAAGGGCCAGGAGCTGCACCACTTTGTGAGTTGGTGGCAAGTTGGTGGGACGGAGGGGTGGGGGGCTGATGGGGAGGGCGGCGCGAGGGTGGCGAGCTGGACGGAGCACGGAGCGGACTCGGCGACGAGAGTGCGGGATAGTTGGGGGAAACAATCAGCGGAGGCGAGGACGGAGCTACAGCGCGGAGGCGAGGAGGGACGCTGGGCGACGGCATCGACTACGACGGCGACCAGGACGATGAGCATAACCCCCGCTAACTCCAGATGGGCTGCTCCACCTTCTCCCAGTACACCGTCGTCTCCAAGTACTCGGTCGTCGCCATCGACCCCAAGGCGTCGCTTGAGAAGGCGTGCCTCCTCGGCTGCGGTATCACCACGGGCTACGGCGCGGCCACCAAGTCGCCTGGCATCGAGGGCTCGACCGTCGCCGTCTTCGGTGTCGGCTGTGTCGGCCTTTCCGTCATCCAGGGCGCCCGCGCCAAGGGGTGCACCAAGATTATCGCAATCGACATCAACGACAAGAAGAAGGACTGGGCGAAGAAGTTTGGCGCGACCGACTTTGTCAACCCCACGCAGCTGGGCGACCAGAGCGTCGTCGACAAGCTCATCGAGATGACGGACGGCGGCCTCGACTTCACCTTTGACTGCACGGGCAACGTGCAGGTGATGCGTCAGGCGCTCGAGTGCTGCCACAAGGGGTGGGGTGTGTGCAACATCATCGGCGTGGCGCCGGCGGGCGCCGAGATTGCGACGCGCCCGTTCCAGCTCGTCACGGGCCGCGTGTGGAAGGGCTCGGCGTTCGGCGGCGTCAAGGGCCGCTCGGAGCTGCCGGGCCTCGTGGCAGACTACCAGAGCGGCAAGCTCTGGGTGGACCAGTTCGTCACGCACCACCAGCCGCTCGACAAGATCAACGCCGGCTTCGACGACATGCACGCTGGCGACTGCATCCGCTGTGTTGTCGACATGGGTTTTGGCGATGCCCAGTAGATGCGCGGCTCTAGATAGGGAGCATGCCATCGATACTGGGCGCTGGCTCGGTTGTGTGCTCACCCGACAGACAAACGCTCATGCTGTTCATGCTGCTCATGCTGCTCATATGATGTATCTACTTGGCTCTGACTTTTGACGCGACGCAAGAAGGATATGGTGGAGTATTGAATGAAAGCTGACTGCAGATTAGGAATCAGGATGGAAGATTAGGCTGACCACGTGGCTTCGGTCTAGGATATGGTTTGTTCGGTTTGGGGATGATACCGCCTGCGACTCTGACCTGCGTCTCCTTCATACGCTGAGACGACCACCAGCGGCTACGCCAACTCGCCAGCGCATGCGGCGCCTGCTTCTGCAGATCGGGCGGCGGCACAGACGCAAGCATCTCCAACCTCAGATTATGAACCCCGCTCATTCCCAGTGGCGGCACCAAGATGGACGTGTAGCTGCCTTCGTCTTCGGCGAGTAGCCTCAGCCAGCCGATGTGCCTGGCATTGACACCTCACGCGTAGGCACAGGTACTGAGAGAGGCCAGTGGTGAGGGTCTCACGTAACTTGATAATTGGTTCTGCTGCGGAATAGCAATGGGACGAGGTGCTGGGCTGCTGCACCCGGAGTGTGTCAACTGCCGTTCCCGCCGCCGTCGCTCGTGTGCGGAGGGGAGCTATAGCGGAGAGTACCAGTTCCCGCGGAGATGACATGCCACGACGGAGGTGGCGGATGGCATGTAGATCGCGGTCGGTTGGCTGGAGACATTCATTCCGCCGTCCGGCAGCGAGCAGTATTTCTGGAGACGGGAGGCCTGCGCCGGTGATGCTCGTGCTCACTCACTCGCGTCTCATGACTAGAAGCCTGGCTCGACACCACCGCTCTGGTCTAGAGGCACCGATCTGACGACCGCCGCGTGGCGACAACGATAACACACGTAACGGGCATTTCCGACGGGGGCAACTGTCATCCGAAGCCGAGGCGGGCGCTGGAGCATTCGATCGGCCGCGTCGTCAGCATCGGGCGCCGGCACACGACACTGGCAGCCCCCACCCCCCACAGCAGCTTGTTCTCGCCTGATGATTGACCTGACTTGGGCGGCTAAACGAGTAAATGATGGCGCATTCCAAGTGCAGGAGGAGGATGACGACAGACGAGATGAGAAGAGATCGAGTCCGAGTCCGATGACCGCCTCGTGCCTGGGATGGGGGGGGCGGAAGTAAATTGGGAACAAGGCGGATTAGAAATTCAATTACAAGTTCAATAGGACTCTAATTAGAATCAGAATATGCGAATTCCTGCAATCCCCCTTGGACACCCGTAGTCCCTGCGATTGGACCCTGAACTCCCCCTGTTGGTCTTGGTCGCCATCACATCGCCTCTCCTCCCCATCCTCGTCGTCGTCGTCTTGCTCTCCATCCATCGCCCTCTGCTCTCCGCTCTCTGCTCCCCTCCCGTCTGTCTCGGGCCGCATCGCATCGCCCTTGGCCTGTAGACGGTTGCCTCCCTTTTCCTCGCTGTCGCCCGCCACTCCCTCGGCCTCTCGATCCGTCAAGCCACCCGTGGACACCCCATCGTCTGCTCGTCCGACCTCTGCTCGCTGAATCTTGGCTTGAATCAGCCATCTTGCATTCTTGCTCTCTCGCCACTCAATCACGCGTCGTCGCCATCATCCCCAGCCTCACTGTAGCCCCAAGTCTCTCGCCTCGCTTCGATCCATCCCCCCACCACACACAACCTCAACTTCTTGCGGGCGGCTCCGGAATCCTCCCCAAGCTCCACTCGCGTCTCGCTTGATCGTTCGCTTCTTGCCTCTTCATCCCACTCTCTCTCTCTCTCTCTCTCTTTCTCGCTGCCCCCACCATGTCCTACTTCACAATGGTCGGCTCAGAGTTCGACCTCCCTCATCCCACTCTCTCTCGACATCCCCCTCGCTTCTACATCCCAGATCGCTCAGAGTACTCGCCAGGCCCAGCAACATCAGTCTTTGGCCGAGAGCCATTCTCCATGCACTCGCGCATGCCCTCCATCTCCACCACCCCATACTCGGGCCACTCGACACCCTACCACGCCGAGTCCTTCTACGGCTCTGGCTCGCGATCCTCCATCGCCGCACTCCGCCACGCCCTCCACACCTATCACCGTCACGCGCAGGGCGGTCCCCTCACGCCCCAGCAGCAGATTTCTCGATCAGGTCATTCTCGCGCACCCGGAGGACATCGCGCCGTCGGAGGAAGCGCGGGCCTCGTTGGCGGCGGTGGTGGCGGCGACTCGAGCCCAGGAGAACCGGCTGAACTGGGTGACCCAACCGCATCGCTCTCAGCCGACCTCTGGGGTCGTGTCGGTAATGAGCCGCTCGATGCACTCGTCGACATCCACAGGGTGCTGTATCGTGGTGGAGAAGATCCAGCAGACCACAGCGCTCCTCCATGGGCCGAGCAGGGGCGGGAAGTCAAGCGCGTAATGGAGCAGTGGTTCGAGGGCGACTGCGGTGAGTAGAGCCCGAGAGCTGAGACGAAGCGCGCCGTGCTTCCCCACAAACACCTTGGCGAGCGGCTTGTGCTGACCCCAACAGTTTATGACCATCCGCTCGTCCGGCTTTCTTCGCGCCAGTCCGTGCTCACTCACTTTGCACTCCTCCAGCTCCTCTCCACCGCCTACCTCCCCTCTTTCACCCCATCCTCCCTCCTGCTCCACGCACGGTCTCTCACTTCAAGAGTGCGCTCAGCTCTCCTCGGCGTCGACTACCTGACCTCTCCATCTGTCACTGCGCGTGACAAGCGCGCCGTTACTGACCCAATCGACGAGTGGTTGGCGTCGGCGGGCCAGCATCATGGTTCCGTGATGAACCGCAACAATGCCGATGACGGGTGGTGGAAGCTCTGGGATGTGTCCGCCGAGTGCCGCGACATCGGTTGCATGGAGTGTTATGAAGGATACCACATTGCACTGATTGACCAGTGAGTGTTGCTTGGCGTACATCGCTAACCCCAGTGTCATCTCCCTTACCCTGTTCCCCGCGATAATCAAGCGCCCGCTCAACAACCTGACGCCAATGCAGTCATCCGACTCGCTTATGCCCGCGCCACAGCGCGGCTTCATACTTCGCCTAGCCGAGTCCGTGCTGCGCGAATTCGACTTCCTCCTACACTGGGATCTCCCCGTGTCGACGATCATCGAGTTCAACGAGGTCGGCAAAGCGACGCATGTCCGCGATGTCGTAGATGTGCGCGACGTAATCGACACCTTTGTACCATTTGCCAAGCGCTTCAGCTGGATATCTCGCCGGTTAACGGGCATGTTCACGTCCGCTGTCGGCAGCGTGGCGCTCACCCTGTTGCCAGGCCACCAAGTGATATTTGGCGACCCGATCCGCGTCGGCGACGCGAAAGCCATGATCCGTGAAGTGGAGGAAGATGCCGACGGCAGCGGGCACGGGTGTGGCCACAAGCACAAGCACCACCTCGGCTCGGCGATCGCGCTGAGCACGACAGTCAAGGCGTCCGACGTCATGTTTCCCGAGCACCCGCGCTTCGGCGCCAACTCGCTCGGGCTGCACGGCGTAAACGACGACGCGCCCGAGACGCTCACGTCGCCGTCGATGGCGCCGGACGTCGACGGCTCGCGCTCAGACGCGTAGCAGTAGCATTGCATCTCTATTCCCGTTGTACACGTCTACCCAGTTGTCTATGCAGATGTTGTGTATTGAGGGTGGAGGGTGGAGGGCGGTGCCTGAAACCGCCACGTTAGTGAATGTGCATCTCTCTCGTCGTCGTCCTCTCCGTCCATATACCCTCCGCAATGGTACGCCGCGACCTCTCCCTCTCCTCTCCTCGGCTCGGCGCGCCGCGCAGCGCAGCGCAACGCCTCCCCGCCTCCCCCGCCTCCCCCGCCGCGCCACGTCGCTGACACCAGGCAAACCTCTCCCTCTACACCGTCACCGCCCTCCTCATCCTCGACAGCGAGGGCAACCGCGTCGTGGCCAAGTACTATGCCCCGCCCCACTCGTCCGTCGGCACCGGCACCCCCGCCGAGCTCGGCGTCGGCCCCGGCGGGCCCGGCATGTCCGGCCTCCAGACGTACAAGGAGCAGCGCGCGTTCGAGAAGAGTGTGTGGGAGAAGACGCGGAGGGGAGCGGGTGAGTTGCGCGAGCCGCGAGCGCGAGAGCGCGAGAGCGCGTGAGCGAGCGTCCAAGTGCTGGCGCAGTCAGCCATGCGTGCTGAGCTCTGGGCTGAGTGCCTGCTGCGCGCTGGCGTGCTGCGTCTGGATGCCGGTGCAGGTATGCTGACGCCCGCGACGCCTCCTCGACCTGTTCTCCCGCTTCGACTGCCGGCCCGCTACCTTCCCCTCGCTACCTCGCTACCCCGCTATATCGCCTACACGGCCCGCTCACACCCGCTACAGGCGAAATCCACCCGCTCCCGCCGCACCTGATCCTCTCGCGCCCCTCGACCGACCTGCACTTCCACATCGTCGGGCCGTTGGCCACGAGCAACGAGCTCATGCTCCAGTCTACGCTCACGGCGTTCCACGACGCCGTGTCCCTCCTCCTCCGCGGCCAGATTGAGAAGCGCGTCGTGCTCGAGAACCTGGATCTGGTGCTGCTCGCTGCGGACGAGACGGTTGATGATGGGTGAGTGCGGCCGGGGGTAGAAGGCGGGGGGAGGCGGAGACTGCAGGAGGACGAACGAGAGACGAGCGGACGACGAGAGACAGAAGATGGCTAGCAACACAACAGGTCACGATCTGGATGCTGCAGCAACGTCTCACTCACGCCGTCGCTGTTCTCTCCACATCCGCTCACACCAGAATCATCCTCGAGACCGACGCCGCGGCCATCGCGTCCCGCGTGACCCGCCCCAAGCCTGACTCGACGGACATTGTCATCAACGAGCAGACGCTCCTCAACGCTTGTGAGTGCAGGCATGCACTCGACGCTCACCCCAGACTCGACATTCAAGGAGCGCGTCACGCAGCGTATTGGGCAGCTCTAGAGATAGTTATATGGCATGGCTAGGTTTGTATGCTTGTGGTGCTGTCCACTATGTCGTCAGTCGCGCCTCCTCGACCCCCTCCGACTCTCCCACATCGCTCACGACTCCTTAACCCCCCCCCCCCCCCCCCCCCCCCCCCCCCCCCCCCCCCCCCCCCTCCCATCACACGCCCCACGCATGCATGGAACCCGGAATACAAACACCTCAAATCTGCCTACCATGCTAATGCCGAGCATGCGCCGCCCACCCGGCGCGCGCGCAAACCTTTTCTTTAAACCGCCTAGTACGAGCGGCCGAACAGCGTCCACTTGGACGCCTTCTTGCCGCACTGGGGGCAGGCCTGCTTGTCGCCGTTGGGGAAGGGGCCGAAGCGGTCCTGGTCGAAGGGGATACAGAGCGACTTTGCGCCGGACGAGGGGGCCTTGGAGTCCTCTGCCTGGCCGCGCGCGGCCTCAGCCTCGGCGCGCGACCGGTCCTTGATGTCGTCTTCGCACTGGGGGTCCTCGCACCAGGGAATAACAAGAATGTTCTTGGCGTCGAGCGTGGGCGTCACGTCCTTCCACTCGGTGACGCGGACGACGTGCGCGTCCATCTTGGCCTTTGCGTTCTCGTACATCTTGTTCTGGATGTCTGCGAGCGTGCTCTTGACGCTGTCGACGATGCCGGCGAGCGCGAGCGAGCTCTTGTGATTGTCGTAGCGGCGCACGGCGAGCGTCGAGCTGGCCGCGATGTCGCGCGGGCCCAGCTCGAGACGCAGCGGCGTGCCGCGCATCTCCCAGTCGTTGAACTTCCAGCCGGGCGTGTATCCCTCGCGGAGGTCGACGGTGGCGCGCACGCCGCCGGCCGTCAGCTCGTCCGCGAGCTTTTGGCACGCGTCGTAGATCGTCTTGTTCTTCCCCTCGACCTTGGACAGGCCGACGGGGATGACCACAACCTGGTGCAGCGCGACCTTGGGCGGGAAGACGAGACCTTGGTCGTCGCCGTGGATCATGACCATGACGCCGATGGAGCGCGTCGACAGGCCCCACGAGTTCTGGAACACGTTGATCTTGGTGTTCGCCGTGGGGTCCGAGCGGTCTGCGTTCGGGTCCTCCACGTTGATGTCGAACATCTTGGAGAAGTTCTGGCCCAGGTGGTGCGACGTCGCGCCCTGGATGCCGCGGCCTGTGGTCGGGATGAAGCCCTCTACCGTCGTCGTGTAGTCGGCACCGGCAAACTTCTCGTTCTCAGACTTCTTGCCGGGGATGACGGGCACGGCGAGCAGGTCCGTGTACACTTGGCGGTAGAGCTCGAGGATGTCGAGCACTTCCTTGTCCGCTCCGGCCTTGTCGAGGTGGGCGGTGTGGCCCTCCTGCCAGAGGAACTCGCGGGTGCGGAGGAACGGCTGGGGGTTCTTAAACTCCCAGCGCACGACCGAGTTCCACTGGTTCAGCTTGAGGGGCAGGTCACGGTGCGACTTGATCCACTTGGCGTAGTAGGGGTACATGACCGTCTCCGAGGTGGGGCGGATAGCAATGTGCTCCTCGAGGTCCGACTTGCCGGCCTTGGTGACCCACGCGACCTCGGGCGCGAAGCCCTCAATGTGGTCCTTCTCGCGCTCGAGACGCGCCTTGGACACGAACATGGGGAAGTAGCAGTCCTGGACGCCGAGCTTCTTGATCTCGCCGTCGAAGAAGGCCTGCACATCCTGCCAGATGTGGTACGAGGGCGGGCGCAGAATGTAGCAGCCCGAGATGTCGTAGTAGTCGAGCATCTCGCCCTTGATGAGCACATCCGTGTACCAGCCGGGGAAGTCCTCGTCCTTCTTGTACTGGATAGCCATCTCGTAGAGGTCATCGTCCTTCTTAGCAACCTCCTTCTTGGGCGCGTCCTTCTTCTCCTTGGGCGCGCGGGCGACGGGGGCGGGAGCGTTCGCCTTGAGCTCGGCAAAGTCGAGGACACGCACGGCCTCGGGCGTGGCGGTCAGCGACTCGAGGTACGCCTTGATCTCGGTGCCCTTGAGGAGGACGGTCGAGGCCGACGAGGTGAGGTGGAGGGCGAATGCGTCCGACGACGAAGCGAGGGCGGCGTCGAGCACGACGAAGAGGGAGGCAGGGACGGGGGCGGGGAGGGGGAGAGCCGAAACGTCGTCCTTGGACGCGGCCGAGGGAACAACCTGCTTGATGAGGTCCTCGTTGGCGAGGCGGAGCTCCTTGAGACCAAGGGCGCCACCAATTGCACCGGAAGAAGTCTCCGTGTCCTCCTTAGCGATGACGAGGACGGGGGTGGGCTCAGCGCTCTTGGGCTGCTTGGGCTTGAAAAGGAGCTGGGGTTAGCGCGTGCGTGCGTGCGGATGTGTTGGCGTGCGTGCGGGCCGAGCTTGAAGGGATCCAAAAGTCCAAGCAGCAATCCGGAGGGGTGAAACGAAACTCACAGTCTTGGTGAGGGGGACAGCAGTCTTGCCAGCCTTGTCGAGCTCGGCGCGCCACTCAGCACCGCCGGAAACAGCGGCGTGCTTGATAACTTCGGGGGCCGAGATGCTCAACTTGCCCAGGCGCGCGATAATGTCGTTGTCGGAAACAGCGGCCATGACGGGAAAGGGTTGACGGGGGGTGGGGGGGGTGCTGCGAGAGTAGGGGCGCGCAGCGACGGCGAGGGAGGGGGCGTAGAGGTGGACGTTGGTGCGTGCGATAAAGCGAGGAGAGGCTGCTGCTAGAAATGCCTTGAATGGGCGGATGAGCATGAACAGCAGGAGAGAGAGAGCGAAAGACGAGTTGAGATCGAGTGAGATCGAGTCGATGGCCCGTTCGCATTTGGTATATCGATATCCGGTTCAATCCGGTTGGATCCGCCCGTTTCGAGGTTGAACCGGGTGGGAAGTGCACACCCACGCGGTAATCATCGGAATCCTAATTCAATTAGCGTGATTTGTATTGACGCTATTGACATCCAGTCAAATGCAGAGCGGGGAGTGGGGCAGGGCAGTGGGATTTGCGATTCGCCACATGTCCATCCCGGAGTGAGCCCGCCCAGAGTGACTTGCGGGATTTCGGGATTATGCCAGTTTCGTCTCTGATCCGCGTCCCAAGTCAATCGACGACCCGACCAAGGTGCCAGCGACGACCTCCATCCCTCAACACTCACACAAAATGTCGGCCGACCTCCAGTGGCTCCTTATCCGCAAGTGGAACTCGTTCATGCGCCCCGCCGCGAACGGCCCCATCTTCTCGGCTGAGAAGGTGAGCATTGCATTTCTCGACATTCGATGGCCTTGGTCTTGTGGACATCGGCGCAGGCAGGATCCATGGCGACGGAGCGGGCGGCGCAGCATCGCATGGCAGCTCAATGGGCGCAGGAGCAGGAGCAGGAGGGAGTGGGAGGAGGCGTGGAGGTTGAAGAAGCGAGAGAAAGCGCTGTGGAAAGGCCAACCTACGCGCCATGGTTCATGGCGAGTGCGATCTTCGCCGAGATGAGCTGCGTGCTGCTGGTGCCAAGTGTCCCAACCTGTCGTCGGAGAGCCCCTCCAGACGGCGAGGATTTCCCCCCCCCCCCCTGCCCCGCCATTCTGGCCGTTGCCGTACCCCACCCGCACGAATACTCACACCACAGGGCAACCTCCTCAACATCCACTCGGGCAAGTACTCTGGTCTCGCCAACAACAAGGTGATCGACATCTCGGCCAACCCCGAGGGTGCCATCACCGTCACCAAGGTGACTGCCAACGGCGGCAAGGTCGCCTCTGCCCGCAAGCAGACCACCCTCCGTCGCTCGACCGGCCCCCGCCGCGCCAACAAGATCGCTGCCGTCGAGACCGCCGCCAAGGGCTTCCGTGCTGACCTCCGTCCCGTGAGTAACCCCTCTTGCTTCTCCAAGCACCCAGCAGCCGCGCTTAGAACTCCCCGGACTACCTCATGAAGGCGGAGCGTATTAGGTCTGCGAGATTTATCATTCTCCCGACTTTCCTGCCTGCGCGCGCTGCACGTGCGCGGGCATCTAGTGCTGTTGGGATACACTGACACCCAGGCTGCCGTCGCCCGCATCTCGGCCCTCACCCGCGCCAACCGCCGCACCCAGAACCCCCCTAAGGAGTTCCCTGCCAAGCAGCGTGGCAAGAAGGCCGCCGCCGGTGCCGCCGCCGACGAGAACGCCATCGAGCTCGACTAAGCTAGTCGTGGGCGTGTAGGTGTAGAGACTGGCCGGCAAGGGCTGTCGCGCCAGGAGGGTTTGGTAGTAGAGGTATGCCATATCTCTCGCATCGTGAAGTTTGGGGGCCGGGCCATGGCACTGTCAGATTAGGTCGCTGTTTCTAATCAGTTGTCCAGAGGTCAAAGGCTGGCGCATATCTTGTAGGGCTGTCGTTGGCGTGAGCCTTGCGACACGATGGCCGTGTTGCGCGAGCTGCGAGCTGCATGCTGCATGCTGCGAGCTGCATGCTGCATGCTATGGTGAACAAACTTGGGTGGAGGGCTGCCACACGGGAGCATATCCCAGGCACGGCTCAATGAACGCGCCTCGCTGGCCTCACCACGTTGAACTGGTCCACAAGTCATCTCTCCACCTCGACCCATCCTCCGCCTCTCCCTCCTCGGCATCCCCTCCGCTCTCTTCTGCCGCCCCGCTCTGCATACCAACAGCGAGGGCGCACCGCTCCCCCTCCTCCTCCTCCTCTCCAGCGATCGCCGAGAAAATAGCTCACGATGGTGCGTATCTCACAAGATCATCCAACTAACACGCAGCCGATGCTCCTCGACATCCAGCGCAAGCTCCTCGCAAGGTCTGACCGAGTCAAGTCGGTCGACTTTCATCCCACCGAGCCCCATGTCATCTGCGGTCTCTAGTGCGTAGCCCCTTCATGCTCAGCTGACGGCAGCAACGGCCAGGTCAAGATCTGGAACTATGAAACACAGACCGACATCAAGACCTTCGAGGTGACCGACGTCCCAGTGCGCTGCGTCAAGTACATTGCGCGCAAGAACTGGGTGAGTTCGCATGCCGCTGGGAGCTGACAACAGTTCGTGTCGGGCTCGGACGACTTCCAGCTCCGCGTGTACAACATCTCGACGGGCGAGAAGGTGACCTCGTTCGAGGCACACCCAGACTACATTCGCTGCCTTACGGTGCACCCCACGCTCAGCTTGGTGCTCACGGGCTCGGACGACATGACGATCAAGTGCTGGGACTGGGACAAGGGATGGCGCTGCGTCCAGATCTTCGAGGGCCACACACACTACATCATGGCACTCGCGATCAACCCCAAGGACCCCCAGACATTTGCGTCGGCATGTCTCGACCACACCGTCAAGGTGTGGTCGCTTGGTAGCCCCGTTCCCAACTTCTCCCTCGAGGCGCACGAAAAGGGCGTCAACTACGTCGACTACTACCACGGAGGTGACCGCCCGTACATTGTCACGACGGGCGACGACCGTCTCGTCAAGATTTGGGACTACCACGCCAAGTCGTGCGTCCAGACGCTTGAGGGTCACACTGCCAACGTGTCCTTCGCGATATTCCACCCCTCGCTCCCCATCATCGTCTCAGGCTCTGAAGATGGCACCATCAAGGTCTGGCACTCGTCAACGTACCGTCTCGAGAACACTCTCAACTACGGCCTCGAGCGCGCATGGTGCATTGCCTACCGCAAGACGGGCAATGAGATCGCCGTCGGCTTTGACGAGGGTGCCGTTGTGCTCAAGCTCGGCCGTGACGAGCCCTCCATCTCGATGGACGCGTCCGGCAAGGTCGTGTATGCGCGCAACACCGAGGTTCTCACCGCCAATGTCGGGCAACTCGGCGAAAAGGACGAGATCGAGGATGGCCAGCGCCTCTCCCTCCCCCTCCGTGAGATGGGCACGACCGAGGTCTACCCCACCTCGCTCCAGCACTCGCCCAACGGCCGCTTCGTGACCGTCTGCGGCGACGGCGAATACATCATCTACACTGCGCTCGCATGGCGCAACAAGGCCTTTGGCAGCGGTACCTCATTCGCCTGGGCTTCCGACTCAAACACCTATGCCGTCCTCGAGGGCAAGTCCAAGATCCGCGTCTTCCGCAGCTTCAAGGAGCGCACGGGGCTCATCAAGTCGTCGGGCTCGTGGGCCGTCGAGGGCATCCACGGCGGGCCGCTGCTGGCCGCGCGTGGCTCTGGCTTTGTCATGTTCTGGGACTGGGAGACGGGGGCCGTCGTCCGCCGCATCGAGGTGGACGCGACCAACGTCGCGTGGTCGCAGTCGGGCGAGCTCGTCGCCATCACCACCGAGGATTCGTTCTACATCTTGCGCTTCGACCGCGACGCGTACGCGCAGGCGCTCGACTCGGGCGAGATCATCGGCGACGAGGGTGTCGAGGAGGCGTTCGACATCGTGGCTGATGTTGCGGAACAGGTCAAGACGTGCAAATGGATCGGCGACTGCTTCATTTACACCAACTCGGCCAACCGCCTCAGCTACCTTATCGGGGACCAGTCGAGCGTCATCAACCACTTTGACACGAGCGTCTTCCTCCTCGGCTACCTCCCGTCCCACAACCGCATCTATGTCGCGGACAAGGACATGAACATCTACAGCTACGGCCTGTCGCTCACTGTTGTCGAGTACCAGACTGCCATTCTCCGCGGCGACATGGAGGAGGCTGAGCGTATCCTCCCAACCGTTCCCGCCGACCAGCGCAACCGTATCGCCCGCTTCCTTGAGGTGCAAGGTGCGTTGGGTACCGGAATCGGAGCTGACAGCAGACCTGAAAGAGCTTGCGCTGCAGGTGTCTACTGACCCCGACCACAAGTTTGACCTTGCGATCGGCATCAACGACCTTGAGACAGCGCTCACTCTGGTGCGCGCAGCCCCCGAGGCTGGCTCCGAGACCAAGTGGAAGGTGGTGGGCGACAAGGCGCTGGCTGCATGGCAGCTCGACTTGGCGCAGGAGGCCTTCGAGAAGTCGAAGGACCTCGCCGCCCTGCTTCTGCTGTACACGTCGCTCGCGGACCGGGATGGGCTGCAGCGCCTGGCGCAGGCAGCCGTGGAGAAGGGGCAGAACAATATCGCTTTCGCGGCATTCTTGCAGCTCGGCGACAGCGCGAGCTGCGTCGAGTTGCTGGCGTCCACCGACCGCCTGCCCGAGGCAGCCTTGATGGCGCGTTCGTACAACCCTGCCCTCGCCGGCCCCGTCGTCAAGAAGTGGAAGGGCGAGCTTGAGCGCGCGGGCCGCAAGAAGGTGGCGGCGACGATCGGGTCGCCGGACGAAGACCGCGGCCTGTTCGAAGAGCTCGACAGCGAGGGCTCGGGCGTCATGGTCGAGCGCGAAGTGGACGGGCTCGCGTCGGGCGTCGCGGCGATGGGGGTGCGCTCGCCGTCGCCCAAGAAGAGCCGGACGCCGAGCCCCGTCAAGGGCAGGTCGCCGAGTCCGGCCAAGGCCGGCTCGGCGTCGCCAGAGAAGCCCCGGACGCCGTCGCCGACCAAGGGCTTGTCGCCGGGAGCCGCGTCGCCTTCCAAGACGCCCAGCCCAACACTGAGCGGCAAGGCGGACAAGAAGGACTAGCCGCTATAGAGTAGGATAGGCATGCATGGATTGGACAGCTGGGAGAAGGGGAGTGAACTGGTGCAATGAGCAGGTTGGCGGGGCCAGGCACTGTGCGTCTGCTGACGAACGCTGCGAGGAGAACGATGCATCGCTGGGTTGGTACTTGTCTACATGCGGAAGCCACGGCGCCACGAGCCTAGGTACTTGTGGCGAGCGAAGAGGGCGGACGCGACGCCGAACGCGATGCCGCCGGCATGCCCGGCCGAGTCCGTCAGCCCTTGTCGGGACGTCACGGCCTGCCAAAAGTCCCACTGGGCGTCAGCGCTCACGACCAACAATCGCGTACTCACCGCAAACAAACCCCCCACAACCATCCATGCGCGCGCCGGGATGATGAAGAAGAGGAGGAACGTCGCCTGTGGGAAGATGGTGCCGTAGAACGCGAGGCACGCGTATATCGCGCCGCTCGCGCCCTCGGACCCGCCGATGCGCCGCGTCTTGTTCGTGTTGAACGTCTGGTACACGAGCGAGCAGATGCCCGCGAACAGCCCGCCGCCAATATACAGCCCGAGGAAGTTGAATGCGCCGAGGAGGCTGGCGTCAGCGCCGTCTCACGCGACGTACCCAGCCACGGCGGGCGCCATAAAGTACAGCCCGAGCATGTTGAAGAAGATGTGTGCCGTGCTCATCTGCGAGAACGTGCTCGTGACGAGCGTCCACAGGCGCCCGTCGGTGATGTTCGGCATGCACAAGATAAAGTTCTTCCACATCCAGTTGTATAGCGCGGGGTCGCGGAAGCGTTGCTGCCGTCAGCGGGGCGGGCGGGGGCGGGCGGCCGTACCCATGACGAGATGGCGTACTGCCACAGCAGGAAGACGAGGGCGTTGAGCGCCATGATCACGTACACGACGTGCAGCGGGTTCCAGCGGTTCACGCGGGCGCGGATGGCGTCGAGCGCGCCGCGCGGCGGCGGCGGCCCCGATGAGCGGTTGTAGTGGTCCCGGATGCGGCCGAGGGGCGAGGACGAGAACGCGCGCTGCAGCAGCCGCTGCGTCATGCTCGCGGGCGGCGCGGAGGGGTGCGGCTGTCGCGCCCAGAGGGCGTGGACGCGCTCGCTTGTCAGCAGGGGAGACGGGGTGGGAGTGGGGCGGACGAGGCGTGGGGTCGCGGCGGCGGCGGACGCCGAGAGCGGGCGCAGCGACAACAACACGGGGGACAGCGGGCGGCGCAGCGCACAGCGCAGTGCGCCGAGGCCGGGGAGGAGGCGCGACATCGTGGAGTGTGAGCTGACGATACGAGCAATGAGGAGACGATGGAGGGCATGAGCTCATGCAGCCATCGTGGGAGAGTGGAGGCTGGGGCTCCGTCGAAAAGTTCCGTTGCCGCTCATGCTGAAGATTTCGGCGGCGGCAACAACATACTCCATCCAACAACCATGACGGCCTTCCCGAAAGTCTACACGGTCAACGGGCCGTCGTCGACGAGCGCGGCCGCGCTGCCCTCGTGGGTCACGGTCAAGGCGCGCCCGAAGCGCGACGCCCACGGACACAAGAAGCGCGTCAAGACCCAGCACACGCTCGGCCAGCTCGAGCTCATCCAGGACTTCAACTTCCCCACCGCCGCCATCAAGATCCGCACCACGCGCGACGGGCTGCATGCCGTCGCGACGGGGACTTATAAGCCCATGATCAAGGTGTGGGATCTGGAGCAGCTCACGGAGAAGTTTGAGCGCGTGACGGATGCGGAGAACGTCGACTTTGTTGTGAGTCGTGAGGGCGGGCGTGCAGGCGCCGGAGTTGACCGCAGATGCTCTCGGACGACTGGACCAAGTCGTTGCATTTGCAGCGCGATCGCTCGTTGCAGCTCCACACCCAGGGTGGGCTGCACCACACCATCCGCCTGCCGATCTACGGGCGCGCGCTCGGCTATCACTCCCCCAGCGCGGACGCGCTCGTTGCCTGTACTGGCACTGAGGTGTTCCGCTTCAATCTCGAGGAGGGGCGGTATATGACTCCTTTGAATGTCGGGCAGTGGACTGGCGCGCAGGACGTCGAGGGGGTCAACTGCCTCGACGTGAACCCGCGGCACGGACTGTGGTCCTTCGGGCTGGACGGCGCGGGCACCGTCGAGTTCTGGGATCCGCGCGCACGCAGCGCGCTCACCCGCCTCACGCTTCCAGCGTCCAGCTTGCTCCCGGCGCAGGACTACGAAGTCGACGCGCTGTTCGGGCGCACCCAGAAGCTGTCGATTTCGAGCTTGAAGAGCCACCCATTCGACGGCTTGTCGCTCGCTGTCGGCACCAGCTCGGGGCACACCCTGCTGTACGACTTGCGGTCGCCCAAGCCCTTTGCCGTCAAGGACCAGGGCTACGGCGAGCCTGTGCGGGTCGTCGACTGGCTGCGTGGCGGCGGCTCGCAGGAGGACTCGGGCCGCGTCGTCAGCGCGGACTCGAAGGTGATCAAGGTGTGGGACAAGAAGTCGCCCGACGTCAACCACCTGTCGCTGCACCCCCCCAACCCGCTCAACGACCTGCACGCCGTGCCCGACAGCGGGTTGTTGCTCGTCGCATGCGACGCCTCGCCGCTCTCGACGTACTACGTGCCCGACTTTGGGCCGGCGCCGCGCTGGGCGAGTTTCCTCGACAACGTCACGGAAGAGATGGCGCAGGACGCGAGCGGCGCCGGCAAGGGCGCGTACACGGACTACAAATTTGTCGACCGCACCGAGCTCGAGACCCTCAGCCTCACGCACCTCATCGGCACACCCGCCCTCAAGCCGTACATGCACGGCTACTTCCTCGCGCTCAAGCTGTACCAGACGGCGCGGCTCATCGCGAACCCGCAGAGCTACGAAGCAGACCGCGAAAAGACGATCAATGCCAAGCTCGAGGCCAAGGCCGCGAGCCGCATCCGTGCCCGCCGCGACGTGCCCAAGGTCAACAAGGCGCTCGCGGAGCGGTTGCGGAAGGAGGCCGAGCGCGAGGAGGCGAGCAATGCGCGCAAGCGGGCGCGCCGCGCTGCCGCGGGCGAGGAGGACGAGGGCGAGGTGGAAGGCGAGGAGGAGCGCAAGCAGGGCGGCAAGACGTCGTCCAAGGACGTGCTGTCCGACCCGCGATTCGCCGAGCTGTTCACCAACCCCGAGTTCGAGATCGACGAGAGCTCGCATACGTTCGCGCGCCTCAACCCGGCTACGGCGCGCGACGCCGCCGGCGGGCGGCACCGGACGGCGGTGGAGAGCGAGGAGGAAGAAAGCGATCACCCGTCTTCGGGCATCGAGGACGAAGACGAGAGCGAGGAAGAGGAAGACGAGCCCTCCGACGCCGAGGTGCCCGAGGAAGATGTGGATGGGGGCGAGGAAGAAGAGGACGACGAGGACGAGGAAGAGGACGAGACGGCGCCGCCCAAGAGGGCATCACGCGCCTTCCCGCTCGCGTCTGGCGCGCGCCACTCGCTCGTGGTCGGGGGCGAGGTGGCGCGCCCACAGACGTTCGGGCAACGCCTGGCGGCGTCCAAGCCCAAAGCGGCCGAGGAGAAGCCGGACGGCGTGCTGGCGATGCGGCGGGCTGCGGACGGCGGCATGGAGATGTCGTTCATCCCCAAGGCTGGGGGGCGGAAGGACGACAGCGACGACGAGTACGGCGGCGGCACGTACAAGCGGCGTTCGAAGGTGGAGAAGTTTGGGGCGGGGCTCGAGAAGGGTGTGGACGACGAGGAGAATGCCGAGCAGGGGCGCAAGACGCGCAGGCATCCGGGAAGGAGCGCGAGCAAGAACACGTTCCGGAGGAGGTAGAGGTAGATGCATATATTGGGTTTACGGGGCTTGAGGTGAAGGAGAGGGTACATGTGATTACCAATCGACCGCATCTGTCGTGACGCGCTATGGGGGGATGGGGTGTGGTATGGCGTTGCTACGGGAGAAAGAGGAGTGTCATGTCATGAAGTCAGCGTCGCTGCTCCCATCCTGCACCCGAGTTTCTGCAGTACTGCATACTGCGAATGTCCGATATCAAACGCGTCGGACTCATGGCAACTCTGCTGAGTTGTAGAAGCAAAGTGCGTGATCCAAAAAAGCCTCCCCGCCACGCACAGCTGCCACTGTGGCAGTGTGCCCCCTCCCACTGATGTGTACGCTTGCTCTAGACATGATTGACCCCCAACGATGGTTCACGTATCCTTACTCGTAAAATTGGACGCCTTGCGGCTGGACGAGTCCGCCACACTTGTGCCAGTGACACCCCCACTGCACACGACAATGTGATTAGAACAGCCTACTGACTCCGAACCAGTCAAAATAGACGACCATAAATAATCTGGGTTTGTTCTCAGAGGTTGCCAAAGTGCGGAGCTCTATTGACCATGGAGTCTCTCACTTAGCATGCACAAGCTGTCTCTGCCGGCTGGCAAGGGCGGGAGGGGAGAGGGAGAGGGAGGCTCAGACGCTGCACATGGCTGTGCACAGCAAGCGTCCGGACTCGTGGGTATCTTCTCGCTTGCAAGCAAGTGTGCGCAGCATTGTGCCACTCTGTGAAGCACACGCGGCAACAGCCTCAAGTCTAGCTCTTGCCACATCGTCGCAAAAGAGTATCTCACCACTGTGAGTCGAACACAGGACCTGCGGATGTACACCACTCAATCGAGGGGCTAGGTATCAGATTACAGTCCGACGCTCTACCAACTGAGCTATGGTGAGGATGTCTGACGACAATCTCACCGTCTCCCTCTCGTGTATGAACCAGCGCCGGATAAATTTCGGCCGATGTGATGTCATGAGTCACCCTCGGCGACGGCGGCACCGAGGCTTAGTGATGTGCGAGAGCCAAGCTTCGGGGTTGATGCAGCGTACAATGGGCCGCTCTCGGTCCGCTCGTGGACGTGATGCGAGAACCTTCTACGTTCTACGACAGGTCGTGCAAGCTACATTGCTGCTTCCCGAGCTTGGCGAAGTGCTGCACCCCCCTGCAGAAGTTGATGACCACATGCATAGAGGGTGCAGAAGGAGAAGACGATCAGACTATATCCGGATATACGGGTGTAGGCGACGTTAGGAGTACTCTGAGGGTGGCGATTGTGCCGACATTTTTCGGGCATGTGTGTTGATTCAGGGTCCAAATTGGGTTTATCCACGTCAACTTTGACCTCGGCCTGTCTCGGTCCTCACCTCGCGCACCTCCGCCGCCGCCCTTGCGCCGGGCGACGCGACCCCCTCTTGTCATTTAAAAAGCCCAGCACGTCCTTGCTCACGTTGCTTTGTCCCCCATCCAAAATTCATCCAGCCACAATGTCCGCCCCCGCTCTCATGATCCAGAAGCCTGCCCCGTGAGTAGTTACCAGCTTATCTGTGACCAGCAGTGCTGACGCTCAGCGAGTTCAAGGGCACCCTCGTCAAGGAGGGCGAGCTCCAGGAGGTCTCGCTGTCCGACTACAAGGGCAAGTGGGTCGTTCTCGCCTCGTACCCCATGGACTTCAGTGAGTATCTGTCTCTGCGGTCATCTTGCCGTGAGAGTGTCGAGGGGGGATGTTGGCCTGGAGAACATTGGAAAGGTTGTAGCATTGTGCGGAAGGAGGCAGAACGTTGGCAAGACCAGTGTCTTCCCCCGTCTCCGAATCTCCACTACGACTGCGCTGCCATCCTCTCTCGCCCTTGGCTTAGAAATTCGTACCTACTACAGGCGCTGACCGCAGCCTTCGTCTGCCCCACCGAGATCCTTGCCTTCAACAACGCCCTCGAGCAGTTCAAGGCCATCAACACCGAGGTGATCCTCTGGTCGACCGACTCCGAGTTCACCCACCTCGCCTGGGCCAACACCCCGCGCAAGGAGGGCGGCCTCGGCCCCAACCTCAAGATCGGCCTCCTCGCCGACCGCAACCACTCGATCTCCAAGGCCTACGGTGTCCTCCTCGAGGAGGAGGGCATCACTCTCCGTGGCACCTTCTTCATCGACCCCACCGGCACCCTGCGCGCCATGCACGTCCACGACCTCCCCGTCGGCCGCTCGGTCGAGGAGACCATCCGTGTCGTCAAGGCGTTCCAGTTCACCGACGAGCACGGCGAGGTCTGCCCCGCCGGCTGGGAGGAGGGCAAGGACACGATCGACACCGCCGACGCCACCAAGTACTTCTCCAAGCAGTAAGCGTCGCGTCGTCATTCCCCATGTCTCCCCGCAGTCCCTATAGAGCGTAGATGGAGTATGGGTTTAGAGATCAGGAGCTCGGAGTGATTGGCTTGGCTTCGGCCGGCCGATGGATCAGTGCGCAGTGACGAGACGTCGTGAGATGCGGAGAGAGCACGGAGCAGAGCACGAGAGCCAGAGCAGCTGCTGTGAGACCCGTGCCCTACATCATTGCTGGACGAGAGTCTCCCTGTCCCTGCATGGTTGCGGTTGCACTGCGTCGTCAGCGGCCCATGCGTGGCCCATTCCCCGATTTCTACAAGATTCCACATTTATCTTGCGGCCACGTTTATCTGCTGCTGCGAGATGGCCGATCGTGGCCGAGGCGCCGAGGTGGTGTGTCATGATATCTCCCCCTCCAATCCCCCGAACATCCGAGAGCAGGGCTGAACCACGTGTGTAGCGCCGACGACGCGGCCAATGCCAACAAGCGCAAGGAGCCCGGTTCGGCCGAGAAGCCTGGCAAGCGCGCGAAGAACTAGGCGGACCGACGATCGGGTCCTGTTGTTGTGATAAGAGATAAGAGGCTCGGGCTGGAGCATGTAGAGTCCGTATAGACGCTTGTATGGACCGGGTTGTTACTCGTGGATGCATTGGCTTTGTGCCCGTGGCCTTTGTGCGATTTTTCTCGAATGATGTCTCTGAGCTGGGCGTGAGCGTGTCGTTGAGAAGAGTGCTGGGTGGTTGAGGGGAGATTCGAGTGGTGAGTGGTGCCTCGCGCCGCTCCATCAGTGCAAGGTCAGTCAGTAATCCAAGCATGACGTTGCGAGTCGCCACCGTACCAAACTAACATGCGAACACAGTTGATGCCTGTGCAATATATACGTATCATATGTCGGCCGAGACGGAATTCGACAGCGTCATCGGCAGCTGGGGTCGCTCGATTTGGCGTGATCGGACATAGCCTTCTCGGTGTCAGATTTGGCCCAGTAGTCTCAGGGCAATCAATGCAGCAATCTGCAGCAATCAGTGGCGACTGTGATGCGCTCCTTTGATGGACAGCATCCCTCCATCCACTAGTCGAGCTCCTCAGTGTGGATCTCCTCGATCTTGGCTGCTGGGACATCGCGCATCGGCATCGCCATGCCGCCCTTCTCGGACATCTGGGCGGGGACGGGCACGGCCTCAGCCACTGAGGTCAGCTTGTGCATCCGGCCATAGCTCACCGGGCGTGGGGGCGAGCAGTGCCTTGACTATTCCCTCGGCAGTCAAAAGGACCTGCTTGCAAACTGTGCTCCACGCGCCGACGCTCACAGAGCCTGGGGTCAGCTTCGTTGTCGCCCTCGCTTTACCTCGGGGGGCGCCGGGGAAGGCAAGGACCCATGCGACGGGCCCGGGCACCCAGCCCGCGGGGAGCCAGAAGACGGGCACGCGGCGGTACCACCACACGAGGAAGAAGGATGCGCCGGTCGTGACGACCCAGATGAGAGACGAGAATCTCAGTCCAAACGCCGCCCGCGCCGAGGAGAGTGAGGTGTCTGCCGTGAGCTCATGTACGTGCATACGAGCACGCACTCGTTGTTTCGAGGTCAGCCAGCCCCTTGTCAACCTTGCGTCTGAGCTTGGCCCACTTGGCAAACTCGTCCTGGCTGCTTGTCTTGGCCAGCTCGGCCTTGTCCTGCAGAACCTGTGCCCGGAGGCGCTTCTGTCGGCTCTGAGTGCCGGCGAGGAAGAAGCGGGTGTATGCGCCAAACGCGAATTCCTGCAGCGCCGTCTTGCCAACCCAGGCGACGAGCTGGGTCAGGAGCACGATCAGGAAGACGACCACGGGGAGGTTGAGGTCGGCCATGGTCAATATGTTAGTGGCCAGAGGAGATGGAGGAGACGGGGTCCAGAGAACGTCATGTCGTTGATTCAACCCGGAATGTGAGTGGAGGAATCACAGAGAAGGTTCCGATATGAGCCACTGTTTGATCCCGTGTACTGTAGCCATTGAATGCGTCACATTTTGTGTCATGGTTTCTGCCACGTGTTTTGATAAGCGCCATGCAAATGCCACGGGCTTTTGTGAGTGTTGACACAAACAACTCATCGCAACAACACCCAATTCCCCACCTCGCACTCGGCGGCACTCACCCCCGCCTCCACATTCGGGCATCACCTCCTCGGCTTCATCTCACGGCACTCACATCGACATCATCGATAGCAACCAACCCTTGACGCCATCTCATGTTTACGACTGCACGGCCACCCCTCTGACCCCTCTCCGTCGACAGTGTTATGTCCTCACAGTATGATGCGCGACCCCCGCGCGATCCATCGCATCAGACCCCGCGACTGTCCTCCACCGATGCTTCACAGACATTGCGCAAGCGACCTGCACCAGAACAAGCTGCTATACCAGCTCCAGACGCTGAGAGGAAAAGGCCAAAAGGGGTGAGTGCATGCTATCACTCCCGGGCTGACAGACAGAAGGGACGACAAAGTAAGCGGCGCCATCTTCTTAGATGCTGACATATAGCGGCCTTTAAACCGAAGCCGGTGCAACGTTCAGCCCCCGATGCCGGAGACGAGGAGGATGTCCCACTGCCCCCACCACCAGCCAGTGTCAAGGCGACGGCCAGCCAGCGCCAGCGGGACAAGGCTGCGGCGTGGGCCTCGCCGGCCCCACAACGAACGCGCTCCCGTACACCAGCAGAGTTTGATTACAGCGAGGAGTCGAGCTCGTCTTCCAGACCACGTCCGAAGAACCTTTTCAATACGAAGCCAGCGCAGGCAGTACCGAACCTCAACTTTCGCAAGATCGCGAAACCACGAGCATCCATGGCGCCGCCCCCGTCTCCGGGGCCATCGACATTCAGCAATTCTCATCGCGCGCCACGACGGTCGATGCGGCCAGATCAGGTCCTCAACGACCACATTGTCCCCCTCCCACCGACAGACACGCCCGTCATCGTCCGCAATCGCAATCTTCGAGAGAAGGTGTCGCGCCGGTCGTCGTTAGGAATGCGCGGCGGGCGAGGCAGTTCCAGCTTCGACAAGGGCGAGCCGAGCTACCCGCACTCGTCTATTCCACATACGCACTTCTACAAGCACTTGCCGCCAGAACGGCCAGAGCCACAAAAGTCGGCATGGCTGATCTCATGGTGTGGCAAGAGAGCGTTGGAAGAACGGACAGACACGTCACATCGGAAGGGGCGAGAACGAGCAGCACAACCGGACATGGCACAAGTGGACAAGCTGCTGAGCGACATCATGGGCGACTTCTCCTTCAGGCTCGCGCAGGGACGAGTGGACACGAACGTCTTTGCGCCACCAGGCGAAACTGCGTCATCAATGCCGATCAAGCCTCATCCGCGCAATGTCGAGAATCGGAAGGCGCAGGAGAAGGAGAATGCCATGATCAAGAAGTGTGTGACGTGAAGCCCGGCGCTGACCCCAGGATGAAAGACGAGGAGCTGGCATGGAGCCATGTGACTGCGCGCTCCAACACGATGCAGTCGGAGGGCTTGGCGGCATTGAAGGCCAAGTACCGCCCAGGAGTCGAACCAGAAATCGATGGGCTGGACGAAGCATCAGCGTGGTTCAAGGCCGCGCTGCAAATCGCGGACGAGGTCTTGGCATCGGAGGAAGACGATATCGGCGCATCCGCCGACTTCACCAAAGTCGAGTTTGAGATCGACACCCTGCATCAAGCGTCGCACCGAGCCAACCAGTATGCCCGACAGTCAAAACAATTCCTCGACGGCATATTCTCGTCTTTGGCGGCGGATTTGCGCGCACGCGAAGGCACCAGTACCCTCCCGCCCACGGATTCGGACACTCCAGATACTGTCACCGTGCTCGCGACAGCTACTGGGGCAGGCAGCGCTCCCGCCGATCCCATGAGCGTGTTGCGCGCACTAGCCAGTGCCGAAGCCGGCGATCCGTCCGCCGAGGCATTGTCACGGGTGCAGACCATGGGTGCGCCCCGCCAGGCTACCGCTGCGACACCCAGGCGGTCGGTTCCACGCCGTTCTATATATGGGCGCGGCACGCCTGCTGCTCGATAGGGGTTTCCCACTTCGTATTTTCGCTCTCTCTTTTTATAATCGATGGATATGCCCGCACGCACCGAGGATCTTGCTTGCTCTCTTGCTTCCCACCATATCTGAGGACCGAGCCGCCGATTTGCCGAGAGAAGTGAGACATTTGTGTCAGTGGTGGCCTATTTCTGGTCTTGGGGATTTGCCTCCGCTTGCCACCCAACGGACCAGCAACTACGGGTTGATGGCGACAGTCAACTTGTCGCATTCATCCACTACTCGACCTCGAGCGCCATGCGCACACGGCCATTAACACACACCTTTTGAGCACGTCGACTAGTCCGGCAAGATGATGGGCCTACCGCCCCTTCCTAATGATCCATATCTGGAGTTCCAGCCAGCGTTCGCCTACACGCTCCCCGTCCAGATCCTCCTCACCGGCATTACCCTCACACTCCTCGTCATCCTCCTCATCCATCTCCTCTGTACGCCCTCTCAAGGAGCAGCGCTGACCCAAGTTACTACACAATACCACTATCCCCTAGCGCCGCTCAATTACTGCCTCCAGCTGGCGAGCGTCATCGCAGTACTGCTTGGCGTCATCGTCCGTGTGTACATCATCATGGCCCATCTCGGCGCCAAGGGCGACCGATGGCCATATACGCTCGACTATGTCGCCGTACCTGTACCCCAACCCAAATGGAACCAGGCTCAGGATGCTGCGTGGCAAACTCTGCTCGCCGTCAGCAACGGTCTTGCCAATGTACGTCTCCGCAGTCGAACGTGCTGATGCAAGATCACACACATCCAGTTCCTCACTCTTCTATATCCCTCACGCACCGAGGCGCGTCTTATATTCATCGCTCTCGGTGAGACATTCATCTGCGGCCGCTGACTCCAGGCCCCCTCGCCATCGCGTCCTCCGCGCTCTACTTCTGCACGCTCTCCAACCACTCGCGCGTGATCGACATGGGCGACGCAATCCGCGCAGTCTTTAGCTGTACGCTCCTCGTCATTTTCTCGCTCGCGCTCTTTATCTGGGGCTTCTTCGTGAACCGCGGCCGCGCATGGCGCCTCGACGGCGGCACAGCGGTGTTTGGCTCCGGCGCGCTCGGCCTCGCGCTCGTCACGACGGCAAGCTCCTTCGTCGCCGTCAAGGAGGAGGAGCTGGTCGACTGGCTGCAGCACCTCATCTGGGCTGCGGTGCTGTGGCAGACGTGGCTTGGGTGGTGGTGGTGGGTCGGCGCGGGCATGGGCATCGGCGAAGTCGAAGATATCATGGAGCGAACGCTGCGTAAGCGGCGAAAGGCGGCGCGGCGTGCACACACAAGACAGGTCATGGCCACTGCCAACGGGGAAGAACCACCGCGGCGGCAGCAGACAGTCGCGGGCGCGATCAAGACGGGCACAAACGCTGTTGTTGGCTTCACCTCCAGTTTAGCCCACTTGCGGACAAGCGCAGCTGGTAGCGCGCCAGGCTCTGCAGCGTCGGCTGCCGGAGCACCGGAGGGCAGTGCGGGCGGTGGCAGCCTCGCTCGCGTGCGGATGCGCCGCGCGCGGCCTCGTCGCGACGTCGAGGAAGGCATTTCGGATGGCGAGGTGGCCGGGGAGGTGATTGAGCTCGGTACTGTGCGCGTAGAGGAGCCACCAGCGCAGAGTGAACATTCTGGCGCATCAGGCGGCCGCCAGCCACAAAGCAGCAACAGCAACAGCGACACGAGCAGCACGTCGCGGACGCCATCGTTGCACGCGCCACGCTCCGTCGCCGAGTTCGTCGCGTACCCCGCCACGTGGTTGCAGGTGTACATCCGCCGACTGCGCAAGGCGCACGAAGAGGCGACGCGGCGGCGCGCCGTCGAGCAAGCGGAGCGGCGCGCCCGTGTACCAAACATGGCGGCGAGTGCAGACGACGGGTGGGGCCTCGGGTCCTTTGGCATCCGCGAGCACCAGGAAAGCACATGGCGGCTGCAAGAAGCTGACCGGCAGTTGCGCGCGGACGTGCTGCTCGAGGAGGACGGGGAGGACGAGGAGGAGGAGGACGAGATGGTGCGGCATGCGCGCACGTCTGCGCGCGGGAGCGTGCGCACGAGCCGGCGCAATTCTGTCGCGCACCGCTCGTTCAGAGGCGAGGCGCAGCCGCAGGCGCTTCGCGAGCACGAGCTCGAGCACGAGCACGAGCACGACGACGGCGAGTGGGAGGACGTGCCGGACGAGCAGCCGCGGCGGAGAGACAGCCAGCGCTCGCGTGCGTCGCGGCGTGCGCGGGACGAGGTGCCCGCGCCCGCCCGCCCGCCGATGGCGGGGTCCAGCTGGAGCTGGTGGGGCCCGCTGCGCGATTGGCGCTTGCAGGACCGCAGTACGTTTTAGTTGGAGTCATTGTTGTATGATGCACGGGTTTGGGTCAGAGGGGGTGTTGAGCAGAGATACTCTCGTCTCCAGTGTAAGCACAACGCCCTGCCGTGGGCCGGGCGTACATGAACTGCGCGTCTATTGTACAACACCACATCTGAGAATTCTACTTCGTCTTGCGCTTCTTGCCCTTGTCCTTGTTGGCAAACATCTTGGCCTGGAGCGCGGCGAACGCGTCGTCATCCAGCTCGTCGGGGTGTGGTTCCTCGGCCTTCTTCCGCCCCTTCTTCGCCTTAGCAGCATACTTGGCCTCGAGCGCGGCAAAGTTTGCCGCGCGCGAATTCTGGCGGCCGCGAATGAGGGCCGCGAGCGCGCCGTCCTCGTCCTCGCCGTCCTTGCTTGGCTTGCCCTTCCCTTTGGCCTTCCCGCCCTCCTCGCCCTCCTCGCCCTCGTCACGCGCACGCTTGCCCTTGGCGCCCGAGCCGTAGAACTCGTCCCACACGCCGAGGCGCTTGGCCTCCTCCTCGGCCTCGGCGGCCTCGGCCAGCGCCGCGCGCATGCGTTTCTTCGCGGCGGCCTTGTCGCCGGCCGTCCGCGTCCATGTGCGCGTGAGCTTGAGCCGTCCCGCCGCAATCTCCCCTTTGACAGCGTCTACGAGGCGCGCCTCGTCCTCGAGCGTGGAATGGGGAATGCGCGCCATAATCCCCTCCAAGTCGCCGCCCGTTTCGTCGTACGCCTCGCGCACGTCCGCCATCTCCTCCGCGCTCCCTGTCGTCAGCCCGCCCGCCCGTCCGCCCGCGCGTCTACACCCGCCCAGCCTCACCCTGATAGACGCGCTTATCCTCGTCGAGGGCTTTGCGGTCGACGCCGTCGAACAAATCCGCGAAATACGCGTCCCACCCCCCGTCGCCGTCGCCGAACGCAACCTCGTCCGTCCGCCCCGTCGCGTCGTACCTGCCGTCAGAGAGAACGTTTCAGGGCGTACCGCTTGCGCCGCGCCGCGTCAGAGAGCACGGCGAAGGCGAATCCCACACGCTGGAACTGCGCGGTGAGCGCGTCGCGCGCCGCCTGTGGCGCGGACGCGTGTTTGTCCGGGTGGCAGCGCAGCGCTGCGCGGCGGTACGCTTTCGCGATCTCCGCGGCCGGCGACGCGCGGGACACGCCGAGCGTGGTGTAGAGCACGTCGGGGTCGTCGGCCTCGGCGGGCGAGAAGAAGGTGTACAGCGGGTCCGCGTCCATGGTCGATGATTGTGATTGATTTCCAAGGGCCAGGGCCGCAAAGGTCAAGACGCGTCGTGGTGCAGCGATCGCGTGGGTTTGCTTCCGCGCCCCTTGGCGAAGCGACGTGTCAAGCGCTCCATCAGTTACCGAGTTGCGTCTACTCAACACACCATGGCGCGCGTGTCTGTCTTCTCGCTCTTTGCGGCGCTTTTCGTCGCCCTCGCCCTCGTCTTTGCCGGCTCGGCGGAGGCGGCAAAGGGGCCCGTAATTACCAACAAGGTCTTCTTCGACATCGAGCACGATGGCAAGCCGCTCGGCCGCGTCGTCATGGGTCTTTACGGCAAGTGAGTGGGGTTGGGGGGGCTGCTTTGCGGCAGACGGTCGTGCAAAAGCACACGCTCGAAGCGACGAGTGAGGGTGGAGGCTAAACACATTTTTCTGCTCCTTCGTGGGGAGTGTGCAGGTTCAGACACCCGCCTGGGGATCAGCAGTCTGGCTGCGAGTTTGATTGCCTGGGCTCCGTTATCACACGCCAGCTCACACCCAGGACCGTCCCCAAGACCGTCGAGAACTTCCGTGCGCTCTGCACTGGCGTCGGCGCGGACGGCAAGGAGATCGGCTACGGCTACGAGGGTTCCAAGTTCCACCGCGTGATCAAGGACTTTATGATCCAGGGTGGCGACTTTACGAGCGGCGACGGCCGTGGCGGCAAGTCGATCTACGGCGAGCGCTTCCCCGACGAGAACTTTAAGCTCAAGCACACCGGCCCCGGTGTCCTTTGTGCGTGCGACCGTGGGACTTACTGACAAGCAGCCATGGCTAACGCCGGCAAGGACACTAACGGCTCGCAGTTCTTCATCTGCACGGTCAAGACGGCGTGGCTCGACAACCGGCACGTCGTGTTCGGCCACGTCCTCGAGGGCATGGACATTATCCGCCTCATCGAGAACGTCCCCAAGGCCTCGGGCGACCGCCCCAAGGCCGACGTCGTGATTGTCAAGTCTGGCGAGGTGAGTTTCTCCGCAAGCTCGGAAGCGAGGCTAACCTCTAGCTCGAGATTGAGCACGACGTGGATGATGAGGGCAACGAGGTACCCTTCCGTCTCGAGCTTTGAGCGCAGAAATGATTCTGATACACATGGCATGCACCCCCATCGAACGAACGCAAATCTCGAACGCAAATTCTTTCCACTTGATACCCCCGCTTTGATACCCAGAGCATCGCTGCGGAAGCGCAGCCCGACTATGAGAAGGAAGACGGAGCAGACGCCGCGAAGACGGACGTTGCGGTCGTCACGGACGAGGAGGAGGAGGAGGAGTACGCCACGATCTCGTCGCCGTGGAAGTACTTTGCGGGGCTCGCGCTCTTTGTTGTCGTCCCCGTCGGGGCGTACACGTACTACTACCGTGGTGGGCGCGAGCGGCTGCAGGAGGCGCGCAGGGGGATGTACGAGAAGATCAACCCGGCGTAGAAGAATGCAGTGATGTGGTGTGGTGTGATGCGCCTGACGTGTCCTTTGTGGCGTGGAGCCACGCGATGAGGCTGATTGCGGATACTGGGCGGGGAGTAGCTTGGTGGCGGCGAAAGTGACGCACATGATCCTTGGATTCTCCGGGGGTGGTCGAGTCCATGACGTCATTCCGTCATTTTCAATTTCCTCGGTGGTCTCCACCGGGGATTGAACGTGGATTGCCTTTCAGCATGCAGGCGAGTCCCAAGGATCCAAGGATGCAAGGATGGACGCAGCTCTGCGCTCTGCAACCTTTGGGCGGCTAGAGCAAGAAGCGTGAGGAGAGAGACACTCCGACAGATAGGAAGGGCACACGTAACAAGATACAAGACATGATGGATGGGCCGTCGGTGCGCGGTGAATGCGGCGATCGCGGCGATGAAATGTCATCAAAGGCATCAAAGAGTCCGATCAACCGAGGTATGACGCCGATTGCGCATAGATACTGACACACACACACACATACAACTCGCGCTCGGCGGCTGCGCAACTAGATGATATTCGGGATCGACCAACCAGAGCAATGCACATTGCTCAGCAAACGTGTGTGGGTCGCATGATCGCATGACCGGTGGCCGATGATGGTTGACTGGACTGGACTGGGACTGACTGGGTAACTGGGTGACTGCAGAGAAGCCAAGACGTCATCACCGGGTCATGATCATCCACCGTTTGCTTCTCTCCACTCGCGCTATGTGGTTCAGCCGCACACTGCTCCCCCGCTCCCCCGCTGCGCCGCGGCGCCGATAGCGGCAACGCGGCAACGCAATGCGGCAAGGCGGCAGGCCGGCGGCCGGCAAGCGGCAGCTGACGCCTCGATCCGTGATCCGAGAGCCATCGAGGCCTCAACGCCTCTTGTGAGTGACGCGCCCTCCTTTGCACCCACATGTGTCCATCTCCTTGCTTCCTGCGCCTCACGCATTTCCTGGGTTCGCACTCGTCATCATCTTCCCACATCCCACCCGCCGCCACCACCACCACCATCATTACCACCTTCCCCCCAGGGCACCTATTAAATGCTCGCCATTTCTCTCACACTCACTTCTCATCTCCCCCTCCCCTCTAATCTCCACAGCTCCATCTTCGCCCACCATGTCAAACAACGCCTACAAGGACCTCGAGGACGCCTACAACGCCGACGCCGACCTCACCTCCCCCAACGTCGTCTACACCGCCAGCAACGGCGCTCCCATCGCTCACCCTTACACGGCTCAGCGTGCAGGCACCAACGGCCCCCTCCTTCTCCAGGACTTTCACCTCATCGACCTTCTCAGCCACTTTGACCGCGAGCGCGTCCCCGAGCGTGTCGTCCACGCCAAGGGTGCCGGCGCCCACGGCGAGTGGGAGTGCACCGACGACTTTAGCGATGTCTGTCTCGCCTCGCTCTTCAAGAAGGGCACAAAGTGCCCATTGACCATCCGCTTCAGCACCGTCGGTGGCGAGAGCGGCTCGAGCGACAATGCTCGTGACCCCCGTGGCTTCGCCATCAAGTTCCGCACCGCCGAGGGCAACTGGGACTATGTCGGCAACAACACCCCCGTCTTCTTCCTTCGCGACCCTGCCAAGTTCCCCCACTTCATTCACACCCAGAAGCGTGACCCCGCCACTCACCTGGGTGGTGTTGACGATGCTACCCACTTCTGGGACTACCTGAGCCACAAGTAAGTCTTCTCTCTCTCTCTTCTCTCTCTCTCGTCAACATGTTAGTTGCTCCTTGCTGATCCCAAGCCCCGAGTCGGCCCACCAGGTCATTTACCTCTTCGGTGACCGCGGCATCCCTTACGGTACCCGCTTCATGAACAGCTACTTCGGTCACACCCTCAAGCTCGTCAACAAGGTTAGTATGGTGGGCGTTTCACTCGAGAGAGATGGTTGCCCTTTGCTAACAGTCTCAGGACGGCGACTGGGTCTACGCTCAGCTCCACGTCCGCTCGGACCAGGGCGAGAAGAACCAGACCGACCCCGAGGAGGCTCTGCACGCTTCGCCCGACCTCATGCAAAAGGACCTCATTGAGGCGATCCAGAAGGGTGACTGCCCCTCTTGGACCATGAGCGCCCAGATCATGACCCGCAAGCAGGCCGAGGAGGCGTGGACCACCAAGGGTATCAACGTCTTTGACCTCACGCACATTTGGCCTCACAAGGACTACCCTCTTCGCAAGATCGGCAAGATTACGCTCAACCAGACTCCCAAGGTAAGCGTCTCCTTTGGTGGCACGGTACTCACGCCAAGAACTACTTCTCAGAGGTCGAGCAGATTGCGTTCAGCCCATCACACCTGGTGCCTGGTATCGAGCCCTCCGAGGACCCCGTGCTGCAGTCGCGTCTCTTCTCGTACCCCGACACCCACCGCCACCGCATTGGCGTCAACTACCAGCAGCTGCCTATCAATGCGCCGCGCACGGCGTACCCAATGGGCAACTTCCAGCGTGATGGTGCCATGGCCTTCTTCAACCAGGGTGGCCGCACCAACTTCCTCTCCACCACCGACCCCATCCAGTTCCAGCCGCGCAAGGTCAACGCCGACAAGGTGCACGCCGACTTTGTTTCCAATGCCGTCGTCTTCCTGTCGACTATTCGCCCAGAGGACTTCAACGCGCCCCGCGCGCTGTGGGAGAAGGTTTTCAACGAGGAGATGAGGGAGCGTCTCGTCATGAACATGTCCAAGCACATGTCGACCGTCAAGGACAAGTCGATTATCGAGCGCCAGATTGGCATCTTCCGCGCCGTCTCCGAGGATCTCGCCAGCCGTCTGGAGAAGGCTACTGGCATCCAGGGCCTCAAGACCCTCAAGGGCGTCACCTTCCGCGGCTGCCACAACGGCATGGGTGGACCAGACGTTGTCCCCGCAAATGACCTGCCTGTGAGTTTCATGACATGCACGCGTGAGTGACGACGCTGACCGTCAGCACACCGAGGAGTACGCCTACGAGAACGGTGGCCCCGGTCAGGCTCGCCCCAACTACGCCTAAAAGCCTGAGCGCCAGCTGAACGCTTGGAGCGTCAGCCCGTCGTCACTCGTGGTAGCCAGCTATAGTGGAGAGTCTGAGATTGTTAGTAGACCTTTCTCAGTCAGCAGTCTGAAGCCGTATGAAGCAGTGTGTGAAGTTTGGTTGCGAGGTTGCGAGGTTGTGGGGCTCATCAGCGTGCACGTGTGCCTTGGGTTCCTCAAGCCACCGCCAGGCGGCCAAAGCCAATATCTATTACGCGCAACGCGGGTCGACAAAAGGCCGTGCCGAGTTCGGCAGCAGTGTTTGTTTCAAGTTGAGCAGGCGGATGTCACCGCTGTCACCATTGCGCTTCCTAACAACTCGACACCACAGCCGTCCCACAAGATGACATGAGCACATCTTACGACACCCAGGATCCAAAGGAAAAGAGGTGACAATTTGCCGATCGGCAGCCCCTGGCTAGCTAGACGCAGCTACGACGCAGCTACGACGGCTGCTGACCCGCATTGGATGTGGCACTGGCACTGTGGGAACAGCACACGCGTGTTTTGGTTTGCACGAGTGGGCGTAATCTGCCATGTCGCGTATGGGAAGACAGGGGTTCCGAACGCCCAGGGACGTTTCATCGGGCCAGACGTGTGGGTCAGGTCCCGATCGCGCGTCCCCTGTTGATCCTGTGCCTGATTGCCCTCAGGGCCATCCGGAAACTGCTTTGTTCTGCGCCCTGTTCTCACGGCGTGCACGGCGGTGAGGTGCGGTGTGGCGCGGTACGGTATCGCGGGACGCGGCGCTGCATCAGCACGAACTCGGATGGCGGACTCGGGACTGCTTGGCAGGACAGGAACTGGCGCCGGGCGGCGGGCGGCGGGCGGCGGGCGGCGAGCGGCGGAGAGTGCTGGCGATGTCATGCGATGCCCGGCAGTGCCAGACGGTGGAACCAGCTACGCGAGCGATGAAGCGATTTACCATCCTGGCGAGTCACTCCGACGCGTTGCTGCACGCAGGCGTGCCGGCGCGAACCGTTATGCCGCATGCGGAGCTGCCGCTGGGCATGTCGCGTACCCTGCCGAACGCGGCAGAAGGCCCTTCGCGGCCATTGCCGCCTCCCTGGCTTCGGCACACGGCGCCAGTACGAGTAAGGCCAGTAAGCGACTGCGAGGAACGCGCAACACCGGCGCAGGAGCGCGCCAGCCCTGTTCCAGACCACGTCCGAGCGTCGCGAACGTTCCTCGTTCCCACTGCTCGGATACGGGAGGAATACGGGAATTCCCTCACGAGTGGCTCCACGCACCGGGCACGCCTACCGAGATGTCAGCCTGACACCTGCACCTTCCGCCTTCCGCTTCGGTATCGTGCCTATGTTCGGATGCAGCTTCCTTTTTCTGACGGTGGTCGGTGGCCCGCCAGCTTCTCAGCAGCTTTCGGTGTGGGGAGGTGACATCCGCATGACTCCTGTCGCGTCAGGTGCGCCGATCAGTGGTGTCTAACCTCGGTCACATGTCCAACGTAGCGCTCCATCGCCTCAGCTCTTCTTCCATCCACAACTTCGTTCTTCCGTGTTTTTTTCTTCTCTGAACATTTCCCCCCACGCTCTCTCGACTCGGGGACATTTTCGGGTGCTTGGGAACTATTTCGGTGAGCTTTACGGGCTTGTGCAAGCTGCGGCGTCGGAGTCCCACGCTAGCCCACACCCTCTGTTTCCAGCTCTTGTTCCCTTGCGTTCACCGCCATGACAGTCCAGCCGGTTTGAGGTGCTTTTGGTCACTTGACCTATGCCTCATTAAGCAGACGGCAGTCCATCGACTACACGCACGAGAAGGATCGAGCTGTACCAGACTTGCCATGCCTCCGTCGGTGACCCCTCGCCTGGAGGTGCCACTGTAAATCACTCGCGCATGCTGCTCCCTCATACTGCCCTCCCCAGCGACAGCATGTGCCCCCTCAACTCTCGCACGCTCTACAAGACCCAAGAAATCAGGTCGAGCGCCATCATGCTAGCTCGGTGACACCATTCTCGCTCACTTCGTGTGAGCGAGATCGAGACGCGTTTCTTCGCTTTCATGGGTCCCACACCCCCCCTCCTCTCCATGTCGCCGTCACGAACGTCGAGTTGATATCCCCGCCCACCCTCGATGTGCCGCTTCCGTTATCACCGCCCTTTTCTACACCCCCGCCTCCCTCTCGCGCACTCACGCAGCCTAGCGAAAGCTCGCACGTCGGCACCCGCATCCCACCCCCTCCTGCAGCAGCGCGAGCATTTTCTGCTCCGTGATCCAACCTCTCCGGCGAAAATGTGAAGGTCGCTCGACCGCACCTCTTCCCAGGCCCCATGACGGCCCTTCGTTTTGGGAAACAGATGGTCACGTGTCCATTCACCAACCTTCGATGTCAGCGACACGCTTCTGCTGGCCCGTTGCGTACCGCTTTCATCCGTTGCGTCTCCTGCTGGCGCGTTTGCCATGTAGGTGTGACCATGGGAAGCGAAGCCTTCAGTCCCGAGCATGATGGACGTGACAACATGGACGACTTTGAGATCGGTGTGCGCGCACGACTTCACCACTCGAGAGCACTTAACTGCAGGTACAGATTCAATCACACCGGCCTCATCCTACGTCATTCCACATTGGCGCTTCACATGGATGGCGGGTTGGGACCTTCTGTGAGCAGGTCGCGGTCTTGCGTTCGTCCCGACGATGTGTGCCACGGAGGTTCAAGAAACTCTGCCCCTACTCTCCTTCGCTCGGCCTCGCTCTACTCCCAAGGGGGTTTATCTGGGCCTTCAGCACTTCAAGTAAATACCCTACTTCCACGTCGAGCTAGTCCGAGACCGATGTGCACCTGAGGAACAGCGCCGGATGGGTCGTCCGGATGGCTGTCACTCCACCAACCCCGCCGGACTTACCAGCCCCCCCCGCTGCGCTCCCGGTTGCCGAGTCCGCCGTGGCGACGCATCACAGCCGACTGGCTGACGGGTCGGTGTTGACAGGCGTCGTAAGTCGTAAACAACCTTTCCTCCGACGCAGCAACTCGCGCTACTCACCCAGGCACGTAAACTCTATTTGCGCGGAGCGTACGGGTAGCACCATCCTGCTCCTGTCCCGCACCATTACGTGAACCCCGGCCGGATGTGGCACTCCAGTCTGTGCGGACTGCCTCGAATCGACGCGTCTCGGTGTGGCGGTGATCTGTGTGATTTGACGCTTTGTTTGGACAGTGCCACTGAGGTGGCCTCGGCACTCTCCTGTCCTTCCAAGCGACTTGGACTGCGTCCGAGCATTTGCCTGTGCTATCTTCGACCTGCATACCTTGCATACTGCGTCGCTGGCACCAAGACAAGTGTCTCAGCACGATCGTAACCGAGGACACAGCGAGAGGTTGCCTTCCACGAGGACGGACGGTTATCCTGAGCTCTAAATATTCAGAGTCGGTGGCTTTGTCATCCTCTCCGTTGTGGCTCCACAAGATCTTCACAGCGACCTCACGGCTGCCGCAACACGGCGCACGTCTTCCTTCTCGGTCCCGGTGACGGCCTGCCTTACCGCGATCGAGCGTCCACGTCGCCCTGTTCCGCAGTGATTAACACCCCGCATCGTTGACCAACATCATGCACGCACGCCGAACTCCACTCTTCCTTCGAGCAAGCCCTTTGTCCACGTCGCCCTGGGACAGTAGCCCGGCGACAAAAGCACCGTGCCACTGTTCTCACGGAAAGGACCTTCTCGTCGACTAGCTCCCGGATACGCCATCACCCAATTCTAGACGCTTCTATGTGGCGCAATTCGCTCCGCGCTAAGATAGAACAGGTGGCTGTCTCCCCTGCCGAATTTCGTGGCGCTCGGCATCCGTCCTCCCGTGTCTCACATGTCGTACATGTCTGACATGTCGCACATGTCTCACTTCCAAGACACGGGTGAAACACACTCATAGGCGGAGCAGCCCGACCGTGAAATGGCGCGAGGGCTTCCTTAATCCTGCAAACGCCGGTCGCCTGATGGCTTGCGTTATTTGCTGGTCATGCCCCGTATTTTTGATTCCTGGAAACATTGAAGGAGACATCTCGTTAGCGCGCCAGCAGGGGTATGCAACTTGTGCGTGCCACCTCAAAGGCGGTTCAAGAGGCAGCGGCGGTTGGCACGGCCTCGCGCATCAGCGGCGCCCGCGGCTGTCTCAATCGATATGCCTCATGTAGTGGTTGAGCTTTTTACAGTAGGTCTGTTCCCTCGCATAAGAACAATTGCATTTCTGACCTGGATTCTGGCATGCCCGAGATCCCGGTGAGCAGCATCTATGAATTCCACAATTAGCGCGCTCGGTGTTCGTCGCACATCGTCCGAGGCATGGCGATGGCGCCGTGTAGGAGGAGTGCGACTGTATCGGAGAACGCCTCGGTATTGCCTTGGCGTGGCACCCATCTAGCTGACCTTCGCGCCACAAGCCCCCGGCCCAGAGCGAAGCAGTGTACATTATGCATGCGCCAAATGAGTAGTAAATGCCCATAGATGTTAATGCCGAGAGCTACAGTCGGCCTGTCCACAAGGGCTGAGGCTGCTTGTGGCAGGCCGTTTCCTCTATTTCTATGCAGATGCTTCCGCGCGTCTTCCCCGGGTCGTATTTTCGTGTTGCTTGTGTACGAATGCGTCCACCATGTCTCGTCAATTGGCCGGCGATCGGGGGAATGCGCACGTTGATGTGCACACTCTGCCGCTTGGCAAAATGCGATCGAGACTCGTCATGCGCCCTCACTCGTTGTGAGCTGCGTCTTCCGCCTCATCAGTCTCGCCATCTTCATTACGCGGGCGGCGCTGCAGGGGTCAGCATTTCGATACTTGGACCTGGGAGACATCCCCGCTCAACACGGAGCACGTTCGGCCGCTCACTCACCCCCAAGTGCCGCTCGCCCTGGCGCAGAAACTCTGTGGAGAGGGGCGTGATGGCAACCGGACCAGGGAACTCTTGCGGTATGCTACAGCGTCAGCTTCATGTGTGACACCAAGGCGCCTGGCGTCGCGGCGCTCACATGACATCGAAAGGCTTGGTGCGGCAATAGGTCAACGGATGCGTGACGCCAATGGAAGTGCCGATGTGAGGTGGACTGTGGCATCGTCAGCACCCATCGTTAATTAGGCTGGTTCCTGATGGCACATGGCAACAAGCGCAAGGACAGGGCCAGGTACCATCCGCCAGGTCCAAAGTCCCACGCACCCTGCGAGATCCAAAATCTTGCCTTCCAGACTATACCGCCCCTCGGGTCGCACAATCTGAGTGGTCAGCGACGCTCGACACATGGGTCATGGGCTTGCCGAAGGGTAACCCCCGACGGCTCCAACTCTGCGGATAGGGCTGGACTACGATAGATGGTGGACGAAGTGCAACGAGCAGGGACTGCAACCTCGTTGGGAGGTGGCGCTGGATCTCCGGCCCCACCAACTAACGCGGATGCCAAACTCTCCGCACGCTCGGTGATTATAGCACTCACCAAGTCCTGGAAAATGAAGTAAAGACCCTTCCGCCCCTCGCGCGTTAAGACTTGCGGTGTTCGGACGGATGATCCCAGAAGCGTGCGCTGAACCGAGTACGGTGGAGGAGCGGAAGTGGGGTAGTACGGCTGCACTGTGCCACGAGCTACGATGTCAGATATTCAGAGCTGAGGCGTGACACTTACGACTTGGTGGTCGCACACGCATCATGGAGCGAGCCTCAGTGCCGTCAGGAGAAACCAGCTCGACACTCATGGTCAGGTGAACCAGTCGCCGAGCAAGTGTGGCGTTACTGCAGGTCAGTTCCTATCGAGATCCACGAAAGGTGCAACGTACTCCGTCTCCACCTCTTCGCCCTTCTCATTTCGGACGTGCAGCTGTATGATGAGGGGCGGTGTGAGAGGAGGCCAGCCCTGTACTGCGTCAGCAACGCAAAAATCGGATGGCCCAAGCAACGCAAGCAACGCACTCTCCGGAGAGCCTCGACGCCCAGTGCCTTGCCTCGTTCGGGGCTTTGAAGTACGTCGAGGTTGTACGTCCTGGGTATGTTAATGTCTGAAACTCCGATATAGACTCGAGTGCCTCGGACGTACCATCCCGACGAATCGGCGAGCTGTTGCCCGCCCTGCCAGCCTCCTCTCGGGACGCGATGCGGACGCAGGATCAGATAAGCCTCAGTCGGCGGGGGGCGGACGGAACTTCCATATACCGCAGATGCCGCACCCGTACTGCTGTCCGCCTCGGCAGAGCTTGGGCGGCGAGTTGTGCGCGTCCTATCGTAGTCCGGCTGAAAGCCCGGCAAATATCCTGCTCCTGACGGCGATGAGCTTTCATCGCGCGGAGGGGACGGAGCAGACGCAGGTGGTGGAGGTGGCGCCCGCTGGATCTGTGACGGTGAGGCTGGGAGAGGCGGTGACGTGTGGGGGCGAAGCGAGGGGTTCGAGTGCATGCGTGAAGCTCCTCCCGAAGTCGGATAGGAAGGCCCACCATAAGAGGGCCCCCATTGCGACCACCCGCTCGGTGGGGGGTGCTCTGCATGGGCAGGTGGTGGATAAGGATATGGGTAGGCGTAGGTGCTTGGTGGTGGGTATGTGTGAACCTGCGCATTAGGGTGACGAGGTGCGCTGGGTGCGCTCCCCGCTGGACCACCCCAGTGAGGATGGGGCGGTGAGTGGTCGGGTGCGAGAGGAGGCTGCGAACCCGCAGCATAGGATGCCGGGTGCGGAGGGCGTGGTGTGGGCGGGGGAGCGTGACGATACTCGTAGTCGTAGCCGGCCCGGCTAGGCCCCGCTTGAGAATAGCGATACCGTTCCTCCTCTCGCCGATGGGCTGAACGCGTAGGATCGCGGTCACGCTCCATCGCAGAAGGTGTTGGGAGGGAGGATGTTCGCCTGGGAGCGGTGTGGTCTTGGTGGTTCAAGGCCGGCCGACTGTGGCGCCCTCGCGCGTCCGAGGGGTGAATATCTTCGTCGCCGTACGCTGGACGCTTTCTCGGGTTAGGTCCCAGCGACGAAGGGTGATGGGGTTGGTCGCTCGGGTGGTACGAGTGGTGGTGTTGGGAGAGTAGTTGAGAAAGAGGTGAGAGCGAGTGCCGCTGGGGATGGGGATGACGGGATGGGGGCGAGAGTGGCGGGGGCGAGGGCGGACCGACGGGGTACGCCCCGGATGTGTGTCTTCGAGTGGGAGCCAAGGGTGGTAGAATCGTGTCTGTGGCAGATGTGTGAGAATGAGGTCGGTCGCAGCGGCGCTGAGATAGTGCAGTCGAGGTCGACGCTTCTTCTGAGGGTATGGACGAGGAGCCAGAAGATAGTCTCGGATAAGACGCTCGTGGGGTCGCTGTCATTGCATGACTTTTGCGACAAGTAGCCGTTATGCGGGCTGTGGAGGGCGTGTTAAGTGCCGATGCCACAAATATTGTATTTGGGGAGGGGGGAGGAATGTCACGACGACTCACCATGAATAACATAAAATTACAACCCAGCGTTCGTGTGTGGACCGGCCACTACTGCAGGCAAGGTCTGCTTGCTTTGCATGCAACAGTCACTCGGCTGTGATGCGTCGCTGATAAGGGATCAAGCCCAGTTGCAACCAATGTATCCTTGTGGCACCTGGTCGAACTTATCGTGTGTTGAAGTCCCCGAGGAGCCCAGGGAGAGGGTTATTGTGATATGATGATGATGGGAGACGGCGTGACGGACGATGATGGGGCGAGGATGTGAGAGGGAGAGGGGGAGAGAGAGAGAGAGAGAGAAAGCGAAAGCAAGAGGTGTAAGAGCAAGGGAGAGCGAGCGGAGTATTGAGGATTGATTGGATATGTAACGGAGAATGTTCCGTGGTGACGTCCGAGTTAGGTCACCGGTGTGTCGTGCGGTGCCGTTTGAGATTGCGAGATTGCAACCCACAGCTTGATCGGCTTGCGTCCTTGAGGGAAGCGAGGGAACGTGCAGGGAGATGAGGATCGGAGCGCGGGGGGGCTTGGATCCAACGGGTATCCCAAACTTGTTTCAACTGAGCAAGAGCGCAAGAGCCACCGGAGACAAACTTGGCAGCCGGGGCGAGTTGGGGGGATGCTTGCCGAACAGTTCACACCAACAATCCAGTCCGTCTACGTCCTAGAAATGCCTGACAAGCCCAATTCTCTGGCTCTGTCTCCAAGTGAACAGAACAAGCAATGTAGTCGGGACGGATACGCAAGGCAACGCCGGTAGGGTGGAAGCGAGTGCGGACAAGCGAGCGAGCGGGATTTCTCGAGGCACGTCCGAAGAGGCGTTGCTGTGGTGTTTGGGTGTTGCAGAGAGTAAGAACGGAAAGGCAAGGTGCGTTGGGTGTGTGGTGAGGTGTATCGTGGTGGGGTATGGGTGCTGGGAGATTGCGACAGGTGTGAGCCAGCGATGTTGAGCGAGGTGCAAGGACGGGTGTGTGTGGGAGCAAGAAAGAGAGAGGGAGGATGAGGAAGTGAGGTGAGGTGAGGTGGTAGTGGGTATTGGAGAGATCCGTGCGGGTGGGGTGGGTGCGCCAGACAGAGTTTGAGTGTCAAGGGAAGACCGAGGTGTGTCGTGCAGAGATCGTGCAGAGAGAGAGAGAGAGAGAGAGAGAGAAAGAAAGAGAGGGGCGGGAGGCGTTGTGGCGTGTGGAACGTGCAAGTGGGAGGCGCAAGTCCTGCTGTCCCAAAGTTGCGAGGACGTGTATCTCGAGGAATGAGGGATATGCAAGGTGATGATGACGAAGATGGGCGGGCGGCCCAGAGTTGTTGGCTGGGTCCTTGACCCAAACTGAGATGGTCGACTGGTGTTGATAGATGTCCAGATGGTCGACAATCAGAGTGGATGCAAGAGGGGGAATGGAAGGACTGGCAACTGACAACCAAACTGCAGTCGTCGAGGTAAGCCTGACACCCACAAACCGCAACGGCTTCCATCCACACTTCCTTGCGTGGCTTTACCACAACACTTCTGAGCATCGGGGGGAGGGGAAAGAGGAGAGAGGCTCGGGGAGCGAGCCGAGGAGGAGAGCAGCGAGTGAGAGAAAGAGTGCGCGTATGACGACTGTCCGCCCGGGCCAGGGTAAAGTAGGTCGCCTTGCCATGCTTGTCAGGGCATCGGCCAAGTCCTACTGCTTGATCAGGGTTCGAGGAGGAGGTGGTCAGGGCATAAGGAAAAGAAGGAACGAGGGAAACAGGGACGCAGAGAATCAAGGGAACGCGGGGAACAGGGTTAGGGGCTGCGAGGGCCAGATGGGTCCTAACCTCCAGGGCAACTTACAAATCGACGACTACCTCGTTCGCTCCGGTTTCTCTCTCTCGCCTCACTCTTTGTCGGGGTGCGGCGTACAGACAGTGCGCAGGTGGCCACGCCCACGTCCACAGGCCAGGTAACAACCTGCTGTACTCTCCATCCGACCACTTCGGAGACCGGAGTGTCGGAAGCAGCACCATGTCCACTCTGAGCCTCCTCAGCCCCTGCTCTCACTCGACTCCTCTTCCGCCACGTTGCCCAGCGGCACGAAAAAGGTTTCATCGCACATAGCAACCTCGGAGATCTATTACTGAGTGGGGGAGGAAGAACTGAGTGGGGGAGTGTTGCTGACCCATTGAATACACTCCGGCGAGTGAAAGCAGGCCGGCGGGGATAAACCAGTGGGCTGGTCTCGAGCGACCTGCGGCCTGCTTGGGGCCAGGCCGGAGAGATGAGGCGGAAATGTGGCAGCGGACACAGTGGAGAGGACAGTTTAGCCAGCAGCTGCACTGTAGAGCGGTGGTGTGTAGTGGGGCGGAACAGAGGGAGAGGGGAGGATGCTGGGAGGAAGAGGGAGAGGGGAAGAGGAAGCACGAGGAGGAAGGAAAATGAGGAGAAGGGATCGCCAGTGTCCCATCAGGGGGATCTGCGGATGAGCGACAGGGACCAGAGATCGACAGTGGGTGAGGGACGGAGGGTAAAAAGGATAAAGGAACACACCGCTCGACGGCTCGACGTGAGCAATTCCCTGTTACCACATGACCGCAGCCCGCTGCACCTTGGAGGGCAGGACCAGGACAGGAGCAGGAATCGAGCAAGAGCCAAGACATCACCGCCTCTTGGTCGATTGCAGACACACGCGAGCCCACTCGGATCAGGCCTGGCGGTCTGTGAGACCCGGCCGAATCTCGACTTTGACCTACGGCTCACGGCCCATCAGATGACTCATGGGAGTTGTTCGAGATGGTCTCTGCTCAACTGATGTACTGGTGTTCTAACGCCGCCATTACCGGGTTGCCGTGCGGCCGGGCACTATGTACAGTACTATGTGTACCAGCCACGCAGCCACACTGTCATGCTTCTATGCATACGGCAGAAGAATTCAGCGAGAACGTTCGAACGGCGGTGATCGGATGGATCGCCCGCAGTCACGCGTCTGGGCCCAGCCTCGGCACAGAGGGCGCATGTGTGAGGGGCGCATGTGTGTGAGTGTCTGGCCTCGGCCCCCCCTGCCTGTCAAACTTGAAACTCTGTGTGGACTGGCGATCCGGCGATCACTTCTGAGTGCGAGTTCCGGGGGTTTACACACCGTAGATCAAACTGGATCGACCACAACACAAGCCCCTTAATAAAATATGCTAATCCTAGTGTTTCAATACAACCATGCTAATACTAAATGGGGATCAACATCTTCCAATATTGCCAGGAACCGCTGCTGTCCACGCGAAGCCCTGATTGTACCTGAGCGGAGTGTTGTGAGGCGTGCTTGAAGACGTGCATGGGCGTCGACGTCGACGTCCCAACCTCATCAATCGCCGTCGTCGTTGGGCAACTCCCCGACGCACTCTTCTTCGGGCCATAGTCTCCTTCGGGTGCATCCCGTGCGAGCAGGCATCTGATCCCCAGAACGGGTCAATTCATGTAGACCCATGCACTGACGTAAATCCATCCTCACCTGTCGCCCACTTCGCTTCTCCCCACCCGCCCGAGATCTCCTGGTGTCGATGTGAGATCCACTCCTCAGGTATCCATCAACCATCATGCACTTTGACTCACGCCTCTTGCCCTTGCTCCCTTTCCGCACCTCCAAACCCTCCAGTCACACGCTGAATATGACACACCCGCTCCATCCGCTGCGGTTACCCGTGACACCCCGTCGCATTACTCCCCGCAGCCGTGGCTATCGCCCCACTCGTACGTCGTGCAAATTGCCTGATGGGTTTGATTTTCTGCGGCCAGGCAACCGTTCGCGGCTCTTGGCCCGAAGTTCATTGCCCTCCGCTCTCCCCTAAAACCCTCTGAAGCGAGTCCACTTCCCGCCCCACGCACAAATTCTAATGTTGGGAACCCCCGAACCCTGCTTCCAGCCAACTGTCCAAACTTTCGACGGCGCGTGTTCAGCCACGCGCAGATCCTGGTGACATCCCTTGCCAAACACCAGGGTTCTGCGGGACTCGGAGCCCGCCATTCGACAACATTAGTGCATGCATCACGTCTTTGGGTCTGGTACCCTGCTCCGGACTGGGGTGGGCAGTGCGTCATGTTGACAGTGTAATCATCCATTCCACGGCAAGCGGGGAGTGTTCCTGGCTGCCCGACATTCGCCCCCGTCAACCATGCCCGACGGGTGCCATTCCCAAGTCCCAGTCGCAATTCCGCACGGTTGGGCGGTCGGTCGGTCGCACGGACTAGTGCGCGAACACTTGCCGCGTTTCGAACTCTAGCATAAGTGTTGCGCCGTCCCTGGCCCTGAGGCCTAAAGCTTGTACAATTGTTCAGCACGCCCGCTCGACGGCCCAAGGCCCGACAGTGTGCGCCTTCGAGTTGCCATGCATGCCAGGGCGTGTTCGCGCGACGCCTGCTCCGATTGACGGTAGCGACGTTTTTGCATACTCATCTTCGCACTCCGCACTTTCCGCACGCCGCAATCCACAACGGCGGGTCCGGGCGATGGGCTTGCCCGAGTTCGGCTCAAGCTCTGAAACAGGGCGTACTGAGACTTGCCCTCCGAGGCGCGTCAGTCGACTTGTCCGACGATCCCGAAAGCAATGTGTGCTCGAAACATGCCGGACCTCCTAGCGGGACGGTGCCGAGGGCGCGTCGACGCCTCCGCACCACGCGGTGATTGTAACATCGCCGTCCTGCACGACCAACTCTTTACCGGAGAACAATGGAGTCGGCGTGAGTAGATGACGTTGTGAGGACTACGACGTTAGCAACGCCCCTTTGCGTTGGTGACCCGGGGCTTCTGCAGTCGGTTGACCGGCGTGTGTCCGCAGGTCCCGGCTCGTACGTGAGTCGCACGCAGTGAGCGATTCGCTCGGTCAGCGACGCGCTCGGGGATCCTCGGCCTGATGCCGCGTTTTCCATCAGCAGATTCAATTGCGGCCGTACGTGGCCAACGACATCCCTCGGGCTGAGGCGGATGTCGCCGGTCCGCAGTCTGCGGACCGAGGACGGAAGCTTGGTCATGCTGTGCCTCAGCTGCCTGCTTGAAGCGGCATCCAAGCCCAGGCAAATGGTACACCTCCCTGGCTCTCCCCGACCCTTCCCCGGCGGACGGTCCAGATTGGGGAAGGGAGAGAATGGGCCGCGACTTGGAGTGGACTTTGTAAAAAGAGTTGAGGGTTTGGTGGAGCGCAAGGGAAAGGATGCATGTTGTCATATTGTCTGTTGGCTCGCCCTGGTCCCCATACTCCCAATATGCGGAAGCGATACGGCATGTGTCCATGTAGTAGTGCAGGGATGTATGCGAGGCTGTTCACTGATGCCGTTGATGCTAGTGCTTTGGATGGCGGGTCATTTCCGGGAGCCCGTACAGCCACCCCGACGGAGCAGGGTGGTTCACCACCAGAAGTCAAGGCTAGCTCCGACGGCGACTGTCGGCTCGGCCTCTCGGCCTGTCGGAACACGCCAGTGTTCCTTAGACAATTTTCCTAACTTTTTCGGCCAAGTTTCCAAAGAGTGTGCGCCGGTGCCGTGGCGCGCTCGGGGATTACCCTCCCATCAGGATGGGCAGACACGTGCCGTAATCTCGAAAATGTCCCTTAATCTCGACGTCATGCCACAAACATGCAGCCGCCACGCTGCCACGAGCAAACACTGCCACGGTTGGGCGGGGCCTGACCCTGAATCCAATTTCCAGCTTTCAGCTTCCCCGACCAGACGGAAACAAGAAACTGCACCCAGTAGCCTGTGGCACTGTCACTGGCAATTACAAGAGTAGGCGTGGGCCAGAAGTGACACGCCCCTCGGCCTCGATCTCGATGAGGATGCCTTCGCCGATAAACGTCGTCCCGCCCACAGTCGTGTTGACGGGCCGCGCGCCCGTCGGCCCAAACACGGCGCCGTGTACGCGCACCACGTCCTCCCACCCCTCGACCGAGGAGAGGAGGACGCGTGTGCGCGTCACGTCCGCCATGGAGGCGCCGAGGGCGCGCACCGCGCCCGCGATAATGTCGAACGCGTGCGTCGCCTGCTCGGCCGCACTGACGCCTACGAGCCCGTGCCCAGACGGCAGCGCGCGCGTCGTCGTACCTGCTATCGCAAACGTGTCGCCTGTACGTACGCCGCGACAATATCCCTGGTGTGAGCGTGCGTAACGAGTGCCAGAACAATGCAAGCGAAGAAGGGCGTGCGAAAGGGCCACAGGGACGCAGCCAAACGACAAGCGAGCCCATTGTGGAATGCTGGGCCAGGCCCCACCTCGGTCTTGAGGGCGCATCACCGAGCTCGTCATCTGGGTCTAGATTTACGCGTAAAATCATACTCACAGCGATGGGCTCGTACGGGGATCCTGAAGATACTTCTATGCGGCCGTCCGCGGCAGCGACGCGTTCTACCTCTTCGCGCTGGGCGCGCTCATCGTCCGCCAAGTGGTGGCTCAGATCCCCAGACGCCGTGAGGAAAGGAGGGTACCGGTACTCGTCGCCGCAGTCCCCGGGAAGAGGGGTAAGAGCGTCCTGCGCAGCCAGAATTGCGGCGAGGTCCTCCGCGTCGAGGACAAATGTGAAGACCACCTTGTTCGCGTCGATGTTGCTGGCGTCGAGGCGTGCGCCGATCACCACGGCCGCCACACCCGGCTGCTGCAGCGCATACCGAATTGCCACGGCCGAGATGGGCACAGTGTGCTTGGCCGCAATTTTGGTGAGCGCCTGGAGCAGCGCCTGAAATGGTGCCCAGCCGCCTACGGTCAGCTCCTCGCCAATATGTACCAATCACCCGCAACATCAATGAAGCGCTTGTACTTCTTCAACCCCCAGTTCGTGAGCTCTTCCTCCCTGGGCTCCGGCTTGCCCAACCACTTGTCCGAGATGAAGCCGCCGAGAAGCGTGCCATACGCGAGGAGGGCGACGCCGTGCTGCTCTGCCCACTCGCCCATGCGCCGCGCGCGTGTGTCCAATACGCTTACCGACACTTCGTTCGACGCGATGCGGAATCCCGAGCTGTGCAGCATGCGCAGATGCCGAAGGTCGACATTGGTGAGGCCGAGGTGTTTGATCTTCCCTGCCTCCTGGAGGAGGGACAGATGATGCAGGTTGTCGCTGCCGTCAGCTGAGTCGGGGAGCTGGAAGTGGGCAGCCTCTGTCCGACGCACATGTACTTGACGTCGTCGTACCGCCACACATGATACTGAAGCAGATCAATGGCGTCCGTGCGCATGCGTGCACAAGCACGCTCGACAGCCTCAGCACACGCAGCGGCGCCAGTCACGCCGGGCGCTGGGCACCATTTGGTGAAAGCGGTCAGGCCGGGGGTGCGCGCAGCGCCTACGATTTCCTCGGCGGGCTTGGGTCAGCCAAGTGAGCTGCAGGACGTGTTAGGCTGCAAGCAGTAATGAGGCGGGACAGTGTCAGTATCGTGATAACCAGGTCCATCAGCAGAGCTCGGACGCCGTGAGCCTCTGCGGCAGAGGTGTATCCGGCAAGTGAGCCGGCGTAAACCGCTCGGTACACGTTGTCATACTCCTGACCCGAGGCCAGAGAGGTTCCCCGTCGATCGAGGGAGATGACGCCGTCCGCGGACCAGAAGACACACCACGACCTGCGAGGAGAGAAGGTGGCATGGCGAGAGGACGCAGCGGTAGGGCTGGCAGTAGTGCGACCGGCAGGTCCGCAGGCTGCAGAACAGCTACACCGTCGCCGGGCACGATAGTGGGCACGACGTGCGGCAATGGGCGGCAGGTCATACTCGCCTCCGTGGCCGCCGCACCTTATGCTTAAAAGTTCGTCTGCGGCGCTGACACACCGTGGTATAAGCAGCACGTGCAACAACGAAGCAGAGTGACGGCTGGGCGTTCCAGTCGCGTGCCTTCGCGTGGGTGCCTGCGTACTAGGCAGGTCCCAAAACTCGCCTCTCACCTGACGAATCTCAAGCACGTGTGTAGTGTTGCTGGGAATAGAAGCTTGGGCTGGTGGACACGGTTGCCGACTGCCGAGTCGGCAGGCAAGGTCCCAAGGCGGTCACGCGGGGACGAAGAGACGGCATCGCTCGCCGCTACGCCGCATCAGCGGCGTAGCGGGGCATGGCTGAAGGTAGCCAGCAACGCCTTGGAGACAAAGCATCGTTTGGAACCATGCCAGTCGTGCGACACAGATCGAGAACATGGCATGAGAACTCACACCGTAATCTGCGGTTAGCGACGGGCCGTCTCTCTGTCCTCCAATCCGTCCACACAGAAGGCTGGCTGCCGCCCGGCGCTCCCACGCTGTCCGCGCCGCGCGCAAGCACGGAGGAGAGATACAGCAGCGACATAGCGGGAACTCAATCCGTGCTGTCCAGGCGAAGGCGAAGGCGAGGGCTCGTAGTCGACGGCCCATTCACGCTCGTCTGACTCGCTTGCCATTCTAGGTCATCCGTGCGTTTCCGGCTCCTCTCTCCTCATACTCGTCTGTTTCCTAACTCTCTGCCAGGGTACCCAGCCAACGGCGCCCCGTAACGGGGCCCTCGCCGCTGGCCAACACCCGACCGCCTCTACCCACACCGATCCCAGCACAACGTGCACCGGCAGCGCCGCCGCCTTCTGCGCGTCCACAGCACCGCACGAATGCCATGATGACCCCACTTCGACCTCTCGGCCATCCGACGGCGCGCAAAGTGTGGGCTGTAAGCCACTTTCGCCCCTCGGGCTCTGGTCGCCGGCACATTCTCGCCTCGTCCCCACCTTCGGCCGCAACACTCACGATCCGCACAGTCGAACGCGCCGAGCCCCGCGTCGACGTACCCCCGCGCCGCCGCCGCCGCGGCGTTCGCGTCAACAGGGCGACCGTGGCCGTCTGCGAGGTGCCAGAGGCCGTTGATGAGTCGGAGGACGGACAGGCCGGCGGGGCCGCCGATGGTCGTTGTTTCGATGGGCATGGAAGGGGGGCGGCGAGCGGGGACGAGACGAAGGGGAAGAGGGCAGGAGGGAAGCGGAGAAGATGAGCGACGGATGAGGGTGTGGTGATGAGTAATAAGTCAGGAGTCAAGTCAGAAGAAGTCAGCAAGCGACGTGGGAGGCGAGGTATGGACCTCGCTCGGAGCTAGATGCCGAGTCGGATCGAGTCGATCGTCTGGCGCGTCGCGTGTCAATACTCAGGAGCTAGAAGATGGAGTCGACGGGCGAGCTGGCAAGCTGGCAAGCTGCCAACTTTCTGGCTTCAGTGAGTTTCGCTAGACTTATACACAACTTCGGCACCTGTTCCTACATGGCCGGCATGACGGAATGACGCGTAGACCACCGCGTCGGCCACCTCCGACACCAATTCCCCAACGAACCCAACACCGAAGCCCACCTCTACGCCCGACGCCCGAGCAGGGCGGCGATGCCGCCTCTTCCGCCCCCGCGCCCTCGCATCGTCCCACCGATACGTAGAGACTTGTACATGGCTAATCTATGGCACCAGATCGTAACTGGGCATGTCCAAAAACCGGTCATCATCATGAACGTCGCCTCGCCGGCCACAGCCGGCTCCTCGTATGCAGGCCGCGCCGGATCACCGCTTCGCGAGCGCAACGTAGTCCTTGTGATACAGCTGGCTCGTACTGGTGTTAGCGGAGTGCAAAAATGGTCACGCGGGCACGGCGGTCAGCGGGGGCCGCGCCGGGGCCTCCACCGGCAGGCCAATTGCCGAGGCCGTCTGTGTCACCCCGCGCCAGGCGGGGCAATACACGCCTGCCCAGCCACAACATGTACTCACGAGATGAGAGCGGCAGTGAGGCCGACGAAGCACTGCATGGGCTCCTTCATCCACGTCAGATTGAAGATGTCGTATGCTGCGTGTGAGCGCGGTATAGAGATAGTGTGTGTGATGTCGACACTTACACACAAACACCAGATCACAGAGGTACTTCTTATGCTGGAGGGCGTCGGCCTTCTTCTCGCTCTCGCTGCGGCGTGTGCCCTGCTTGAGCCACAGCCCATAGAGCCCCGTGATTGTGGAGTAGAACCATACCCGGCTGCGAGTTAGCGGCGGTTGGGGCTCAAGCTCACTTGGCCCAGCGGTCGGCGATCATGCCCTTGCGTTTGGAGACGAGACCCAGCTTGGAAAGACAGAACACGTCGTCCGCGATAGCACCAATGAGGTCGACGAGGTGGCCGAGGAATGCTCGTGCACTTGTTGGTTCGGGGGAGAGGAGCGCGCCCATCGGTCGCAGGGGGTTGAAGAGCAGCAAACATTTGCGCGTCAAGCTCAACCCGGCGGTGGCGACCTTGCTTCGCTTCTGGCTTGATGAGAAGAACTTGGACAGTGGCCGTACGCCGGCGATGAGACCGAGAATGTACAGGTACGACCTAAGAGTGTACTGAATTGTTTTCTGTCGTCAGCAGGCGGGGGGAGGGGAGGGCGGGGTGTCGACGCACTAGGACCTTGTCGCGACCTTTACTCTTGTCGAGAACGGCCGCCCAAACTTCAAGCGACACGGGCGCGAGAAGCTTTTTGGACATGGGTGATAGTGGCCGTCCGTTTGGAAGTCTGGGCGAGTGGGGTGTAGGCTGGGGAGGATGATGGGCCTTGGGTGGTATACCGACTGGAGGGAGCCCGGACCCGTTGAGGCCCCATGGGTGCATGTCGTCCTCGGCGTCCGAGACGCGCTCGGCGGTCCATGGGTCAGGCATGGCGGATGTGGAGAGGGGTGGAGAGGGAAGGTGGTGGAGGCCCGAGGCCGAAAGTGAATGGGAATGCGAGTGTGAATGAGGGTGATGGGAGTGGGCGTGCGCGACCGAGTGCGCGTAAGAGTACGAGTGAGATTGCGAGTTGTAAGATCGGACTGTCGCGGTTGGAGAGTTGGTTGCCGAAGACGAGGACGAGGCGGAGAGCGACCAGGCCTGGAGGGCGAGTGCCGAGGGGTGTGACGAGGCGTAGGGGCCCGCGCCGGAGAAGGAGGCAAATGGGTACGAGTGCGCACGCACGGGCGAGGGGTGCACGAGGTGTGCGTGCGGGTTGCGGCGGGGGACGAGCTGGTGATTCCAAGAAGGGTCGTTCATGAATCTTGCCGTTCCGGTGTTCTGGCGATGTGTGATGTCGCGGTGGTCGAGGCGCGAGGGTGGAGGCGGAGGGTGGAAGCGGATGTTGATGGCGGCAACGGAGTAGAGTACAGTATAGTAGAGCGCGTGGAAGCGATGGAGGGAGATATGCACCGACGGCCGAGTGGGGGAGGCCGACGAGGACGGTCTTGTTGTGTCCGATGGATTTCAACTCGCTAGGTCTGGGATCCTTTGAGCCACGCGGTATCGCCAACGTGGATGTTGCACTATCCGTCTATCGTCTGTCGCGTCTGTCGACTGTCGCCTGTTTGTTGTCGACGCCGGTCTCGTAAGATCAACAAGGTATGTGTGGACAGGAGAGAAGAAGACGACGACGACGACGAGCGTCGAGGTGGAGATGGCGATGGAGATGGTGAGAAACCCGGAAAAGCGTGTTGACGGCAGCCGGTGGGTGCCCTTGCCTCAGCCCTCAGCCCTCGCCCTCCCTCAGCCTCAGCCCTCGTGCCTAATAATCCACTCAGCTCCAGCCGTCATCCATGCCGTTACTCGACGCGATCAAATCGCGTCTCCCCAGTTCCTCCTCCTCCACAAAGTCAGACACTAGCGGCGAGTACTACTCGCGCGCACTTCGCACGCACATCGAATCCCTCACCTCCCCTTCTCCGGACACGCCCATGTCGCGCCCAGGCGGCGCCCTCTCCCCGCCGCTCCGTACGGCCTCGCCGCGCCCCAAGTACGTCGCCATCCCGCGTCTCTGACACCAGGTTCAACGCCGACCAGCTCCGGCCCTATGTCCGTACTGTGCGTTGTCCAGCGCACGCGGTCGCTGATTTCAGCTGCTTGCCAAGACGCTCGCGAACGCCGTGTGGGACGGGAATGACAAGGCCCGCATGAGCCAGTACTCGAAGGATATCTGTGAGGTGCGTCGCGCCCCCGCCCCACCACCTAAAGCGCGGATAACGGCAAATCCATGCCCACCGAGACGCTGACAGGCAGAAAGTCAAGGCTCGCATGCTCGAGATCGAGCCAAAGGGCTTCAAGTACATCGTGAGTGTCGGCGCGGAGAAGCGGCGGCACGAGCAGAGAGAGGAAGGGAAGGTGTGCCGGAGATGGTTCCACACTCGCGCTTGGACCGCGCTGTCCACACGGTCTGGCGCGCTGATAGGCTTCGGTCGTGCGACGGCGCCCACATCTCGCGCACCACTAATCCATCACCATCGCTGGCCATGCTCTCAATACTCCGTCTGGATCACATCTGACATCAGGTCACGACCACATTTACCGAGAACCTCGGACAGGCCGGACGCGCCGACATGGCATGCCACTGGGAGGACACTGATGCAGCGTGCCAGGAGATCTTCTCCAACGTGAGTGATGAGTCACTCACGCTCTCGCAGCTCGAGGCATGTCATGCTTGGAGTATCGGCTTCTCATCGCCGTCGCTGTCGCTGACATCAGGACGGCATCATCTTCGTGTGCATCGCATACGCCGTACGCGTCATCTAGACGTTCTACAAGTCCCCAGCTCTCCCGATCCTCACCTTGCATTGTTTTCACTTTCAACCCATTTAGCATGTATAGATGTATCCTTGATTAAGAGAAAATAGGCTGCATTCGGTCTCTGGGATACAGGGGAGCTCGTTGCGCGGGCGGCTAGGCTAGACACAGTCTCAACATGTGAGAGACAAGGAGGGAGCGAAAGCGAAGGTGTAGTGCGGGGCTGACCGTGGCGCGACCAGCAACGCAGGCGGCGGCAGTAAGGTAGTAGTCGGTGCCACGAAGTCTACAGTCCAGGAGATGGTGGGTGGATGCTGGGTAATGGACAACTGCTGCGGACATGATGTGGGTGGATGGGGAGTGAGAGTCGGGATGTCACACCACAAGAACAATCAATGATCAAGATCGTCTTGTGCATGTGCGTTTAGCGGAGGGGGCGGCCATATGCAGGCTGCATTGGAGGCATGCCGAGGCCGCAATCCCGATGGTTCATTAGGATCGACGTGAGCCGGTTGACCTCTTCCTCGAGCCCTCGGACATTGTGTACAAGCCGCTCGTTGTCCATGGTAAGTGTCTCCACCTTGTTCTGCAGTTCGTTGAGCCACGCCTTCTTGCGCTGACGACACTTGAGTGCAGCTGTCTGTTAGCACAGTCCGCTTGCCCAGATGTGAATGCTCGCTCACCTTGACGATTGCGCTCGAGGAAGTTCTTTCGCTTCTCCTCTTCGGTTTCATTCCGCGACCTCTTCTCGCCCCCGCTCTTCTTCGAGTCCGTGTCCGAGTCATCGGCGGAAAAGTCGATCTCGGGACTCTTCTTGCTCTTCTTGGCGGCTGCGTTACCCTTGCCAGCCGGCTCCTTGCGCTTCTGGCCTGCGGGCGCCTTGACCGACCCAGCACTGGGAGGTGCACCACGCTTCGACATCGGCGGAGTGGACTTGGCTTCCTCCTCCCTCTTCGATAGCTCCTGGTGAGCTTGCGACAAGAGGAAGAGACCATTGGCAGCTTGGCTAGCGGCATTGGCATTTTGTTGGGCATAATCGGCCGGGGGCATGCCAGGCACCATTCCAGGCTGTGGAGGCATACCGGGGTAGAAGGCGGGTGCCATTCCAGGCGGGGGCGGCTGTCTGTTCAAGTCGCTGGCGATAGCGTTCAAAGTACCAGGAGTGATAGTCTCAGCAGACTGGTGGGCGGGGTTGAGATGTGACATGCCGTGAGGTCCGCCCTGGAGAGTAGGGTGTAGACCGGCAGGGGGTTGGGGTTGACGTTGGTCGGGGGGAGACTGTTGATCTCCGTTCTCGGTTGTGACTGATGCAATGTTGGCGAGGAAAGCGGCCGTGTTCGGACTGGGCATAGGAAGGTTGCCAAAGCCCGGGTTGAGCAACGCATTGTATCCGGGCGTAAAGCCCGACCCAGTGCCGGGCGTGAAGCCGGTCCTAAAGTTGCCTGGCTCGAAAGACTCTTCGCTGGTCGCCGCGTTCTCGGTCGCAGGACCCCACGCTTGGTTACCGTTGTTGTTTGAATTATTCTGGTTGGCCTGATTGCTCTGTGCCGGGCCAGCCAGCATAGCAGGGCTCAGCGGGCCAGATCGAAGCGACTGTCCTGCGAGCCACGGGAACTGGGTGGGGTCTGCAGCGGCCGGACTGGTCAGGGACGAGAGCGGCGGAAGAGCGTTGTGTTTGATGCTAGTGGCGTCGCCACCTCGAGGAGGAGTAGTACGGTCTTGAGATTGGGAGCCGCGAGAGAATGACTGCTCGAACGGGTTGGGTTCAAGGTCGAAGCGCGAGGAGGGAGATTTGGCTGTAAATCACAAGGGATGGGGATGACGTGTGGAGTGGGAGGGGCGTAATAAAGTAGGCGAAGTACGGTATAACAAGGATTGGGATTCAGTGTCAGTAGATATTCAACGGTTTACAGAGAGGGAGGCTTGAGAAGGAGAAGCGAGAGATAGAGGATAGAGAGGGAGATAAGAGAAGGAGAGAGTGAAAGAGAACAGCAACGAAGATGGAAGAGGGGGGACGGAGTGTATGGATGCCAATGGCGCGGAGGTTGGTTGGGGGAGGGGGAGAGAGATGGCGGGGGATATGGGGCCAAGAGGGAGACATGGTCTGGAGCGGGGCGGGCGTGTGATGACGCCGAGCATGTTTGGTCTGGCTGGGTGAGGGGCCGTAAGGAATTGTGTGGACTGTCTGAGATTTGGGTGGCGTTGCGTGGTCCCAAGCCTGGGTGGGAGACTATGACCTCACCACCTTGGCCCGGTGACGACACCACAATACACAGTCACAAAATACCGTCGCCATTGGCACAACAAAAGTTCGGGGCCTCCACAGGGGACTAGTTCTGTACTCACCTCCATCAGTTTCCTTCTCAGAGGATGTCGCCCGCTTCTTATCTCCATCTTCCTTGGTAACCTCAACAGAGGGGCCCGCACCATTGGCGTCGACGACTGCTGGCTTCTCATCGGGGGCTGCAGTAGCATCCTCCTTCGTCTCCGTGGAAGCAGCTTTTACTGTTCACTGTCAGCCTTCTCAGAGGCCTGGATAGCTCACCAGAGGCCGGAGGAGCAGTTGGCACAGACGCCGGGGCTTGAGCAACGGCTGCCATTTTGTCAGGCAGAGACTTGTGACTGTGGCTGCGTTCGAGAGGTTGCAGAACCGCTTGGTGGCGAAGTGATGTTTCGGGTGGTCGAGTGTTGAATGCACAGTGATTCAGCTAACACAAGAGCCTGGCTTGTCCGATTTCTGGGCAGAGTGCAGGAGAGCTGCTATGCACAGGACTCTTTCGGCTTTGCAGAGTCTGGAAGGGTCCAGAGTCGGTGTAGGGGGAAGAACGGAGTGTGAAGTTGATGGACAATTGGGGTGGGCAGGTGCGGTGATTGAGGGGGACAAGACGGATATGAGATGAATAAGCGGGTTGGCATGGTGGATTTGCACAAGCAAGATACGCGGAGAGCGGAGGTGTCAGCATCTGGTCCACATGCATGAAGATGGCAAGGAGGTTGAAGGAGATGGCGACGGCAGAGGTTGGGCGAGGAACGAAATGGATGGATGGCTATGACGACGTTGGACGCGTGACGGTTGTTGACAGTAGGTCACTGGGCGAAAAATATGGGAGGGGCAAGGCCGGGATGGGGATTAGGAAATGAACTCACTTTGTAATGGACCGATTAGGATCCTTGAGGGCAAAGCTAATGACAGAGTTCGGAGGAAAGAGCGCAGCTGTAGCGTATGCACAGAACGGGCTTGGGGAGTGACGAGGGAAGGAGGGATTTGCTCGCTACGCGAGACAGATGATGGCGAGCGGCTGCGAGTACGCGAGAACGCGTCGAGAATGAAGCGCGCGGCGCGTCGGGACGTTTGTGACGTGAATCAATCGAGGCGCGAGACGAGGCGAGGCTGATAGAGATGGTGGAGGCTGATGGGCGCGTGGGTGGGAGGAGATGGAGGAGGATGATGACGATGAAAGCGAGATGGAGGGTGTGGCAGAGTCAACAGGTCGATGACGGAGTTGATGGGCGAAAAGGAACACGAATGACGTCGGGTGAAGGGGAGGGACCTGCACTGCACCCACCCGGGAGCCATCCTACGTCACCCGCTCTGTCTCCCTGCCCCCCTCCTTGTGCTTGCTTTTCCAGCGCTAGCCAACAACACTCACACCAAAACTCACACTCACCATGAAGAGAATTTGATTTGCCAATCACGTTGCAAATAGTCGGTAATACTAAATCCCCGAAAGCCACGCGAGAGTGGCACCGCCAGCCTCTGCTGGACCTCCACTTTCAATGTCCACTAATCCACTGGTCCTCCACTGACGACCGCGTCAGTCTTCCCTCGCCCGTGTCCGCATCGTCGCAGCAGCCAGGTCTCACCATGCTCGTCACACACTTCCCCCTCTTACGCGTCCCCCATCACTCCCGCCACCTCCGCCACCTCCGCCACATCCGCCACATCTTCTCCTCAACACCATCTCTGGGTCCTGCACCTCCCAAGCTCCTCGCTCTCAAGGAGCTGGTAGAGGATGAGCACCATGCGCTCGCGCGCGACTGGCTTGACGGCTTTGTGCCCGAAGACGTACCCAAGACTTCGTACGAAGTATCGTATGCGCGCTCCTCCGGACCAGGCGGACAGCACGTAAACAAAACCAATTCGAAAGCCGTGGTCCGCTTTGATGTCTTTCGTGCGCGGGGCGCGTGGCTGCCCCCCTTCCTCGTGCCCGCGCTGCAGCAGTCTGTGAGTTGAGAGGAAAGAGTGTAGATGTGGGAGAGTGTGTGAACACCAGATCGCGTCAAGGCGGGTGTATTGGCACGAAAGGTGTGGCACAGCCCGCGCACGCCGCCCAACGTCAGAAGGCACAGAAGGCGCACAGCTGACGCACAGCCATACTTCCACGCGCCCTCGTTGCTCCTGTCGTCGCAGAACTCGCGAAGCGCCCCTCAGAACCTTGCGACGTGTCTCGAGAATCTGCACGCCACGATCGCCCAGGCGGGCCGCGGCCTCATCCGCGGTGAGACGAGTGAGGCGCAGCGCGAGCGCGTAAAGGAGCTCCAGAAGGCTGACGCGCGGAAGCGGCGCGTCCTGAAAGAGAAGCAAAAGTCGAAGAAGGCGTCCCGCACCGACAAGGGAGGGTGGTAGTTGCTGTGTTGCAGACCCCAGGTGCGCCATTCAACGTATCATCGTGGACGCCCTCCGTCGAGCATGGCCCGCAAATGCGGGATGATTCTCAATCTCGCCTTTCCGCCCGACACTGACATGGCCGAGTCTCCATCCTGGGACGGACGTTCAGAGCCCAGAACGAGAACATTGATGCCTTGCCAACTGCATGCCTCCGGCCTAGCCGCGCTAGCCGACCTCGGCGACCAGTTGCTCCTCGGTTCGATAAATCTCATTATCTGCTTCCGTCAATCTGTGCAAGCACGGTTCAGATGTAACCGGATCAATCACTCGGAATGCTCAGCATCACGTGAGCCTGTCGGCGCCGCCGCCGAAGCTCGCATCGCTTTGTTCAACAGACCCGCTTCACATCATACAGGTCTCCGTAGTAATGCCAATGAACCTCGCCTCGCCGAGGCACCTCGTGGGACCCGCTATCGAGGTACAGAAGTGATCGCCATTGTCATTGACCTGGCCGCGGATCGCTTCCGGGCGCTGCACAGTGACGGACTTGTCGGGCGGCCAATACTTGCGACGCCCGAGTCTCTTGCAAAGTCGGGAGGAGCCCCTCGGCAGCAAGATGGGCACTTGCACTGTGACCGGTGTGATTGGTCTTTGTGGTTTACTCCGAGGCACGTCCCCAGGGTGCCCCACCGCCGAGCCGCACTAGGCCCCGTGCTTTCCTCCTTTCCTCCTCCATCATTGCGACCAGCACGGGCAAACCACTCGCATTACTCCGTTGCACGCATCGCTCCTCCTCTCCCCTCCTCCCACGCATCGGGTGCATCTCATCACGGCGGCGCTCCCGCTCCATCCATATATCATGGCCTCGTTCACAGCTCCCCCTCCACTCCCTCTCGACATCCGCGACCGCATCCTCGCCCATCTCCTCCCACCGTCTCCTCCGCTCCCGCACGACCTCCTCTCGCGCACCTTTCTCGAGCGCCTGACCTTTCTCCCCCCCGACCCCGCCGACCTCGACGCGCACCTCACGCCGCTTCGCTCCTCTTCCTCCAGCCCCCACCCCCTCACAGACGCGCTGCAGCAGCTCGCGGGCTCCCTGACGATCGGAGATACGCAGTACGCGCACGACGGCGAGATGGCTATCGCGAGCACTCTCTTGGCGCCGGAACACGGCGACGGCGCGGTCGAAGTCTCCTTCCAGCACGAGGGCGGAGACAAGGGCCGCGGCTGGGTATATTCCGGCGCGAAGCTCGGCGCGAGCGCCTTCGACTGGCGCAACGACCCCGCCGACGTCTCGTACGCGGGTTACCAAGATGCGCCGGACGACTACTGGGCCGGCTTCACGCCCCCTTCCGAACATGCGGAGCTGCACGAGCACGACGAAGACGACTACTGGGCGCAGTACGGCGCTGGCGTGCCCGACTCCGAGCCCGAACCCGCGGCGCGCGACGAGCCCGTGACCCCGCCCACGGCGAACATCACCGCGCCCGATCCGGCCGCGACCCTCTCGCTGCTCCTGCAAGGCCTGGATGCGCCGAGCGAGCGCAGCGCGTCCCCGCAGTCGGCGTCGAGGAGGTCGGACGGGAGCGTGCTCGAGCAGAAGATCCGGTCCAAGACGCGCGCGCAGCTCATGCGCGCATGGACCGAGTATTCGGCGGGCGACGCCGAGGCCGTGTACGACTGGCTGCGGCTCGGGCGCGAGATCGCCGACCGGCCGTCGTGGACCGCCGGCACCGGCACGGGCTATGCCGACGCACGCACCGCCGTGCTCATGGCGCGCCTCGAGGCTGCCAAGGACCTGCATGAGATGCTGGGCGAGGAGGGGGAAGCGTTTTGGCGCCTCGTGGAGGAGGCGATCCGCATCCACACGAATCCGGTCGGCGACGGGCAGCAGGAGTACGAGCAGTCGTGAGATGCGCCTGGAAGGTTGGTTGTATCGTGTACTATATGCATGTAAGGCCGATGCGAACGGGACGGGAGCCTAGGGAAGCGTTGCAATATAGCAAGATGATTAGATAGTGGCGAGGTGACAGCGGGCGGAAGCGATGGCGCACGGTCAAGGTCCATTGTCTGTGCTCGCAGACAAACACGGCTCGCTCAGTGCCGGACCTTGGGCGCGGGGTTGTTATGATGATATGAGGCCACTAGGCCCCGATAGTGTTGGCGGACGCGATTGACGGCTCCCTTCGGCCACTACCTCGCAAGGCAGCCCGATAGACTGTCAACATACCGTCAGACGAGTGGGCAAGCTCGAGCCCAACGTCACGATCTCGATGGCGAGCGGCCCCATCGTTGGAAAACCGCGCGCGGCGAAGCCGGGTAACGGCGCACAACATTCCGCTCCGCAGCCTCGGCTATGACTTTCTCGACGCGTCAAGCGCTTGGTTCCTCCCCCAACTTTAGCTGCGCCCGGTTTCCGAACGCTTCTCTGTTTCTCAAGACTGCATTGATCTTTTCCCATCCCGGATACGCACATGCGCAAACAGCCGGTCGATACCGCACTGTCCCGCCCCACACCCACACCCACACCCACACCCACACCCACACCCACACCCACAACCTAATCGAATCGTTGCATGTTACAGCACGCAGCCTAGGCCTTGGCAATGGGGATGGCCTTGCGGGCCTGGATCTGGACAATGAGGTTCTTGACGACCTCGTACAGGCGGCGCTGGGCGACGAACATGAAGGCGGCGGTGAGGGCGCTCTGGAGGAGCTTGGGCCCGAGGCCGGCGTAGATGCCGCGCAGGCCCTCGGTCTTGAGGATCTCGAGGACGGCAGTCACGGAGCTCTTGTACTTGTGGCTGGCGACCTGGAGGCGGCTCTTGACCACGAGGTAGGGGTAGGTGACGCCGGTGGCGATGAGCTTGGAGAGGGCGCCGAGGACGAAGAGGTCGCGGTCGGACAGGGCCGAGCGGGTGGCCACGGCGATTGCGCCCGCCTTCTTGGCGCGGTAGTTGAGCAGCAGGCTCACCATGCGCTCAAACGTCGTGTACTGGCGTCAGGGCGAGCGCGGGCAATACCCACCTGGATCACGGGGTTGATGACGAGGATGAGGGCGGGCCCGAGACCGCGCCACAGGCCCTTGATGCCGCTCTGCTTGATGATGTCGTTCGCGGCCGAGCCCATCGTCGGCTTCTCGACCTTGCCCTCGGCGTTGGTCGTCACCTTGGTCGACTGGTACGCCTGCACGGTCCACACGGGGTTGGTGAGCGTGGTGGTGATGGAGCCGGCGATCATGCCGGCAATGATGCCCTCGGACGTCGACAGGCCCTCGCCGGTCTGCACGGTGCGGCGCTTGATGAGCTGCGAGCGCGTCTCCTCGTAGAAGAGCTGATGTGAGTGCTAGCCTTGGCGCACACGCACGTAGTAGATGCCGTTAGTGAGGGCGATGCCGAAGAGGGAGCTCTCGAGGCCAGAGTAGAGGCCCGAGAGGCCCTCCTTCTTGACGGTCTGGACGATGGCGTCCTTGAGGCTCACGTCCTCGTGCTTGGTGGCAACGGCAGCGCGGGTCGAGAGGTTGACGAGCGGGTAGGTGAGCGTCATGGAGATGGCGCCGCCGACGGCGCCAGCAACAGCGTGGATGGCCGAGTCGCCCATGGTTGTGAGTTAGCGAGTGTGGTGGGGGAGGGAGGCGGAGGGAGCTAGAGAGCAAGAAGGAAAAGAGAGTGCAAGTTGGAGTTGGAGATGGAGACGGAGGTGGGAATGTTGGAGCGACGAGTTGGAGCGCGGCGGGCGGGGAGAGCGTACGGTGACGGTTCGCGGATGGCCGAGAGCGGCTCACCCCGCGCCAGGCCCTCCCTCCACCGTACGAGCCCCGGCCTCTCACAACAAGTTAGCCGGATATGGGCTTCGGCCTTTTGCGGAATTCACCTCGTACTGCTTGTCGATTCATCTCTCCCCCTCCGTCTCCAGGCTATCCCGCCTCCAGCTTTTCTCTCGCATTCGGTACACATGCACGCGCGCCTGTACTCATCCTCTCCAGACCCTTATCTGGAAATCGCGGGGGGATACCCAGAGAACGCAGTCGCCAGCTGCCTCTCAGCTGCCAGTGGCTGCAGGCCGGAGGCGTCAGCCGCCCTGCGTCAGCCAGCCAGCCCCAAAAGGCACAGAAGGTCCTTCATCGATCACGCTCGGCCGCTGTCTTTCACGTCACCGGGCCTCGAGCCGCTTCACGCTTCACCTAACCTCAGGCGACAGACAGGCAAGGGACGAGACGAGGACGCAAACACGCCCGCCCGCCGTGACTGGTGTAGGGCCTGCGATCCGGACGCAGACGCGATCCGCGTTTGTCACTGAGGCGCACGCAGGGTGAGGCGCAAATCGCCGCCACAAACACAGAAACAAAAGACATGGCCATTCATGCTACACCTGTACACTCTACACTACAGCGCTCGTAGGCGATCTATCTTGATTTTGTCTTGAGTTGTGTATGAGACTACGCTTCCGCTTCCGACACACACGTGCGATACTAACGATTAGAAGCCCAGAATCGCACTCCCGCCCTGCACGGTCTCGAGGACGCTGCGGGTAATAACCTCCTCTTCACGCAGCAGACCGCGGACGATGCTGACGGCCCACACCTTCTCGGGCGCCTTGCCCGCGGACGGCGCGACCTCGTCGAGCTCGTCGCGGCAGTCCGCCGCGTCGGCGAGCACGCTCTCGCATATCCGCAGGAGCATGCGGCGCGCCGCCATTTTTGTTGGCCGCGAGAAATTGCGCGCGTGCATATTATGCGGGTTGAACACGGCGTCCTCGGGCGACGCGAGGACGCACAGCGTCGTCATGAGCCCGACGGACGGACACGGCTCGCCGCCGTTCGCCGCCAGCCGGTTGTGGTCCCACATCCCGGCCTCTTCGAGGGCGGCGCGCTTCGCGTCGCTCCCGCCCTCCTTCCACAGCGCCTCGACCCAGGGGCCCACGTCGATGTCGTCGTTCGGCCACGTGAGGGGACACACGCCAAGGTCAATTTCCGTAAAGCCGTACTCGGCGAAGAGGGTTGCGTTGGAATGTGGGCCGTAGAGGAAGAGCACTTGCTCGCCGTCCTCGAGACCGCGGTGCGGCGCGAAGAGCACTACGTCGACTTTGCCCGGCACAAGGTGTTGTGTGCCGGGGCGCGCGGCGCCGCGCGCCCCCCGCTTCGTCACGCTCGTGCTCGGCATCGGCTCGGGCTTAGGGCACTCCGTGCCCGGCAACGAGGAGTGGTTGATCATATCGAGCAGCGGGACGAACGAGTGGTTGTTCACCGTCCACTTGGATGTGGAGGGCTCGGCGAGACCCAGCGGCGTCGACACGGTACGGGTGTTGACGTTGAGCCATGCCCACAGAAGTGTCTCGTCCGAGATAAGCCGGCTGAGGTCTTGGGCTTTGAACGGGTGCTCGGTCTCGAGCACATGGCGCAGCAGCTTTTTGTCCGCCTCGTAGCGCCGGCGCACCGCGTCCACCTTGATCCGCACGCTTTCCGAAAGGCACTGCTCGAGCGCAGGCCAGAACGCGTCAGGCTCGGTGGCGTCAGAGTCCGGCACGACCCATGTAAGCGGGTGCAGTGGGCGGAACTCGGGGAGTGTATCCACGAACACTTGCCACTCTGACTTGTGGCGCTTCTGAGGGTCGCGTGTTAGCGCGAGGTGGAGAGTCAGGAGCTGGGTGGTCGTGAGGCGCGGCGTGCCGTTGGGGGAATGGCGAGGCGAGGCGGTTGCGGGCGCCGGGAAGAGGTGCGCGGGGATGCTGTTCAATGCCGACTTGGCGAGCGTGAGGGGATTGAGCAGCGACGCCGCGGGGATGACGAGGATAGGCTCGCCGGGCTGGAGTCAGCCACGCTCACGCTCACGGATCATGGAGGAAGGACAATGACATACGCTGATGGCTTGGCTATACGCGAAGAGACCACGGCCGGCGTCTGCTGTCAGTCTGGCACGGCGGGCGGCGCACCATCGGCAGCCTTGAGCGCGAGCTTGTTGTGGAAGCCTTTGAACGTCCCAAGCCACGCCAGGAGCGTCTCGATATTGTCGTGCTGCACCTCCTTGGCCTTGTGTGCGTCTACCATTGTGTTCTCTGAAGCGCCCGGGGGGATAGAGCTGGCTCGTCCTGCCGGCGCAGTACTAGTACTGGCATCGAGCATCGCTGGACCGCTGAACCGCTGGACCGCAGGTGCCGCTGGAAGCAGGAAGCGAGGGGACGCGAGTCTGAGTCGATTGTGTCAGCTGACGGGAGCGCGGCAGGAATGTTGCAGAGGATTCTAGCATCAGCTCCAAAAGCACGCCACAAGACGGCGGGGCTCCGTGACTTTCAGGGCGCATTGCCTCCAAGCACGCACACAGATTAACACTTCGTCAATCGTGGATCGACGCGATGCGCGCTGTCGAGTTGTCGTGGCGCTTGATGAGGTGCGACGTGGCTAATGCTAGATGTGGTGAGACATTGTGATGCTCTAAGTACGCGGGGAGTGACGCACAACCCGACCTCGCACACCACTCCTCCCCTCTTGCAGCTTGAGGTTGCAGGGTGCCACCTTCTGTTGGCACTCTGACCGTGATGCCGTATGCGTGTAGGCATCACAATGTGAAGAGACGTGGATGTGGGGCATCGCCAGGATCAATTCTGCGGTGATATGGACGTCGTGGCATCGCCACATGCTTTACCACGGCTGATGATTGGTGTCGGTCCTCTTGTCACCTCGCCAGTCATCATCTTGACAATTTGCCGTCACCGCTATGATCCGTGTAGCGCTATTACGTTCATGCAAGCTCCATCCTGTCGCGTTGAGCTGCGTACAGTTCTCCAATCACTTGCCGAGCCAGCACAGAGCTCCCGCTTGACTATGACCGCCAACCAGATCTGTAGCCACAAGGCCCCGCTTTCTAGACGGAAACGAGAAAGGCCGAAAAGGGCCGCAGACCTGATCTACTTTCAATAGTGCTCGCGCATCGTTGTCGAGCGGCGTCTAATATCTCGTTCCACGGCTAGATGCGATGCGCGGTGATCGCGGCGATCACAGTGACCTGGTTGGGCATGAAGGTGCGGAACGCAACCGGCGTATCCGCGCCCTCTTGGAGGCGGGTGGCACATCTCCGGACCGCCGGTGGGCGCAGGCGCACGCTCGGGTCTTGGTCTCGTTCGGTTCGCCAGGTCACCGGTCGCGAGATCTACATCGGCCGCGGAGGAATCTCAGAGGATTGATCAAGGCGCGTAGTGCAGTGAGAACGAGCGAAGATGCAGTCGACGAGTAGAGAATGTCATCGGCCGCCTGAGCATGGCGGGCGGCGTCCCAATTTTGGTGTTACGTAAAATACGCGGTCAACTGTGGGCGCGGCGTGCAGGAAGGGCGCTGAGAGGTCGCGGTGGTTCCGGATACCCGGATTAGCCGGCCATGACGGACACGCACCCACGCACAACGCATCCCGCACCCCTCGTCCCATCTCCCTCTCTCTCTTAACCTCGTCTTCTCGTTCTTTCCGCCTTTGTCTCTTCTCCATCAGATCCTCTTGCCTCGGATCAAAACTACCACTTTGTGAGTGTCGTCGTCGTGTTGGGGGTGCGCGGCCTGGGCCCAGGTCTCCTACTCACAACGCTCCTCCACACACACCTATGGCCACCTCTCCTCACCGACTGATAACAGACCCTCTTTCCAACTCAGGCAGCATGGCGTCTCTCGACTTCAAGGACCTCGTTGTCCTCATCACCGGCGCTGGTGGAGGTATCGGAGCCGGCTACTCCCACTTCTACGGTGCCCGCGGCGCAAAGGTCGTCGTTAACGATGTCTCGGCCCAGTCGGCCCAGAAGGTCGTCGATGAGATCAAGGCCGGTGAGTGTAGCTCGTGAAATGTCGCTTGAGAAATCCGCTAATAATCGTCAGCCGGTGGCCAGGCTGCTATCGCTGTCGGCTCCGTCACTGAGGGCCAGAAGATCGTCGACCAGGCCGTCCAGGCCTTCGGCACCGTCCACGTCCTCATCAACAACGCCGGTATCCTCCGTGACAAGTCGTTCAAGAAGATGGACGACGCTCAGTGGGACGCCGTGATCGCCGTGCACCTCAAGGGGGCGTACTCGATGACTAAGGCCGTCTGGCCCCTCTTCCGCCAGCAAAAGTTCGGTCGTGTCATCAACACGTCCTCGCCCGCTGGTATCTACGGCAACATGGGTCAGGCCAACTACTCGGCTGCCAAGATGGCCCTCGTCGCGTTCTCCAAGTCGCTCTCGATTGAGGGCGTCAAGTACGACATTCGCGCGAACACTATCGTCCCCCTCGCCGCGTCCGCCATGACTCAGACTGTCATGCCTCCTGAGGTGCTCAAGGGCCTCAACCCCGACTTCATTGCCCCCATCATCGGTGCCCTTACCGCCCGCAACGGTCCCGACGTTCGTGGTCGTATCTTTGAGGTCGGCGGCGGCTTCTACTCCGAGCTTCGCTGGGAGCGCTCCAAGGGCCACCTCTTCAAGACCGACGACACCTTCACTCCCACTGCCATCCGTCACGAGTGGAAGAAGATCACTGACTTCTCCAAGGACGTCGAGTACCCGGGAGACCTCAAGGCTGCCGGCCGCAACCTCATGGCCGTCATCGAGAAGCAGCCCGGCCTCAAGCCCAACGAGCAGGGCCCCCCTCCCCCCGTCGACTTCAAGGGCCAGACGGTCATCATTACCGGTGCTGGTGCTGGTCTCGGCCGCGCCTACGCCCACCTCTACTCCAAGCTCGGCGCCAACGTTGTCGTCAACGATGTCAGCGCTCAGAACGCCGAGGCCGTCGTTAAGGAGTGCGAGCAGCTCGGCGCCAAGGCTGCCGCGGCTGTCTGCTCCGCTGAGGAGGGTGAGAAGATCGTCAAGGTCGCCCTTGACAAGTTCGGCGGCGTGCAGGTTCTCGTGTGCAACGCCGGTGTCCTGCGCGACAAGGCATTCGTCAACATGACTGAGGAGCAGTGGGACACCGTCATGGCTGTTCACCTCCGCGGCACCTTCCGCTGCTGCAAGGCCGTCTGGCCCATCTTCCAGGAGCAGAAGTACGGCCGCATCCTCGTCACGTCGTCGCCTAACGGCATCATCGGCGCGCACGGCCAGGGCAACTACGCCTCGGCGAAGGCTGGTCTCATTGGCTTCGGCCGCTCGCTCGCCATCGAGGGCAAGAAGAACAACATCCTCACCAACATCCTCGCGCCCTCGGCTGGTACGGCTATGACTGCCACCGTCTGGACCGAGGAGATGGTCAAGACCTTCTCGCCAGACTTTGTCGCCCCCGTCGTCGCTTTCCTCACTTCCAAGGACCAGAAGGGCACCGGCCAGGTCATCGAGACCTACGGTGGCCAGGTCGCCGCCCTCCGCTGGCAGCGCACCCACGGCGCGGTCTTCCCCAACAACCGCGTCCCCACTCCCGAGCAGGTTGTCGCCAAGTGGGACGAGATCACCACCTTTGACGACAAGGCTACTCACCCCCGCAACACTCAGGAGTCGGGCATGCAGATCTTCGAGAACTTCTCCAACCTCGCCCCCGAGGAGGAGCAGAAGGACTACGTCGACCCCGAGGACCCGGAGGCCATTGTCAAGGCCAAGCGCGCTGAGCCCAAGGGCATCGAGTACGAGTACACCGAGCGCGACGTTATGCTCTACAACCTCGGCATTGGCGCACACGCCACCGAGCTCCAGTGGACGTACGAGAACGACCAGGACTTCCAGCCCCTCCCCACCTTCGGTGTCATTCCCCAGTTCACCGCCGGCCTTGGCGACTACGATTTCCTGCCCAACTACAACCCCGGCAAGCTCCTCCACGGCGAGCAGTACCTGTCGATCAAGGGCAAGGTCCCTACCTCGGGCAAGCTCGTCAACAAGGCGCGCCTCTTCGAGGTCCTCGACAAGGGCAAGGCGGCGGCGGTGACCACCGTCATCGAGTCGCGCGACGCGCAGACTAACGAGCTCATTTACGAGAACCACTCGACCGTCTTCATCCGTGACTCTGGTGGCTTCGGCGGCAAGCGTGCGGCCAAGGACCGCGGCGCCGCCACCGCCCCCAACGCGCCGCCCAAGCGCAAGCCGGATGCCGTTGTGGAGGAGAAGACGTCGCCCGACCAGGCCGCCCTCTACCGTCTCTCGGGCGACTACAACCCGCTGCACATCGACCCCCAGTTCTCCATCATTGGCGGGTTCAAGAAGCCGATCCTCCACGGCCTCTGCTCGATGGGCTTCGCCGGCCGCCACGTCCTCAAGACCTTCGGCCCGTACAAGGACATCAAGGTCCGCTTCGCCGGCACCGTCATTCCCGGGGAGACTCTTGTCACCGAGATGTGGAAGGAGGGCGACAAGGTCATCTTCCAGACCAAGGTCAAGGAGCGCGATGCGCCCGCCCTCTCGGCTGCCGCCGTCACCCTCATTAACTCCGGCGCCCCCAAGTCGAAGATGTAAATAAAAGGCATTTAGTAGCTATAAGAGCGTGCATAGCAGTGTATGAATCAATGACTGAGCAGCGTGAACTCGGTGAGCAGGTGGCATAGGGTGGGCGGACATGCTCGGCTTGGGTCGCGTCGCGTTGTGCCAGGAGCGCGGGAGTGCCTTTGCCGGCCTTGATGACGTATTGCTCGGCCAGACCGATCGGCCATGACCCTCCTCACTTCCGCTCCCCTCGCACCACTTCCCACTTCACCATCTCTCTCCCCTCTATCCGCTCCGAGCAGCAGTCATCGAGAGCCCCATGCTCGCCGTCAAGCACCCACTGCGGGGTGTCGGCGTGCGGCCCTTCCTACAACCGCGGCTTGCGCCGTCACTCATCTCGCGAGCGCGCGGGCCCAGCGCGACGACAGCTCTCGGCCTCCGCTTCGCAGCCACAGTCCCCCCGCCACCTCCTACGGGCCCCCCTCCTCCATCCAACCCCCCTCCCCCTGCCTCTAATCCTCCCCCCGCAGCCGATCCACCGAAGGACGAGGTGCCAGAGCACACCGAGCACCCAGCAGACCACGAGCACACGGATGCCCATGTGCCCGAGGGCTACGACGAGGGCTCCGCTGGACAAGTGCAGCGCGAACACTGCTCCGTCTTTATCTCGCAGGTGCTTCCGATCCGGCTGGGGTCGTGGGATCCCCGGCCGTGGGTTGCGTCATGGTACGAGGGAGCGCTCCTCGCGGAGCTCGTGAACATCACGAACGACCTGAAGGGCCGGCACGCGTTCAAGGTCGAGAGCTGGGAGGTAGCACGCAAGGACGGTGGCGTGTTCTGCCACTTCTCGTACGTGCCGCCCGCGCTGGACCAGCTGCCGCGCAAGGCGTTTGACCACGACTTCCACACACCTGAGGAGGCTATTCCGGACCCTGTGTCACCCTCGGCTCTCTTCCTCCCGCTTTTCATCGAGGCGGCTCACAAGCACGGTGGATGGCCGACGTGGATTGGACCGTGGTGGTCCTCGCTCTTGGACGGGACGGGGATCAACCGCCGCGCGTCGGCGTGCTCGAACGAGGCCGGCCACTACCTCTTCTCTGGCGACCTTGCGCCGCCGAAGGGTGCGGACGGACACGTGCCCGAGCTACGCGGGTGGCAGCGCACAGCTGGTGCCGGGCGCGTGTGGATGGTCCGCGGGCGACAGTGGACGGAGGACATGAACCGCTTCCCGAGCGCACGTCTGCGCGTCGAGTTCGACGGGCCAGACGTCTCCCAAGAGGTGCTGTACACCCTCTTCCGGCCATACGGGCGCATCCACGACATTGCGCCCCCGACCCCCGTGCCGGCGGGCCAGCTCCGCTCGGCGCTCGTCACGTTCCGCAGAATCTCGACTGCCGTCAACGCCAACAACGCGCTGCATGGATTCAACACACACATCAAGTCGGCAGACTACGAGGGCCGGCGGTCAGACGCGCCGCTCACGCGTCTGAGAATCTACTTTGAGCGGCCACTCAAGGCGCACTACTTCCGCGACTGGGTGTCGAACCACCCGCGCATCGCGCTGCCCGTCCTCGCATTCCTCATCGGCATGTTCTCGTACACATTTTTCGACCCGATCCGCGAGTTCTTCGTCAAGGCGCGCATCGAAGGAATGTGGAACCTCGAACAGTACCCCACCGTGCAGTTCATCAAGGACAACATTGTGATGCCAGTCAAAAACACGCTCTGGCCCGCCAAGGCGCGGAGATGGAAGCGTAACGTCGACGATCTCGGCCGCGCGTCCTTCAGAGACCGCGTCGAGGCCGAGCGCAACGTCGAGCGCTGGCTCACTGAGTTCCCGTCGACGTTCATCGTCGTCACTGGACCACCGGGCAGCGGGAAGCATGACCTTGTGGACCGCGTGCTGAAGGACGAGAAGAAGCCCAACCTCGTCATTGACTGCGCCGAGATCGGCAAGGCCAAGTCGGACACGGCATTGGTGGACGGCCTCGCGAGCCAGACGGGCTACTGGCCAGTCTTCTCGTTCCTGCAGAGCATCAACGGGTTGATTGACCTTGCTTCCATGGGTCTGATCGGCCAGAAGTCCGGCTTCTCAACGCCTGCCGACCAGCAAATGCGCAACATTCTCGACATTGTTGCCAGCGCGCTCAAGGAGGTGTCGAGCCACGCGAGAGAGAAGCGGGCCTCAGAGCAGCAGCATCAGCGTGATGAGATTAACCTCGCGGCCGACCGTGAGCGGCAGCAGCGTCTCATTGAGCAGGGCATCTGGCACGATGGGCGTCTCGACTGCGTCGCGGGTAATGGCATTATGAGCGAACTGGGCTTCGGCATCGAGCAGCCAAGCGAGCTTGATGTCGTGGGTGCCGCGCCGCTTATGGGATCGACGGCGCCGATCGCTGGCGAGGCTGTGCCGCCTACGGGCGTGAGCATCGCCTTCGACAAGGAGGTGACGGCCGCGACGCAAGTGGCTAAGGCGGAAGAGGAGGTCGACAGCGACGCGGAGCTGATCAAGACGCTGCCTGTTGTCGTGCTGCGCAACTTTGCGTTCAAGCCCGCGCGGGGCGAGCTGTGGAACGTCATGGCCGAGTGGGGCGCCTCGCTCATCGAGAACAAGGTCGCGCACGTCATCGTCGTCGGCGAGGGCAGCGTAGCGAGCAAGACGCTGACAGCTGCGCTGCCTTCCAAGCCCCTGAACCAAGTCAACCTCTCGGACGCGGACGACTACAACGCGCTCGAGTTTGTGCGCGAGAAGCTCAGCACCGACGGGCACCAGGTCGAGCTGACGGCGGAGGAGACGGCCGACGTCGCCAAGCTTGGCGGCCGCATGGTCGACCTCGAACTGTTGGTGTACAAGGTGCGCAGCGGGCAGAGCTTGAGCACGGCGGTGGAGGACATCGTGCTGCGCAACGCGGTGGAGATCCGCAAGACGGCTTTCGGCGACGACAGCGACGAAGCCAAGGCGCTGCCGTGGACGCGCGCGCAGGCGTGGAAGATCGTCAGCGCGCTCGCGAAGCAGCCCGAGCTGAGCTACGCCCAGCTCCTGTCCGAGTTCCCGTTCAAGGGCGCCGACACATGCCTCAAGGCCATGGAGGAGCACGGGCTCATTTTCATCACGGCGGGCACGGGCGGGCGCACATGCCCTGCCATGGTGCGGCCAGGCAAACCCGTGTTCCGCGAGAGCTTCCGCTCGCTCGTCGACGAGCCCATCTTCCATGCCATGTGCCAGATCGAGTACAATGCGGCCGTTACTAAGAAGGCCGAGGCGGACATCGCGGACTACGAGGCCGAGCTCGCCAAGCTCAAGAGCATCACGAGCGACGGCGACCACCTCGGCGTCGCGGCTGCCGGCTGGTTCGGCGCCGGCAGCCCGATCCACCAGCGCGCACAGTATCTCGCCGAGTCGCTCGGCAAGAGCATGGACAAGATTCGCAAGGCGGAGGCGGACAGCGCTGAGCAGATCAAGGCGTTCACGCTTGACGGCAAGAAGCGCAAGTGAGCGGAGGATGAAGCGTACAGTGTAGCTAGTCGTAATCATGCACCATTTCCTAAGTGTCACATGCACAAATGCAGTCTCGTCTCGATCTCTTGCTACAGTAACCGCACTACACCCCCAGCAGCGTGCCCACTGCCCATCCATACACGGGCAGAACAAGGTTGTCGTTTTGCGCGCTGAAGGCTTCAAGCAGCGTCGACAATGCGGTCGTCAGAACGAACGGCACGAGGGCAAATCGTTCCACAGCGCCCACAGCCCACATAGCTATCGCTACAGCGACGACAGACACGAGGAAGCCGGCGCTCCCCTCGGCCGTCTTGCCGCTTACAGGCGACCAGCGCATGTATCCGACTTTGCGGCCTATGATGGACGCCATCGCGTCGCCGATACCGAGCGAAAGCACGCCGAAATGCGCGAGGACCTGCGACGGTCCCTCAAGCCACAGCGGTGTAGCACACCCAGCCAGCAGGTAGAAGTGGCTTAGAATGGCCGTGCCCGAGTCCTTGTGATCGATGAACTCGTTGAGGAAGAGATGCACGCTCGCACCCAGTGGCCACAGCGCGAAGTAGCGCACGTATTCGGCGAATGTGAACGCGGCAAAGGCGACCGAGAAGCTCAGGTGTGTGAAGGCCGGGTCTACGGTCATTCCGGGCACAAACATGGCAACGGCGAGGGCGTGGAAGCTCTTGCGGCGCGCATTGACACTCAGCGTCGGCATGCGCTGGTCTGCCCGATCCATCATCTGCGTCGCGACGCTCGGCTCCAGATGCGAGCGGACAGTGCGCGCACTCGCGCCGTCGGACGCGAGAGCGGTGGTGCTGCCGCTGCCGGCAGACGACGTGCTGTCTCGCGACACGGTGTATGTCCGGTGGCGGCGTCCGCGGGTAAGTTGCCGCTGCCAGGCGGCGACGGCGAAGAGCGCCAGGCCGCCCCAGTACGCCAGTAACACGGGACGCGTCCACATATGTGGGCCAGTGATTATGAAGCGCAGTACCCAAAGCCATGGGTTACGCCTTCCGAGCATCCAGCGAGCCCACATGCCCACAACTCCGACAACCACGAGCGCCGCGCCTGCATAAAAACCGAGAGCGAGGAGACGCCGCTGCGCGGGTTTCTCGTGCGGGAAGCGCAGGCGGTGTATTGGGCGCTGTGCCATATTGCGGCTCAGGTACAGCAAGGGTGAGAGGAGGAAGCCTGTCAGCAGCGAGCCTGGAATCAGGGCGAGCTGAAAGATCAAGAGCGGCGTCGGCAGACGGTAGGTCTTGATGTACGGCTCGGAGAGGATAGGGATCTTTGAACGCGTCATGTTGACCGTCTCCATGAACAGCGCAGTAGCCGCGTGCGTGACTATTCCGAGCTCGCCCAGCGTGAAGCCGCGGCGCGCCAAGCGAACGCACACGTAAAGACAGAATTGATAGAACAGGGTCGCGATCACAATGTCCGAATGGGACATATCTGGAGTTAGCGCCTACATCCGGAGTGCACGCACCGCTCCATACGCTCCGGCCAATGTAGGCTGTGCCGATCTTGACGACGACGCAGCAGCCGGTAACGAAGAAGGCGAACGCGATGACAGAGCGATTACGCCGCCACTCGCCACGCTTGAGCCAGAACGTGCCATGCGGACGCATTGGGGTGTCACTTTCACTCCCACTGCTCATGGTCGGAGAGCCTGGCGCCGTGCGGGTGAGCTTGATCTCATGACGCAGGGAGTGCGTGAGCTGGATCAGCAGCACAAAAGACAGCAGTGTGAACAGCTGCACGAGGTTGCGGCGCGCGGTTGCGAGCGCACTCAGAGCGCGGATCGCGTCCCCCTCGGCCCCTGGCGCCAGGACTCCGGGGATCGTGTCTGTGATCCGCCGGACTGGAGTACTGGGAATAAGGAGGGGCTGCTCGATCGTCCAGCCGGGCAAGGTGGCCTTTGGCGGCTGCGCAGCGAGGCGTGTGAGTGCGCCATGCAGCATCGCCGCCGCAGTCAGTGGCGAGAGGAGGAGCGCGAAGAGCGCGCCGTCATCGAGGCATTCGCTGAGGTTAGCTGAGAAGGCCACGCACTAGCTCACCGGTACTCGCGCTCCTCTGTACCCCAGATGCAGCCCCTGCTGCCGATACCGACGGGGCCATCGTCTTCCTTCAGCAGGGAAGGCAGACCATGCTGGCTATTTCGTCGACTAGAACGCTCGCGGAGGTTGGCGACGCCGAGAGGAACAGGTGAGCGGCCTGGGGAGGAAGGCGCGTCGATAGTGCGCACACGGAGCGCCACGTACGCGACACTGATGATGAGAAGGGTGGTGAGTTCTGGCGTCAGCGCGACCTTCCCTCTTCCGCACCGCCTGCCACAGCCACCTCTTTCCAGGTGTAAGTGAGCTTTACAATCCCAGCAACGACGGCACCGAGCAAGATCGCGTCCTCGGCGCGCTTGCGAGTGAGGGTGACCCTCAGTGGCCCAAGTCTGACTGTGTGCGGGAGGAGTGTGATGCGAGGAGCCAGAGGGTGGGCGGCAACGTCAGTGGGGACGCGGGGCGTCGCTACGCGCGGCAGTGGAGTAGGGCGCGGACTGGGGCTCGCGCGGACGGTAGGCAACCGGCGACGCTCGACCTCGGTATCTTCCGCGTTGATGGTGACGAAGCGATCACTACCTTCCCCCTCGGACCCGACGAAGGCGGCCGAGCTTGCGCTCCCCGCGTAGTGTAGTGAGTGGTTGCTCTGTAACGGGGGACGGCGGGTTGAGCGCGACGACGACGACGTCCGCTTCTTCTCTGGGAGTGGGTGAGTGCGCGTGCGCGGCGATGTGGGGGGTGAGGGTGAGCTGGACGAGCGAGAGAAGCTGCGCGGGCGCGAGTGATGTCCCAGCGCATGGCCGTGCCCGTACGAGGGCGCGGAGGGGGTGAAGCGGCGGCCGATGGCGGCACTCATCGAGGACGAGCCGGGGCGGTCAACATCGGCGGGTGAGGGGTCGAGGTCGGGAAGGAGAGATGTGGGTGAGAGGGAGCGTGGTTGTGGAGAAACGAAGAGAGGAGGAGAATGGGAATGATGGGACATGATGGAGGGCGTTGAGAGTCCCGCCGGACGCAGCTCGGTGTTGGAGGCGGCCTGTGGCCGTGAATGAATGAATGGAATGACGAGACACGACAAACTCGGCGTCGGGTGACGTCTCCCCGAAGTCCTCATCGCTCTGGGGTCTCCACGCATCGACAAGGCATGCACCCACTCCGCTCCACTGACACACGCCGATGCATCTGATCCGTTCATCCTTGTTGCGTGGAGCCTCCGTTCATCGCCCACCTCCCCTCGGCGGCAGAGCAATGATGAACACCAAGTCATGCCCATCTGTGAATGAGGCTGGGACGTGGGTATTCCTGGAAAAGCCAAGTTCCCACCGCGACGCGCTAAACAAAGCCAGATTACGTCTTCCCAGGCACCCCTCGGACACTCGGACCTTCGGACACGCCCGCGCCGCTCAGCGCCGAATATCAATGCACCCGGCGCCCGGCATGGCGTCCGAAGCGCCGCGCAATGGCATCGTCAGGCTCACAACTCATAATCCTAGAGCGCATAGAGGCGTTGTCTGCCGCCATTAACGCCAACAACGTGCATGCTGTGAACTACTCAATGCCCGCGGTAGACCGCGTGGCGAACGAACGAAAAAGGCAACCAGACCATCTACTTCTGCTGCTACTACACCCTAGGCTTCTTCTCACTCTTGTCCTCGGCCGCCGCAGGCGCCTCGGGCGCGGGGCGCTTCTTCTTCCGCACCATAGACGTGAGATCGTTCACAGGGCCCGCGTCCTGCTTGACTTCTCCGCCAATTCCGCCGAGAAGGTGGTTAATCGTGCCACTAACCAGGTCCTCGCGCACCGGCGCTGCCTTGAGCTCGTCAATCTTGACCTCAAGGTCGCCGATGAGCTCGCTGACGTCCTTGAGCTCGGCCTCGCGCTCGCGCTCAGTCATGCGCGCCAGGTCCTCGGTCGTCGTCTCGCCCGCGATGGCGCGGCGCACCTCCTCCGCGCGCGCCTTGAACCCGTCCAAAGCGGCCTGCACGTGCTCAAGCGCCGCCGGACGCCCGGCAGACGTCAGCTCCAACGCCGTCGAGAGCTGGTAGTGCGCGGACGCGAGCGCACGCGATGAAGGTGGAAGGAGCGCCGTCTTGATCTCCAGTGCTGCCCTATAATCCAGGACTGCCTGGTCGAACTTTTCTGTGCGGTCAGTGGACCGTCGCATTCGAACAACCGCACTCACCTGTCTCACAACTGATGTCGCCCAGGAAGAGGTAGCACTCAGCCAAGCTCATCCTGTCGTCGCGCGCGTTGTCCGCGCCCTTCCTGGCGATCTCGCGCTCGTAAATCGTTCGCGCGACATCCAGCACCTCCCACGCCGCATTGAAGTCGTCCTCAGGCAGGTCTTCTTCCTCGTCGCCGCCCTCGCCATCGGCGCCATCCTGCTCCTCGCCCTCACCCTCGCCCTCCTCTTCTTCCCCGTCCTCGTCTCCATCACCCTCAAACACGAACTTGCCCGCCTTCTCCTTGTCCTCATCTACCGTCCCCGTCCCCTTCGCAACCTCCTCCTTCCCCATAACGCCCTGCTGTGACAGCGCGAGCTCGAAGAGCGCGCGGCCATAGTTGAACAGCAGCGGCGCCTTGCTCACGTCGAGCTGGTCCACGCCTGCTTCGTCCCTGTCGTCAGCCCGCTCTCGAGACAACGCACTGAATCTGCAAGGCTGACGCGTGCTTCTCGACTGCCTCCTCCCACTGCTTGAGGGCAAGCGCCTTCTTGCCCTCGGCGAGGAGCCGCGCCACCTGCGCGGCCTTGTCCTCTGGGATGGGCGTGCCGTTCGACGCGCGCGCCGGCGCGGGGGCAGTTGCTTCTGTTGTGTCTGCTGCGGACCTGAGTGTCAGTTGAACGGTACGTCTAAGACATACATTTTGGAGTGGTTGAGTGACTGGATGGATGAGAGATGGGGTGGGAAGTCGAGTGTGGTGGGGTGGTGGCGAAGAAAGCAAAAGGCAATCTCGACGCGTCCAGGCGCGTCATGTACGGAACCAATATTGCTCATCTCGTTGGTGACAGCCCGCTGCATCTCATCCGCGTGCTTCCAGAGGTCGTCGAGATGCTAAGTACTATGCATTGTCCTTGGCCCAACCCACCTCGAATTCACCAATGCACGTTCTTTCCATGCATATGGTAGCTGCATAGCTGTATAGCTGAATGGATGCGGGATGACAACTACTACCCAGACGGCTGTCACGTGACAATACTGCCGCCGGCTGTTTGCGACGGAGCCCATCCCACTCGAAATTCTGATCCACCCAACACCAACCTCCACCGACACCAACACCCACCGCACAATGTCGCAGGACACCGCCGCGACCATCATACCCTCGCTGGAGGCGTTCGCCGCCCTCCTCTCGACGCGGGAGCACAAGCTCGCGCGCGGCGGCGACGCCGAGCTGGCCGCGCACGCCCTCGCCGCCGCCAAGCACATCTGTGACCTCGGTGCGTCAACCCGCGGCATCGCTGACATCAGGCATCGCGACGGAGGCGCGCTCGCACCCGCACATCCACCCGTTCATCGCGTCCATCGACACGGGGATCACGCTGCGCTCGGCCCAGCCGCCTGCGGAAAAGCCCGCGCCGGAGGACGTGTTGCCGTACACGCCTCTCAGCGAGCTCACTGTGGACGGCATGGAGCACGAGCAGGTGTGGGCGCAGATGGAGTTGCGGGCCGACGGGATGTGTCGGATCATTCGCGAGGTCGCTGCGCCTGAGACGGAGGAGGAGAGCGTCATGGGGTGGGAGGAGGACGAGGACGAGGACGACAGCACCGAGGAGATGACGATCGAGGAGTGGGAGAAGATGATGGCGGAGGGGGGGTATGAGGAGGGCATGTCGGAGAGCGAGGGGGACAGTGAGGACGGAAGTGAGGGGAGTGAGGGGAGTGAGGACGAGGAGTTGGGCAGCGACGAGGACGTCGAGATGGGCTCCGGCTCTGACGAGGAGGTGTCGTTGGACGGCGAGGCGGAGGTTGACGGCGACGATGACGACGTCTCCGACGACGATGCCCAAGAGGACGACGGCTACGCCCCCGGTCCGTCCAAACCACGCGCCCAACACCCGACGCTCGACGACACATTCTTCTCGATCGACGAGTTCAACCGCCAAACCGAGGAGATGGAGGCCGGGCGGGTGACGTCTGGCGCGCTCGGCGGCGACGAGGACGAGGATGCTGAGCTCGACGACATGGGCGCCATGTTCCTCGAGGAGGGCGAGGAAGACGACGCGCCGCTCATGTACTCGGACTTCTTCGCGCCGCCGCCGCGGCCCGCGCCCAAGGACGAGAAGGGCGGTAAGGGCAAGGGCAAGGCAAAGGACGACGGGAAGAAGAAGAGCAAGCGGAAGGTCGCGTTCGCCGACGAAGACGAGGACGAGGAGGAGCCAGAAGATGAGGAGGACCCGTCGCGCGGGATCATGAACCGCCTCAAGGCGGATCTCTTCGATGACAGCGAGGACGAGGGCGATGCGCAGCGGGGTGAGTTTAAGCGACTTGGACGCAGAGGACATCGCTAATCCTAGTCCTGTCGACGCACGAGCGGCGACAGCGCGAGCTGGCGGAGCAAATTGCGCAGCTCGAGTCGGAGGCGATCGGGCCGAAGGAGTGGACGCTGCTCGGCGAGGCGTCTTCGCGTGCGCGTCCCGAAAACTCGCTGTTGGAAGAGGACCTGGACTTTGAGCACGTCGCCAAAATCGTGCCGACTGTGACGGAGGAGAGCGTGGCGAACCTGGAGGAGCTGATCAAGAAGCGGATTCTCGACAACAACTTCGACAGCGTGGTGCGCGTGCGCGCGTACGACCCCACCCCGTTCCTCCCGTCCCGCTTCTTCGAGCTCGACGACAAGCAGAGCGCGCGCTCGCTCGCCCAGATCTACGAGGACGAGTACACGGCCGCCGCGTCGGGCGGGGCAGCGGACGCGCGCGACACCAAGCTCGCGGCGCAGCACGAGGAGATTGAGGCGCTGTGGAACGACATCTGCTACAAACTCGACGCGTTATCGAGCCTCACGTTCGTCCCGAAGGCGCCGAAGGCGGCGATCCGCACCGTCGAGAACATCGCGACGACGAGCATGGAGAGCGCGCTCCCGTCCACCCAGGGCGCGGGGAGCATGCTCGCGCCCCAGGAGATGTTTGCCGCCAAGGCTGCCGAGCTTGTCGCGCGCGACGAGCAGACGCCGGAGGAGGCCAAGGCTGCCCGCGCAAAGGCGCGCCGCGGCAAGAAGGCACAGCGCGCCAAGCTCGCCGGCGCAGAGGCACTGTACTCCAAGAAGAGGAAGACTGTGCGCGAGCAGAAGGACGAGGCGCTTCGCGGACTCGTCAAGTCTGGCAAGGGAGTTACCGTGCTTGGCAAGGGGGGGAAGGAGGAGGCCAAGCGCCGCAAGCGCGAAGAGGCGGGACCCGATGCCAAGCGCCTCAAGCTTTAGGCGGCTGGACCATATGTCGTTGTCGCACTCTTACTGTAAGCATATGCATTTGTGCCACCGTGCCCTGGTGTAGCTGTAGTTATGCGTTGGAGGAGGGGCTTGTGATTCGCGCAGTCAGTCAACAGCAAGTGATAGCGGCAATCACGTCAGTGCTCCAGTTCCTTGCGAGTTCCAGCCCGAGTTTCGCTCCATGATTGCCCAGCTCAATGCTACAATGATACATTTTGGCAACTAATTGATCCGAGACGAGTCCGAGTGGCCGGCTGCGGCCGGCGTGCAATGATTATTCGGGAGACGGGTGATATGATATCTTGTGTGGAGGAGTTGGGGTATAGCTTGGCGGGGATGCGCTTGGGAAGTGGGAAATGGGAATCGAAACGCTGACGCGGCTAGGTGGATAGGTACCCCATGTCCATCTTGCCAGGCGGGAACAGCTTGTCGAAGACGTCGCCGTGCTCGAATGTGGGGAGGCTAGGGAGACCGCCGAGGCCCGCTGCGCGGCGGCGCTCGGCCTCATCCGCATAGATGGTGCGCAGAGATGCGACAATCGACGAAATGCCGTATATGAAGCCCATGTCGGGGTCCTTCGGATGTTTGGGAGGGAAGCGGGCGAGCGCGAGTCCCGTCTCCTCGTCTATCATCGGGCAGTAGCCCTTGCCGAGATTGGGAGGGTCGTGAACGCCAGGAGGATAAGGGAACTTGATATCCTGACCGGATGTGGAGTGCGCGAAGTCGACGATGCGTAGTGTGACATCTCCCTTGACGCGCCTGGCACGTGCGGTCTCGGGAACATCGGCGGAGCGCGAGCGGCGGTTCGTGCCCGACAACGACGGGCGGCGACGAGGAGCCTCCTCAAACATTGACTCGTGTCGCTCATGCATGGGGCGCGCTTTCCGCGCATACTGCTGCTGCACCTCAGGGTCGCCGTCGTAGATAAGCAGGAGGGAGCAGCCGTAGAAGCGGAAGCCGTTGAGCGTTACCAAGATTGAGGCGAGGCTGTACAGCTTCTGCATGAGCGGTGGAATGTGCTGAACGAGGAGATTGTTGCCATCGTTCAAGTAGAGCGAAAGCACGCGCGGAAACTCCTCCGTTTTGAGCTGCCTTCCGCGGTATTTGTTCTTGGACACGAATGACTGCGTGGCATTTGACCACACCTAAGGTTGTCAGCCACACTGTCTGCGAACCCAGCCTAAAAAACTAGGCCCGACAGCTAATGTCGTCGCTAGTCCCACACACGTGCGCTGCACTCACCTGCATGCCACACATCCGAACTCCGAGGGTTCGGCTGGTCGTCTGGTCGCACTTCTTCCGCTGGCTGGTCTTCTTGAGCGGCGTTGCATCAAAACCATACTGCCGTGTTCCCATCTTGAGGTCAAGAACACACGGCTTCTTGAGCTTGCCCGTGAGGTCCTCCATGAAGATGAAGAGCTCCTGGCGGGTGATGTCATCGCCGTTGGCGACACTTGGAGGAATTGATGGCGAGTATTCTTCTGTGGGTGGTCTTGGTGACGCTTCCAACGTTAGTCTGGGCGAATCCGAGGCAGGACGTGCGCCGTCCAACGACGAGCGGCGTCTGAGATGGGGCAGGGCACCCTTGCCATTAGTCTTCGGCGCTGTCGGCTCGTCGTCGTCCATATGGAACAAACCGCGCTCGGTGCTGTGCTCGCGCTTGCCGTTACTTTCCTTGTCGGCAGCTGGTACGTGGACCTCACTGCGAGTCCGGCGCATGGCCCCATTACTCGTGTCCGACCGTATTTGTTTGAACGCTGGCCGCTTAAGGGCGCCGCCATCATGTTCGTCGTCGGCATCTGCGTCGTCGTGGTGGGACCTGTGGAAGTTGTTCTTCTTCTTCAAGCGCTTGAAGATAGTCGAGAAGACATGGTCTTTGAGCTTGTTGTTAACGGTGGTGGAGCCGATGCCTCCAAACGGGGCGTGGGGAGTGGTGAAGCCGCTCCCAGATCGATCCATTGACGACCACAAGTCGTGGCGATTCAGAGAGGGAGTAGAATTGGTGTGGTGAAGGTGGTGGAAACTGGAGGGTGACTGCACCGGGGTTCTTGGCTCTTCGCGTATCAGCCTCGCGGCAGGCAGCCCGTTTGGTGGCGAACCCAGGTCGCCGATGGAGAGTTTGCCAAAGGACGACGAGGGCGAGAAGGACGTCCGCGGCACAGACGCAGGGGAGCGCACGGACGAGGAGCGTCGCTTGTGCGGGTCATCCTCGTCTGCGCTCGGAAATCGCCTTCGACCGCGGCCGCGATCCGCTAGACTCTGAGTCCCGGCCAACGCACGACAGGACGGGCCAGTGGAGCGGAACAACCAATCGGGGACCACATGTCGATTGAAGTCGAGCTGGACCTCGGGTACCTCAACGTCCGAGACAGTCGCATCTGAACGACCCGCTAGGGATCGTTGACATGGTGTCGGTGGCTGCGACACGGCCGGGGAGAGTGTGAGATCGCGTTCAGTCCCTGGGGTCTGCGACCCTTCGGTGCCCATCTTTCGTCGGTAGTTGACGAGCATGACGCCGAGGTAGCGAGGAACGAAGGGGAGCAGCCCCGGCGCGAGTCTCTCCATGTCCTCGTAGAACACGTTCTCACGACCGACAAGAGGCTTGCAGATTGCGGCGCGAGTGAACTGGTAGATGCTGCTATGTCCTCCTACCTTGTGGCCATAAGGTTCGAGTGGCACGGCGAGTGGTTCCTCGTCATCGGTGTCCGTCGCGCTCGCACTCTCGAAGTCATCGCTGCCTGCAGATGAGGATGTCGAAGTCCACCCGCTGTCATCATCGAAAGAGTACGAGCGACCCTTGTCTACTGGTCGTTGAGGCGACGGCACTATCGTGGCTTCCGCCGGGAGGACCTTCTCGTCAGGTTTACTTTCTCGCCGCGCGCGATTCCCCGCTGACGGCCGTCGTGGGGGAGCAGGCGCGAAAACTTCTTCCTCTTCGGCAACCCCTTCAAGTGGGAGTGGACTGGAGACATCCTCGAGGCCTAGCATCGGCTTGGACTCGGGACCTCTGCTTCGATCGCGGTCTGCATCTTTCTGCCGCGACCTAGACTCCTTGAACAAGCCCATGCCAATGCTGCCCTTGCGGGTCTGCTTAAAGGTCGCGCGGGTGTCCATGTCCTCCTTTGCTTCTGAGAGCGCTCGGAGAGCCAGCTTTGGGAGAGCCACTTCTCCCCCGTTTGCTGCCCCGCGTCGAATGACATCGTTGAGCCCTGTGTTCTCGAATTGGCCGTCGTCTGTGCGCGTCCCCAATCGGACGCCAAAGTTGGAGGAATGTCCGGTTGCCGCCCGCGCATGCCCGGGCGGAAGGCTGAACTTGGAGTCGGTTGAAAAGTGGGGGAGGAAGAACTCGTTGCTGCAGGGGGATAACGAGGGCGCATGCGTTGCGGGGTCGGGAATGGCCATCGAGGCTGCTCGTGGCCGGAAGAGCTGCTTGCGCGACGTCAGAGGCCGCCCCGCCGATGACCGCCTGCTCGATGGAACATGGTCCTCGTCCTCGGCGTCATCGGTTTCGGCGTCAAGGTCGCAGTGGTTCGGGCGCAGGGAAATGGTGACGCTGCCTACTTCGTCGTCATTGTTCTTTCGATCCCGTCCGGGCCCGCTCGGTTTACTGATACCTTTGCCGTTGCCCTTGAACGATCGCGACCGAAATGGAGAGGGAAGATCAGTCGAGGAAGAAGGGGTGGCGGTTGTGAGGAATGGAGACTGCTGGCCCACACTCCGAGGGGAGGGTGGGTCGCGAGCTGGAGTCATGGCCTGCTCAGATACGGTGCAAGACTGTGCGAAGGAGAGGTGTCAGTTGAGTGATACTCGGAGAGAGATAGAGTGGGAGAGTGAGGGAGAGTGGGGGCGGGGTGGTGAGAGAGAGAGAGAGAGAGAGAGAGAGAGAGAGAGAGCCGGGAGACGGTTATCGGATGTGGCCGTACGGGGGGCCGCCTGGGGCCTGGAAGACGATAAAGAGCGAGAAGAGAGAAAAGGGGGCCGGGGACAAGAGGAGCAGGGAGACTTACAGAGGCGGACTGGATGTGAGGGACGCATGCCAGGCGTCGAGGCGGCGGTGTAGACTAGAGGGAGATCCAAGTAAATTTTGGAGAGATTAGGATGCAGAGGAGAGTGGCTGGGAGGTGAGGAGGAGGGGACGAACGTGGGGATGGGATGGATGATGGCCCACGTTTGTTGTGACAACAGAGTGGAGAGTGAGATCGATTCAAACGGTGGCTGACGGGTCGGTCGGTTGCAAAAAGCGGAGGTCGGAGCGGGGCGGGAGGAGAGGGGGGGGGGGGGGGGGGGGGGGGGGGGGGGGGGGGGGGGGGGGGGGGGGGAGGGGGGGGGGGGGGGGGGGGGGGGGGGGGGGGGGGGGGGGGGGGGGGGGAGCGGTTGTGGGGGAGGATGAAAGCGGTTAATCTGGAGTTGAGTGGATGTGAGAGTGGTGCGTGGACTAGTCGTGAGAGTGAGAGTGAGAGAGCAAGATGCGGTGGTGCCGAGGAGGATGGTGATGGCGGATGTGTGATGGATGGTGGTACAAGATGGAGAAGACGAGGACGAGGAGGATGGAGTGGATGAAGAGTGATTGTGTGATGCCCGAAGAGGACAGAGCGAGAGGGAACCGTGACGACAGGCCCCAGGAGCGAAAAAGGCGCACTGGCAGAGGCTCACTCAGGGCGCCGGGGCCTCGCCAGGACCGGCACGACCACCGCCCAGGGTGGGCTGCCTATACATGGCCTGGAAACCTCAGAAACACTCCGACTACCGACATGCCGACCCAATTACATCAATCTCTCTCATCCATCTATAGATTTTATCTCGCTCTCTATCTCTCTCTTGATCTCCTGTTCTTCACAGACATCGGTAACCTATCTTTTCTGTATCTAGTCCAACTCCAGCTGCCCCGTTTCCTCGCCTTGATCTTGCAATTTTGTCCCTGTGCGTCATATTCTCTGTCCTCAACACCTGGACGGTCCGCCTGTTTTCGCGCTAGATCGCTAGACTCCCAGTCACCAAAGTAAACGAGCTCGCGCCCGTCCTACTACCCCTCCTGCCTATATCGGTTGGCATTTCGGGTATACCTCATGCCAAACGAGGCGCAGGAGAGTGAAATGGGGCGAATGAGATTTCCCACGCAGTTGTGGCCGAGGCGGGTGGACCGGTGCGTCTATTTCCGCCAATACTGACTACGTATACAAACTGCCAAGCTCATGGGTCGTCGTCTGTGATCTGTGGGGCTGCCGCGAAAGGATCGTAGAACACTAGGTGGCGTATCCCAGAATCCCTCATGTCACGGACGACCCGTGCCTCCTCGATTGCTGATGAGGCGGCACCGAGTAACCACTACTACCACTTCCGCGTGTCCTCATCTGCCTCTAACTCGCACACCCGCGCGGCATTTTGCAACACCTTAAACGCGCTCTGTCACTTTGTAACCGTTTCTTGCGAGCGTGCTAAGGAAGTGTCTCAGCAAGCAAGGGTGTTAAGCCGCGAACCACGGCAAGCTCAAAGTTCCATTGCTTCGTCTCACTGGCACGCGTCGTGATCTCATCAGCCAGGTCAGGGTGCTTTGGCAGATCAGGTGCACCACAAGTGGGGGAGAGTGGTAACGCACCTCAACCGCTGAGCTTCAAGTCCTCCGCCGTGACGCGGACCACAACGGCCTGTCACCCAGAACCCAAGTCCAAGCTCAGTGTCAGCGTTGGGTGCCGGTGTCTTGGCAGGCTTGGCTGACGCAAAACGGTGGACATGTGCTGTCGGTGTCTGGACTACTGATGGCAGTTGGCGACATATGGGGCCGACACATGAGGCACACCATTCCTCGATCTCTTGCTCCAACCTCCCACTCCATTCTCTCATGGCTCTCCGCCTCCTCCGCGCGTGGGTCCAGAGCAGCCTGACCGCCATGCACACAACGCCAGGCTCTACTTGTGCCATCGCTCATGACGTGCAGACTTCAGAGACAATTTTGTGTTCTGCATAAAAAACAAGCATATTTGCCCATAAAACACGAAAATCACGTGCACCATCAATCTCAGATCCTAGACCGACGAATCTGGTATACCTGTGAGTCGAGGCCCATTCGCGTGGCACACGTGGCTGGGCCATCGGACATTGAGGCAATGTCCGACCGCATAGCCCGCCCCTGAGAGGGCCAAGTCGACGACGCAGTCCCGCCACCAAGCGTGCTGTGCATCGGCGCCCGCCCAGCAGCCAACTCTCCCAGGGTGATCGTCATGCGTTGAGTGAGCAATCTCGTGCCATCCACCTCCCTCTTCCATCCATCCTCCATCTTACTCAATCTCGTGCTCCCTCTCTTCTCTCCTCATCGTTTATCCACTCCTTTGCCCCATCATCTTCCACGCCTCCGCCTCTCGTATCGCATACCACCTCGCCGCCACCCCTCCCACGCCGGAAACGAAGGCGGCCGCGCCGCCCCATCCCATCAATCTCACACTCTCATTTTGCCCAAGGCAAGTGCCAAGACAACCCCCCAACCACCCGCCCACCCCCTCTTCCCTCCACGCATGCACCTCCCTCCAAGTGAAGATAATCAGAAGTCCGCTACTGCCGCGTTCCTTGAGATCGCGGCGTAACATGTGCGCAGACTTCATGCACCACCCTCTGATGTTTGAGACTTTTGAGCGCTCGTCGTGTGACGACGCGCAAGTCTCCCCGTGCTCCGACCACACCAACTTTCGGCAACCCTCGGACTCGCTAACACCAGCCGACCATGGCGCCATATACACCCATTCCGAGCGGTCCGACAGGATCCAATGTCTCGTCCCCCCGCCGACCCCTGTCCTTCCGTCTGCAGTCTAGGCGCCAAAGCTTGATGCCGGATCCGGACGAGATGGACCGGGCCTTTGACGGACCAGGAGACGACGAGGATGACACCCATGAGAGCCACGCGCTTCTAGGCAACAATCCACCGGCAGCGGCGGCACCGCAGGGTCGATCTGGCACGCCGCCCATGCCGGGCGACTACGACTTCAATCGCGACTACGTGAGTGATCCCTTATCTCGGGCCTGGAACTACGAATGCTGACAGATGACAGTTTCTTCCTCCTTCGGATTCACCCCCACCGTTCGAGCCGTACTCGGCACACAATCCTGCCCCCGGTAACAGCAACGGCATTATGCCATCCGAGCCTGTAGCACGCCCTCAGCAGGCTCGTCACTTCCTCGGCGGTGTGTTGCCCTCGGCTTTCCTGCCAAGAAAAGAGGCGCCACACGCCGTTGGTGGCGGGCAGAGCGGTGTGTTTGCCAACCTCTCCGCGCGCCCTGATGGGCAGCCGATCGAGCGCCGAGAGGACGGTGTTGAGTTTGCCAATGAGGACGAGTTGAAAGACGCGCCACCCTCGTATCAGTCGGCACTGCGTGACGCTGTTCCTCCCTACTGGGACACGACTGTTGTTCTTCCGTCTTCCTCGTCGCCATTTGGTCCGCTTCACTCTTCCATCAACGGGGACGAGATTCTGATCGACGGCATGCCCTCGGGCAACTTCTTCGGTTTCATCTGGAACTTGATCGTTTCGGTCTCCTTCCAATGGGTCGGCTTCCTTCTCACATACGTTCTGCACACTACCCACGCCGCCAAGCACGGCTCGCGCGCCGGCCTCGGCATCACGCTTGTTCGATTTGGCCTTTACCTTCGCCAGACGGGCATCGAGTACCAGGAGACTGGGCACTACCCCGGCGACTTTGACATCGACCCTGTCACGGGTGACTACAAGAACGATGTGTCTGCGGAGGAACAGCTCAAGATGTACGGGTCGCAGAGCTGGCCCATCCCGATCGCCGACATATTCAACCCTGGCTCGAACGCGACGATCATCCTGCACAACTTGGATGAGGCCAAGGACTACGCACACAAGTACAACCACTCGCTGCTTGACCTCATGCGGCCGCCTGCGCAGGACGTTGGCCGCTCGTATGTTTGGTTCAGCTTCCTGCTCATGGTATGTGGCTGGTTCCTCGTGCTGGCGTCGGTTGGCGGCTGGTGGCGCGTGAAGCGTTTCGAGCGCAAGCTGCACCAGGCGCAGCGCGAGAGTGAGGCCGCGCAGGCCGCTGCTCGCGGCGAGGTGCTTGAGGGCGACGACGACGACGACTCTCCGGCACGGCCCGGCCCGCACCAGCTGTCGTACTACACGGCGGTGTTCACACAGGCGCTAAACGGTGCGCGTGAGATGCAGCAAGGCTTCTTCGGCGCGCGGGGTCGTCGGCTCAACCGCGGCGACACGCTCTTCGGGCAGGACGAGAGCGAGCGAGACCTCCTCGAGGCGCAAGGGTATGGCCTCGAGCCGATGGCGCGTACGCGATCGTCTGACGACGATACGGGGCGCCGTGCTGGCCTGTGGGGCAATATGCGATAGAGCTTTGTATGCGGGTACGGAGGAGAAACATAGAAGTTTTGTGTACGTGTCGATGTGTGCGCGTAGACTGGCGCGTGTAAATGGATCACTCTTGTTTTTTGTGGTCGTGTGCGGTGAACGGGGGGATTGTCTCAGGTCGATCACCTGGGACCTGGACTGTGATGGTATAATGGCAGGCCTAGATCTCAGAGCCATGTCATATATCCGTCGGATTAATTGTGCCCGGACGCGCGAAACCAGTGCATTCCAGTCCAACTACTTCTTTGAGGACGCCGTTGTGCATATAAAAGTACTGTAAAAAAGCATGTGTGAGGGGAGGGGGGGTCAGCGTGGACTCGCAGATCACGGCGGCAGGACTAAAACCCGTCCTGTCCCATAACCTCCCATTGAGCGCTCGCGTTGGGCGTTTGGTGCGGCAAGGCCCCCAATCTGCAGGCGCGGCAGTGGACCTTAACGCAGCACATGTCCACGTATCCGGCGGTTTCAGCACATGTGAACATGCACACTATCAAAACCGTCGAGTTTCGCAACGTATCGGTACATATCTTTCTCTCATAGCAACTGTAGCAACTACAGCGTATCCTCGGATGAAGCACCACTCATCGCGGGAGCACTGGCATCAGCCCGTTCAATTACGCACGCACCCAGCTCCTCCCCCCTCTTACAGGTCACAACCGCCTCCGCAAGCCCCACAAGCCACCACAACGCAGCGACGCCCAGCACACTCCCCGCCGCCGCGAGGCCGACGGCCCACCCCCACCCCATGTCCTGGGCGGCGGCGAACGCGCCCGGCCGCCGCGTGACTTCGCTCGCGACGCACGCGAACAGCGCGACCGTATCGTAGATGAGCGCGGCGGCCGCGATCCCGGTCGACGCGGCGCGCCACGCCGCCCACGCGCCGTATCCTTTCCAGTTGTCCCTCCATCCCTTCCAGTCGCGTCCCAGCGATGCCACGCCCGGCGCCGCGCCCACGCTCCCGAGCCGGCCGAGTACCAGCAAGCCGAGGAACGTCGCGGCGCCGACCGCGCCCACGAGGCGCACGGCGAGGAACGCCGTCGCGCATGCTGCTAGTGCTAGAGTTGGGGGCGTGCGGCGCGCCGCGAAGAGCGCGCAGGCGCCCACGGCGGGCAGGAGGAGGGGGAGGAGCGCCGGCGGCGGGGGGTTCGGCGGCAGGCGGTGCGCCGATGCGTATGGGCCGGCGAAGAGGGACATGTGGGGATGAGAATGGGAGGGAGAGAGGAGGGAGAAGATTGGGGAGAGGAGGGAGTGGGAAGGAGCGCGGAGGCGTTGTCTGTGATGCAATGGGGCGAGCTCAGCAGGACACGCAGCCTCGTCGCCTCGTCCGCCGCCCGTCGCCCGTCGCCCGTCGCCCCGCCCGTCGCTCGGATATCGGATATCGGCCTAGGGCACTATCCCACGCCCACGCCATGCGTCATCGCCAGCTCACGTCAGAACGCAACGAGTAAACGTGGAATCAGGGTTTGGGGCAGGTGGAACGCGTCGATCAGCGTTCCATGACGACAGCAGATAACACGTGCACGACTGGCGCGACGGCCCCGGGACGCCCTAGGGCTCGCTGGTTTCGACTCCTGTCACCGAGCGTTTGTGGTGCACTTCCGAACTTCCGATAAGCAGGAAGCATGCTGTATGTGACGATGCATTTCCATCTCAGCTCTGAGCTCTGAATGCGCTACAAGGAAATTGATGGCGGGGTCCAGAAGAGGCGGTAGGTAGCGGTCTCATGGGGTCGATCTCCGATCTCCGAGTTGCTGACGTCTTGACAATAGCCAATAGCCAAACAGACCCCGTGCTAAGCTGGACGGTTGGGCTCTGCCATGCCACGCCAGGATGTAGATGGCCGGTACACCGCCCGGGGGCTGCCGTCAACAGCTCCTGCGGCTGAGCTGTGCTGCATTCGTGCAACAAATACTGAATCGATACAGCCACATTAGCCACCTTGGACTGGGTCCTGACGTTCTGTGCAACTTGGCATTGCTTCACTCAAGCGTGGCTAGGTCAACAGCGCTGCACGACAAACGGTGTTGTTGTGCACAGCTGCAGTGTACATGGCAACCATCGGCCAAGGCTGGATGATGCCAATGTGTCCCCCCATATGCCCAGCCAAGGGGCTGAACCTGCTGTCCTCGAGTTGCGACGACGTGCGGATGTTTGCTGCATCCGCAAGCGACTGCACAAGAGCACAGACCTATCCCCCTTCCACGCTACCTGATTACCTCTCACATGCGGGCGGTGCACAGCACGACCCCGCTGAGCAATGCAACCATTCAGCACTGCTCCGTTGAGCCGCCTGTCACCCACTTGGCTGGCTATCCTCCCGGGACATATCCAGACAACGAGATCTGTCCTGGATGCGAAGGAGACTTGTCGGCCGCCTTTCCTAAACCCCAGACTCTCAAAATTGACCCATGTTCGAGGAATCGATTAATCCAGCAGCACATCATGCGCTGCGTGGGCTTTCGTAAGGTCGAGGAGGACCTTACAGAGCCTCTGGATCACTTCCCGGAGGCACCCTCATCGGCTGCATCTCCTTTCAAGGATAGTAATGCCAGCATGATGGTCGACATTGGTGGCGTCGGGGCAGTGAGTTTGAATGCTGTGCGCAAGGTGGTGGCTCGCGCATCTCGAAGAAGTACACCTGTTGTGGCATCACCTTCTGCAGCCAGGGCTCTGCGCTTGCAGAGCACTTCCTCGTTGAACACGGCTACTGGCTGGACGCAGATCTCTCGACAGCGCACAAGCTCTTCAAGATCGGTGATACCCGTGGTGCTGTCGAAGCACTTGAGGGTGCGGCCTACTCTTGGTTCAAGAGCGAGTGGATTACGGACCTGGTCCGTTATGTCACAGCTCTCGCCGAGGAGCATGAGGCTTGTTGGGGCACTCACCGCCTTCCTCACCGACATGGATCACGCACCAACCTCCCTGTGCCCCAATGGATGACGGATAATTGCATGCCAAGCGACCTCAGCTACATCGGCAAGACTTTCAAGTTCACTGGTCCCACTCGAACACCCTGCTGCTTCATGTGCGTCAAGTCACCGCACCTTCCAGGTCTACTCGCATGAGGAACCCGGCCATCTACGGTGACAAGACCATGCACACTCGCTCGCACTTGATTGCAGAATTCACAACTGCATACAAGGTGTTGGAGAACGAGCCTTCACCCAGGAGCAAGAGGCAGTCTTGTTTTATCAAGGACGACTTTACCACTGTCTGCCCCGACACAGTGTGCGCCAGTTACGCTCAGTCGTTCAACTCACTACTCGGAAAGGCGGAGGCTGGGGAGTGGTTGAGCACAAAGGTGTCCGTACACCGGATGCCGCGTTAGTGCGACAACAGTGAATCGTCACAGCCATGCCAGTCACTTTAGGCTGGGTCGTAATGTTTCGTGCAACTTGGCACTGTTTCAATCAAGGACAGCTAGACTGATAGTGCTGCAAGACAAAGTATGTTACTGTGCATAGCTGCAGGGTACATAGCGGACAGCGCATGGGTCACACGATCGCACGAGCGGAGGGTAACGCGAGGCCGTCGCACGAGTGCTGTATTGACGCCGAGATCAGAGCAGAGCTTCGACACCAACGCCGTTATGTCTTTTGGGCCTTGTCGCCTTGACGACACACTAACGCTGTCAAAGCACCAAAAATCTCTCACCACTGTGAGTCGAACACAGGACCTGCGGATGTACACCTCGTTCGAGGGGCTAGGTATCAGATTACAGTCCGACGCTCTACCAACTGAGCTATGGTGAGGTTGGTGGACGACGGCTTGGCTGGGCGAGCCGCGAACACCTAGCAATCCAGTGCAACCAAGAGTGCATGGCGCATGTTCAAGTGCCAGAATCCTTCGGATTTCGGGCGTGTCCCTTGTATCGGGTCGGTGGATCTGAGAATAAAGCTCAATTCAATCGCGTTGAACTGGCTTCAAGTCCCAATCAAGAGAGGCAGATACAAGATTGCAGTTTGGTTTGACGTGTGTTGGTATTCTGGATGGATATCTGACATGTGCAAGGAATGCGCAATGTGGGAGGGTTGCGTGCGTCAGACATGGATGAGCCGAACAAAGCCCCTGGCTTCGGTCGTGCGTTTCACGGCCCAGAGCTAGAGCGGCAGAGCGGTGCGGGCGCACAGGCCGCAGGACGCCGCATTGGCCGCCACGCGCGTGTCCTAGCGCAGTCCGTAAATGTGCCACTGTACCACTGTACCACTGTACCACTGACCACTGGCTGCTGGGCATGCTGGGACACTGGAAACACTGGAAGACGGATGACGGCGACGGCGGCACTGCCTCTGAATTGGATGACTGGACTCTTCCACTTTCGGCAAGTCCGAGGCTGCATCTCCTGCGTTTCCTTTGCATGTCGGCTTCTGATATCCTGCAATTCCTGATCAGGCACTGTCACTCTTGCTGCTTTGGGACTATTTGGGCCGTCTGGCGTCTGGGTTACAGTAGGGTGACCCCCCCCGCATTCCGCTCCCATCACCGAAATCATCTTGGGTCACAGAGACGCCCACGCTCATGCAGTCGACGCTGATTTTCGAGGACACAAGTTGGCATTGGTGCGCCATTGAATTGATCTGTCTGTGAAGTCTCTTGAGGCTTGACGATTGAACGCAAAAACAGCTGACAGCTGACAGCTGATAGCTGAGCCGAATGGCCAGGGCAAATTCAATGTGACATCTGAAAGAGAGAGAGAGAGAGACGTTCCTGAAAAGCCTGAGTCGTCCTGGACATGTCATTGTAAGAGATGATGCTCGCCGCCATCTTTCAACCTTCCTTCCCCCCGTTCTACTCTTTCCACCCATCCACTCATCCACTCATCCACTCGACCTCCCTCTCACATATATATTATCCCCCTCGTCGCTCCTCCCATCCACTTTCTTTCTTTCTTTCTTTCTTTCCATCCATCAAGATCCCATCCGTAGTCTACCCAGACTCACTAGGGCCTCCCTCCTCACTCCTCTCTCCCCCACACCGCGTCCAACTCCCCTCCCTACTTCCATCCATCCCCACACACACACACAAGGTCCTCTGTAAACATGCCGGCCGTCACGCGCCGGCACACGCCCACCTCCTCGCCCACCCAGGTCGACAACACTCTTCCCAGTGACGACCTCACTGCCGCCGCCCCTACCTACGACCCATCCATCCACGCGTCGTACCCTCTGTCAAGTATCTATCCTCCAGACAAGATTGGATTCCCGTCCTGTCCCCCTCGTGCTCTTGGCTCGTATCGCGACGCATGCGACAGCGACACTGAAACGGATAGTGGCGCTTCCGATGCAGAGATTGATGCAGACCTCAATGCCGTCCCCCAGAGCCTGCTGGCTCAGATTCGGGGCAGACGTATGGACGAAGGAAGCGGCGTCCCGGACGTCAATGCTTGGGTGCGCGCGTGGCGTAGTACGGGCAAGGCCAAGACTCAGGCCGCCCTGGGCATTGGACGCCGTACGCGTAGCAGGGTGAGTTCTCTCGATATTCAGTGCTGGTGTGGTTGCCTATCCGCGAAAGATGAGCTGACATCAGACTGCGTCGGGTCTCAGTCGAGTCGTGAGCCCTACAGAGTCGATTTACGCGATGACGCAACGCATGCAAACACTTGTATGTGTTGCGCCCATTGCATCCGTGTTGACCGCAGAAAGCCACTCTCCTGCGGTCCGAGGACGAAATTGTGGTCTGCGACTCTGATCTCGAGGCCAGTGACTCGCCGCCCGTGTCCGTGCCCTCCAGTCCTCCGCCATCAATCCCCGAGCCCTCGATTCCCGAGGTCTCGAGCCCCCTGCCTTCGAGCCCCATCCCCTCGACCCCCGAGCCCTCGAGCCCAGAGCCCAGCGACGTCGACACCCCCGTGCCCAGGACGCGCCAGGCGCCTTTGTCGTCTCTGGCCCTCATTAGATCAAAGGTCAACAAGCACCGCGCCGAGGCTGTGCGTTCCATCGCCGAGTCCTCGTCCAGGCGCGCCGTCCATGACGCATGGAGAGCGCATGAGAGCGATGTCCAACCCGCAATGGCGATGATTGAGGCCTATATTGATCGACAGGGGCTTAGGCTAGTGCCAAAGACCCCCGAAGCCCCCAGCATCGCTCTGCCTTTGAGTGACAGCCCTGATTCCACCTTTGACGCCAACGCAATCGAGGCTGGTCTCAGCCCGCCTTCGCCCACTCCTCGCTCCTCTTTCCCGCGTATCAGTCATGTCCTTACGTCGTCTGAGCCCACGCCCGATCCCGACCAAGCCACTTCGCCTCTCGCTGTCGACTACGTAGAGGATGCGATACTGGCTGTTCCGCCTGACGACGGATCCTCCTCGGAGGACGGCGACGACGAGTTCTCGTCCTCCGAGGAGGATGTCGGCGCGGAGGGATGGTCTGACGACGAGCAATGGTCCGACGAAGAGCCGACCGCTACCTCGCAGGTGGAGCAGATCAGGCGCCAGGCTCCTAGGCAGTGGGAGCGTCCCATGACGACCGCGCGTGAGCGTTATGCTCACGATCACCCCAGGGCCAACCACGCGGTGGCGACCCGTCGTACTCGGCTGCACCAGATTGGCACCAACGCAGGTCGGTCGTCGACGCCAAGGCCAGCTTCCCCCCGCCCCGGCGCGAGCGCGGCCCCAAGTTTCGACTGGCGTCGACCTCGCCTTCATGTCGTTCGTCGCCCTGTCGTTCTCCGCCCTCCGCGTCGGACTGTGTTCACCGGTAAGCAGGCAAGCAACCGCACGGTCAACACCGCCAAGGATCTCAAGGCGATTTTGAAGTCGAAATCTTCCAAGCTCAGCGACCGCGTTCGCCGGGCGATGATTCAGCGTTACAATCAGAAGCCCGAGAACAAGCCGCGCCCACGCGGTGTGGTAGTCGCCTCGCGCCCTACCACGCCAACATACGAGCGCCAGCGCTCCCGGTCTCCCGAGCCATACATTCTGAACACGGAGCATCTCAGCGCGGACGTGGTGATGCACGACTCCGAGGCCGTTCAGGCAGCTGCTATCGCTAAGCCTTCGCAGCTTGCCGGCCACAAGCGTCGCAGCATGCCTGGGGACGGCAGCACCGTGCGGGATGCGCAGCGCGACATCCTCCGCGCAGAGGAGATCGGTTGGAACCAGCGCTTTCACCGCGACCGCGACGCCCTCCGCCGCGCCAAGTGTGACCCTGCCTTTGTAGAGGAGCGCCGCAGGTTCAACAAGCTGCAGCACTACGCTCTCAAGGCCCCCTCGCTGGCGGCGCAGGCAGCGAGCAACGCGAACGCTTCTGTCGTCAATGCGCTGGAGGACGACGACGTCGAGATGGCAGAGCCCGAGGTCGTCGCGCCTGTGGAGGAAGCTGACGTTGCGGCTGCTGTTGTTGAGGCCGCCGTTGCTGAGGCTGTCGTCGATGACCTCGTTGATCCGGTGACTTCTTCCGCCTTCGTCACCTTCGACCCTTCTGTTCTCCCCAGCTTTATCCGGGACGGCACACCTCTCGCCACATGCCCGGAGGTGGTCGAGGACATTGTTCTCCTGCAGCCTCCCGCTCCCGTAGAGGTTATGGAGGAGATGTCGCAGCCGCCGGCGAGTGAGCCCCGCGACACATTTGCTCCGCGCGCCCGCCGCCTCCGTGCACACGAGCACTTCATGGCCCTTGCGGCCTCCTCGGCTCAGCCTGCGCGCTCGCTTCTCCGGGGCAACCGGAGCGCTGATACCGCGCCAATGGCGGAGACGGCTGGTCCGTCCTTCCGCGTCTCTCCGACCATTGTGTCCGCCCGTCTGGGCTCGCCGACCAATGTGTCCGTCACGATGGAGTCCTCGTCCAACGTGTCCGTCATCATGGACTCGCCAACGGGAGCGTCCACCCCGCTCGAGCCCGCCGATGCCCTGGCCCCGGCCGCCGCAGCGGCCATGCGCTCGCCGCCCCCGCGCTACGAGTTCGACTTCTACCCCATCGTGCGCACGCCTGTACGCCAGCGCCCCGCAGCTCGCCCGGCTCCGCGCCCGCGCTCTGCCTCCGACCCGCCCGATTACACAGGTCCGTACCGCGACATGTCGCCGCCTCCGCCTCCGCCGTACAACTCCATCACGGACTGCGCAACGATCATTGCCGCACGGTTCGAGGACGCGCCGACGCCGCGCACGCACAGCCACTCGCTGAGCGAAGTCGAGGAGGGCGGCGAGGACGAGCGCTATGCCCCCGGCATGTGGCCGGCGCAACGTCGCTCGCCTTCCCCGGACGACGGGGGTGGGCAGGGCAACATTCTCGGCCGCGTGCTCGGCTTCTTCCGCTAGGTGTCTGTGGCAGGAAGTCATGTTTGAGAGTAGTGTCCAGCTTGTCGCAGCATATGGTATGAGTGCTGTGCATTATGCAATATCAATCCCAAACTTGGTTGGTTCGCAGTCCCTGGTATGCCCTCTGAATCTCCAAGTTTTCTCATGAAACGTCAATATTGTCGATTCCCAATCTGCGTGCCATCTTCTCTTAACGTCGCGTGCCTCTTCTCTCATGGCAGCAACCTTGGGATGGCAGCACACACTACACTCGAGCCCCCCACACTGACCAGTCTGAGCCCCTCCCACTTCACAAAGAGATCGTACACACACGCTATGAAGTTAGAACTGCTCACTCCGCGCCCATCCCCCGATATCGCCGGCACCCTCCTGGTCGGCCGCCCAGTCCGCCACATCGAATCCGTCATCATCGTCGTCGACCGCCATCCCGAACCCGCGCAGCCCGCCCTGCTCACTGCCCAGACGCCCGACCGGAGCGCTCATCGTTGGCCGCAGCTGGCGGCGGGGCATGCCGGCGAACGCGCGCGTCGGCACGGGCGGGGGCGGCATGGCGCCAAACAGCTCCGGAACGGAGGTGGGCGCCGTGAAGACGGGGGGGAAGTCATCTGCCGCCGCGGCCATGGGACGCGCGGCCTGAGCATTGGGGGGCGGCAGCGCATGGTTGACGGCGTCGGGCTCGTCTTCCTCCGTGTCCGAGCCTGCATCTGCGTCTGCGCCGCCACGCTTGTGGCCCCGCCGCCGCTCGAGGACCGCCTCGCCGTCAGGGTTGAAGCGGATGCGCGCGTCGAGCTCGGCAGCGCGCGTGCGGGGAGAGAGCGAGAGCGCGTTCGTCGATGTCGATGAGTAGGGCTGGAGTTCGCGGAGACGGAGGTCGTCCTTCACAATGAGGCGGGCTTGAGCCTGCGCGTCGCGGTCGCTCAGGAATATGCCGGAGGAGGAAGGCAGGATGGGGAGGGACTGGGTGGGCTGGAATGAACGGCCTTGGGATACCACTGGGCGTTAGCACGCCGGTCAAGGTAAGAGAAGAGGAAGACATGCGCCTCTCAAAGACCGCGTTTAGAAGGGAAGGAAGAATGGTACTATCGCGGTGACGGGCGCTGAGGACACATTGCGCCGAGCCCCGTCATGGTCATCAAGGCGTAGGTGACGCATCGTCCTTCACCGGACGGCTGATCCGCCTGGACAACTGCACAAGGCTTACTCACTCATGCGATTCCGCCGCCCGACGTTCTGCAGGGCAGCCTGCACGTCATCGGGAATGCCATGGCGCTGGCCGTAAATGTCGGCGGTGGTGGGCTCGGCGGCGGCGCGGGCGTGCGCATCGCGCAGCTGACGCTTCTGGTCTGGGAGATCGGACATGGCCAAGGATGTCGTGATACTGGCGGAATGCGGTTGTGGGCGGGAGGAAGGCGGAACTGGAGAACGGTGAAAGAACGCGTCGACGCGTCGCGGCACACTAGAATAAGAGTACACTGGGAAGCGAGGCGCGTCGCAGGACTAGACGCAGATGCAAGTTGAAGAGGATAAAAAGTCCGAGGTCGTCGGTGCAGATGGAGACGGGAAGAGAGTTTGGGATAGAGTTATGAGGAGGCCGAGGAGGAGCGAGTTGAGGAAGGGAACAAGACAAACGAGGCGCGTCTCCCACCTTCCGAAAGGAGTCACCTCCACTTCTCCCACTGTGCCACATGGCACTCACGTGACATGTCAACGCCATGGCGTCGTTGGATGTGTCACCCTACAACCACAAGCACGCAGCCGTTGTCTCTCTTCTTCCCACTCTCCCACTCCGCGTCGTGCAGCCAGAGCACGATCGCGGCGTGCATCTCCACCACCTCCTCCGACATCGCACACATCGCTCCGCCCGCTCCTCACTCCGGCGCATCTGCACCAACCACTTCCTGCGTCCCAGCGATCCAGCGATCCTGCCATCTGATCGCAACACCCCCTCCTCGACCTCCTCCCCTCGCGCCCCTCCCTGACTACCACCACCCCGGCCGCGCCACCGCACCAGCAATCGTCTCCTTCGCTTTCCAATCCCCCCCCCCCCGCGGCCTCTCATCTCCACCATCAATCCCATCGCTCTCATCTCTCAGCCTCATTTTGCCCTTATCTCAGCCTCCTCCGCCGTCCGCTCGCTCGCAGTCTCGCGACAGACACTCGAGTGCACACACTAGACAATCTAGACGCTTCGTTCCACCGAACACCCCCCCCCCCCCCCCCCCCCCCCCCCCCCCCCCCC